CGCCTATGTTTAGAGGGCGGGAGGGGTGCAGTTGACGCGTACATTGTTACGAAACGTAGAGTATAAAAGAAGGGCTGAGTGAGTCTACGGTGCTATCTAAGACGAGAACTACGGTACTAGCACAAATTACGCTCATATTACGGCTTTTTTTCTTTTTCTTTTTTTGGCAAATAATAATCTTTTCTTCCAGGTGTATAATAGGGTACAGAGCGTGCTTTTGTCACCTAGGCTGAGGCTCTAATACTTGGAAATCGCTTGCATTTCTTGTCTACCAGCAGCGTCAATACACCGGCCATGGAACATTTAAAAAACTCAGATTTCATTATACCAACATTTCTTCATGTACATTACAGTTCATAATCACATTCCATCTTTACAGTTGTTGTCTTAAGTACTACCTATTTGCCATTCATACAACAAGCAAACTCCTACACGCTCTACCGAAACTTGCAGCAGACGATATTATTTAGAAAAATCAAATAAGCAGCTTGAAATACAAGGATCGCGAACAAAGCACCTCATGCGTTGCTCGAGCAATCGACTGTAGCATCTGAAAGTTGGCTCGCATGGCTTCGTCCGAGACGCCGTGTACTGCTGGGAAGGCCCCATACTCAAAGCCCACCACGACGTGCAGAGCATCTTCAGCCTGCATCGCGCCTTGAAATCTAGAGTGGTTCCATTCTTCTCCTTGAGCCAAGCAAATCGGAATATCCTCGAATCCTGATTTGTGGAGCTGACGCATGAGAGCATCTAGAATCGCGCTGCCGTCGTAGAACCACTCGTGGCAGTAATAGAGAAGGTTGACGCGACGGAGTTTTGGGTGTGCTTGTTGTACGTAGGCGACGGTCGCGGCGCAAACATCCTCGACAGTTGATTGAATAGAGACGGCATTCTTCTTGGCTTGGGCTAGCTGTTTTGCGCGGCGCTTGTAGAAATCGACGTTGGGATGGGTCACGAAATTGATGCCGCGGTGGTAGGCCATGGCGGCCACAAAGATGGAGAGACCGTACATTGTCAGCATGAGCTTGGTGACCGGGCGTGTGCTCCCAGGCATTCTGGAAAAATCCAAGGTGGTGGCAGCGTCCGATCCGGCTCTGGTGGTAGGCGTAGTAGACACCTCAAGCCTAGGGTTGAAGCCGCTCAGTTTTGAGCCAAGTCCCTGTTCTACCAGCTGGATTGCCAGCTTGTCTGCGGCAGAGCCAAGGTCCTTGTCAAAGACGGCCCAGATAGTCTCAAACAAAGCAAAGGCCACACTCTGCGTGTCTTGAAGTACCTTCTCGGCAATATGTGGCCGGAGAGACACGTACTGCTCGAAGACAGTCTGCATCCGCTTCCAGTCCTTGCCGAGCAAGATGAACAATGGCAAAAGCGTGGCCATGGAATGCGGCGAACAAAACAAAGCATTGATATCTCCATGGTTATTGACTGTCAAAGGCACCATGTGCGTTTTGGACCAGTCGTGCGTGGTGGTGGTCGAGGACCGAATCGTCACCTCGCCCGTCACGTGGATTTTGGACGGACCGCCAATGTCCGTCAGCCACAAAAAATGCTCGTGGTGGTCGAGCTTGGCCTGTTCAAAGCATCCGCGCAGCGTATCCATCAGCATCGTCGTCTCGAGCGTCGAGCCCGACTGCGAGATGCCGACGCAGACGACCCGGGAGAGCCGGCCCTCGATCCGTCGCAGCACCCCGGCCAGAGCGGCTGGATCCAGGCTGTTGAGCACGAGGAATGTAGTAGCGCCGGTGCTGCGTGGCACGACGACATGCTGCAGTGCCTCGAGCGCAAACGACCATGACCCGGTTCCGACCCAGATGAAGAATTCCGCCGAGTCGACGAAGTCCAGGTCAACGACAGCCTGGATTTCTTTGCGGACAGCTGCCCAGGGAGGGGGCAGAACCCAGCCAAGCATCGATCTCTCTCCGTCAAAACCAATGTCGCGAAAAATGTTGCCCTTGCTAATGTCCTTTTTGGGCTTCCTCGTCGCCTCGTAGAGATGTCGCAGCGGCGTTTCTTCGTACGGCTCAAGCGTCTGTCGTGGAGCAGCGTGATCGATGACGACGCGCCTGGGCACTCTACCTCGAATCTCGCTGTTGGATGATAACAGGCTCTGCATCGCGTCCGGAAGTGCATCCAGCGAAATGACGTGGCTCAGCAGCTTGCTAAAGGCGAGCTCGTGCTGTCGAATCTGGTCTGATGCCTGCTCGAGGTCATGGACACGACTTCCGCGGTGGCCAGACAGGGTCAAAGGTTTCCCTCGCATCGATACCTGCTCATGCTTCCAGTCTGTTCGAATCGCCCACGCGTCGACATTTTGGTTTGCGTCGTCCGTGGTGATGGTGTCCCCAGGCTGAAACCCGGCAAAGAGGTAGATGCATCCGCCGCTGTTGATTTGCTCCATGGCTAGCTCAGTGGCCGCTCTTCCTTGGCCAGAGGAGACAGCAATGATGATGACATCAGCGCCACCGACTCTGGAGATTTTGGAGGCGGGCGAAAACGCGGCGTGGTCCATGACAAAGGTAGCCTCCTCGGCCACGATGCCCCTCGACGTCGCGAAATCCAGACGAGTCCGGGAGCGATTGGCGAGAAAGACGTTGCGAGCGCCCATCTTTTGGTTCATGAGCACAAACATGAGCCCCATCATCCCGGCACCAATGACGACGACATTCTTCCCCACGACGCCATCGCGGATGCGACATTGGGCAGCCACCACGCAGCTCAGCGGCTCAATCAGAGTGTAGACTGGCGGGACGACTGATCGCCCCAGAGACAGAATCTGCCTTCGTTGAATCGATTCTTGGCCAATCTTGAGATACTCCTGAAAGACGCCGTCAAAGTTGTGACCGAGCTTGGAGTGGTCGTCGAGCGGATTGTTGGGGTTGAGGACAATCATCTCGCCAATCTCGACGCCCTTGACGTCTTTTCCGACTTGCATGACTTGGCAGATGCCTTCATGGCCGAGAACGCCAGGCTCCAGTCCGCGCGTACCGTCGACGATTTGCATGTCGGTGGTGCAGATGCCAGAAAAGACAATCTTGACCACGAATTCCTTGGCGCCGCACTGCAGCATTTTCCGCTGCGTCGTCACTAGCTTCGGCTGGCCTACCACCTTTTCGACCGCAAGGTAATCCCTTTTTTGACTTTGAATGTACTGTCCAGCACCGAAAAGACTGTCATTGTCGTCATCGACACCCGCCTTGACCATGCTGCGCACCTTTTCTTCCGTCCAGTGGCTAAAATAGGCCGACTTGTGAATGAGTTGCAGCAAGTGACTCTGTAGGGCCGGGATATATGCATTTCTGGCCGTCTTGGTCACGAACCCGCCTACAATGATGAACTTGTCAAGCCCAATGTCGGCCGCCAGCTGCACAATTCTCAGGGCGACCGGGTACGTGACATGGTTCAACGTCTTCACGCCGAGCGCATGTTTCGAGGCAATGGCCTCTTGCAGCCAAGCGTCGTCAATCTCCCGCGGTACGTCGCTATAGGTTCCTTCAGACGCTAGACTCTGGGCATATTTGAGAGCGGCACGGCCGGAGCTTAGCGAGCACAAGTCACCAACGTTGCCGCAAGGGCAGACTGGGATGTTACCTGCGCGAGCCAGCTCCAAGGCCAGAGGATCCTCCTCTTGGAGCGCCTGGCGGAGAACATGGTGAGTGACCTTTGCCATTGAGCCATGGCTGAGAATGGACAGCACAGAGCTCTTGAATCTACTGTACTGCAACTGTTGCCTTTCCATGGCCCGTTGGATAAGTAGATTGGTCGCCTGCGGCTCGACGACAACGTGGCCCATCTCACCACCAATCCCCTGCGGGCCCGTGTCTAAGCGGTCTGGATTCTGCAAGTCGAGGTTCATGACCTTGTTGCTGAGCCCGGAGCTTACCGTGATGAGACAGAAGCGTCCCTCGGTGTGGTAGCGCCAGGCAGCAGCAGAGATGTCGTTGAGAATGGTGAATCGCATGCCGGGAATCTGCATCTTCAACGCCTGCAAAAGATTGTATCCGCAGGCAGGCTCGCCCCATAGTATACTCGCATCTTGGACAATGCCAGCCCTGTCCACCACGGCCCCCAGAGAAATGCCAACCTCTTCCAGGGCGTCGTCTGGATATTCAGCCTTGGCCGAATCGACGCGGGCGGCAATCTCCTCGAGCAGCTTCTTTTGCAGCATCTCGGTCGGCAAGCCGGGGTGGGATTGACGGCTAGGGCTCGGCACTCGGACAGGCGTGCCGAGCGGAAGCCCGTCGAGACTGAGCACGGCAATCCGCAACGTTGTCGAGCCCACATCAAAAACGATGCTGTTTGGAACGGGCGCGAGACCCCGCGGCGGCGACACTGGCTCGCCGGGCGTGCTGGCCGAGCTGCTTCTCGTTGCCATGTTCCAGGGGCTTCCCAGGGCCGAAGAAGACTCGCTGGTGTTGGATCCAAGCAGGCTGCTCATCGTCTTTTGCAGCCCTGCCTGCAAAGTTGTGAATGGTCTCGCTAGCAGCTTCTCGGCCGTGGCGGTATCGAGCACAAATACGTCATTGGTCGCGCTCTCTGTGAAAGTGACTGTCGCATCATCGCCAAGGATTCCGCGCGCCATGTTCCACAGATGCTCCAAGTCGACGCTCTCGCCCGAAGCCACGTCAAACTCTCGTCGGGCACTTTCATCAACGGGAGAAGCAATCATCTTTAGTAGAATGTCTATCAAATCGTCGACAAAGATAAAGTCTCGCTTCTCCGCCACCGCCTCCACGCTGTGCTGCGATTTGGGGCTCAGGGCGCGGTGCACGAATCCCCCGGTGAACCCGGGACCGTAGACGCCGGAGATGCGCAGCGATACGCCTCGCGGCATGTCGGCGACGAAACTTTCGCCCAGAAGCTTGGAGAGCTCATAGACATTGACGCCCTGAGGAACCGGGCAGAGGGCCAGCAGCGTCTGCGAAAAGAGCTCCAGTGCGGCCAAGACATTGGCAGCGGCCAAGCAGCTGGCGCAACAGCGCTCAAAGGCAGACTTGGCATTGCGAATCCATGCCGTGGCATCAGTGTTCTTTCCAATGATGTGGACACGCTGAGTGGAAGGGAAAATAATCTTGAGGTCCTTGTCTTTGTGCATCCGTCGGGCCAGGTGTGCAATGACTCCTTGGGCAAAGCCGTTGACAGCAATGACCTTGGCGTAGTCTTCGGGACGAGACTTTAGAGTAACCACGCCTACCGTGTTGAATATGACTGTAGACTCTCCAATGGTCTTTTCCAGGTTGACCAAGTCCATGAAATCACCTGCGACGACGCTGTGCGTCTCCAGGCTGCCGTCGAGTCGCTGCAGCAGCTTGTCGACGGATTCGGGACGAACCATGCTCTTGACTTCAAGGCCAATTTGTACCAGTTGCTGCACCAAAGATGCTCCAATGTTACCCGAAGCACCAATGACAGTGACGACCTGGTCCATGGGCTGGACACTGCCATTCGTGGTCGCAGCAGCTCTGCCACGGGCGCCTTGATACTCTTGCAGGAAACCCATCGTCTTTTCCACCATGTCGGCACTAATGTCCAGAATTTCATCGATAAAGGCACCCGTTCCAATCTTTTCCGGAATGGCGAGGAGCAGCTTTCCATCCTTGTGCTCGATTCCCTCGGTGCTGATCTTGGCCCACAGAGTCCGGCCGCTGCAGCAGTCGTGCTCGGTCGTGTAGACGGGCAGGCCGAGCGACAAGAGGCAGTCGAGTATCGCCTCGAGCTCGGCGTAGGACAGCCTGCCCTTGACATGGGCCAGATGTGAGGAGATGGACATGCCAATGGAGACGCATTCGCCATGAGGAAGCTCATACTGGGCAAGCGACTCGATAATGTGCCCGAATTCATGGCCAAAATCGACTAATCGCACCAGACTCGTTTCATGGAGGTTTGGCTGTAGCTCCTCCAGCATGGTCTGGATAGCAATCTGCAGAACCTCGGGCGTATGTTCGTTTTGCGTCAGAGTGCCGTGGTACTTTTCAACCACCTCAAACAGCCTGGGGCTCTTGATGAGGGCCATTTTAACGGCCTCGGCCAGTCCGCACGCAAAGTCGCGCTTGGGCAGCGTGGGCAGGAACGCGGCAGGATCATTCAGACAGGCCAGAGGAGCATAGTAGCGGCCGACCAGGTTCTTGTGGTGATGGAAATTGACACCGACCTTGGCGCCGATTCCTGCGTCAATCATGCCAACGAGCGTAGTAGCAATACGCACGTATGGGACGCCATTCTTGAACATGGCCGCCACGAAGCCAATGACGTCCATGATTGTGCCTCCTCCAATGACGATGAAGACGTCGTTGGGCGAAATGCCAAAGTTGATGGCTGCCTCGACAATCTCAAAGGTGGCCGTCATGTCCTTTGCCACGCTCGAAACATTGACCTCGTGAAAGGTAAAGTCGTCGAGGGACGCAGCGTGGGCCTTGAAGTACGCCCGGGTCTTTGCCAGGGCCGCCTCCCCAATGTTGCGGTCGACGACGATCAAAGCCCGTTTCTTGGGGGCGCCGGGGCAAGATGTATATTCCTTGTCCACGCAGTAGCTTTGGATCAGCGTTGGGTTGTTGGCGTCGAAAAGATTGGGAGTTGTGGCAACATGGTATGAGATGCGCGTTGCTGCCCTTTGCTCGCGCAGCTTCGGACGCGTGGTGATGGGAGCTGTAAAGCCCACGCTTCTGGCGGCAGAATTACCATTGGCGCTGGAGAACAGGCAGAAACACTGCAGCAGATAGACTGCGTCTTGCACGTCATGAGCGAGCACCTCGGACAAGGACAAAAAGTCATACGTCCCGCCGCCGCCAGCAGGGATGACGAGGGAGGATCCACGGTCCCTCGTTTCCTCGACAAAGACGGACCAAAAGGACGGTGATTGCATTCCATGGTGAAATACACGGAACCTCAGCTTCACCATGACGTCGATGTACCTTTTCAAGTCGCCGTGTTTGAGACTGCCCTTGACAACCGACAGGGCCGCCATAAAGGCGGCGCCGGTAACCATGAACTCGGCGTCTTCATCATGGCTGTCGAGGAGTTGCTGCAGTACCGACACAGTTTCGCTGCCCAGTCCCAAAGACAAGATCTTGATGTGCTTTTCCGCCATGTCGACGGGGTATTGCCGACGAGCCAGTGTGTCAATGGCCATCTCGACTGCCTGCACCAGCTCATGTCCGGCGACGCCATCATCATCAGCACTGGGTACTATTGCCGCTGCGTTGGCTTCAATATACGACAGCAGCTCTCCATTCTCCAAAACGCCAAGTCTGATCAGCTCCGCCATGCCTCTACGCATATCGCCGGGCTCAGCTGAGCACACGTCTCTCGGATCGTAGAAGCCGACCAACGGCGGATGCACAAATGATAGGAGCCGATTGTGCCGCACACCGGTCTCGGCGTTGTAGTCAATCGAAAGACTATTGGTTGATAGAGATGACCGGACGGTGCCGAGAATGTCGGTCGAGATGAGGATCCAGGGTGTTGAGCGGCGATATGTGCCGGCAGCGAAGCCGACAAGATCGGCCAGAGGCTGACTGCCAATAGCGACAAACAAGTCTCGTCTCTTCAGGCCAACCTTTTTCGCGGCGAGGATAATTTTGGAGACGGCTTTGAAATTCTTTTCACCGTCATTTACCGTCATGACCACATTAATATGTCCTTCTATCACCCCTTTGCTCTCATAGTGCTCAAAGTAGCGAGTGATTTCATCTCTTCGTTTTTGGGGCAGTTTCCCGTCAATGATGACGCAGAGGGATCGTCTGACTTTTGATGATCCCGTATCAAAGTATTTTGCAAGCTCGCATGCACCCCCTTCTCTCATTGATGAGGGGCCAAAAAGTCCTGGGGTCTGAATCATCCGGGCCGCGATTTCGTGATGCGTGACAAGCTCGGTGCCATGGTTGCCGTACTGATCGGACCAGTGGTGAACACCGTCCAGCCGATGGATATTGTCCGAAACTGAACAAATTGTCATTTGGGCATTTGTAAAGTTTTGGTATAAAAGAAAAAGAAGGACAAGATGAACAAGATGAATGCAAAATTAAAATCTAGTGATTTAAATTGGGGGTTCGATCAGAAAGAAGTGCAACCACAGCCCGTTTAAAGGTCCACCGGTAGCACAAAAGAGCAAGTTGAAAAATGTCATTAAAATGATGGATAATCAGCTTCCATCTTGATGATGCAGCATGAGGTCACTTCCGACCACACCATCTGCGCAGTGTTGGTGCTTTTCGACTAGGCTGCAGACTAATTAATCTGTGCCTTCCAGATTTACTTCCACGGCTTATCTGCTCCGTCAGTTACTGCAAAGCACACACACACTCTTCTTCCATTGGCTTCTAATTTTACTTGAGGCTTATTTTTAGATTGCCTTTTATTACAGCAAAGGCATGTTATTGCAGAAAATCTTGGTGACTGCAGGGATTTTGCATTGCCCGTGGACCTCGCATCCTCCTCCTCCTTCCCAACGGACTTCCTAAAATGCCACGTAAAACTTGCTTTGTGCGTCCATCAGAGAGGATGCGGCTAAGCAGATGAATAATCTCTCGGCCGAATTACGTACCATTCATTCGCCAATAATTGCCCCTTTTGACAAATGACATGGCTCCCTTGGCCGATTTAAACCCTTCGACATGTATAGCTCTTTTCTCCCTCTCCCGAGCCTTATTGCTGTACCTGCACTTTATTTTTTCCCCTTTTATACTGGCTTTTATCAACTGGAATGATGAAAATGGGTTTTGAACACGCGGCTGGGGGTCAAAAGGTTGTCCATACCGACGTTCTTGTCGTCGGTTCGGGGCTAATCGGGGCCGTGTATGCCCGCACAATCTCGGACGCCATTCAAGACGTCAGGATTTTAATGGTTGACATTGGCGAGCAGTAAGTTATGTCATTATACAAGCTCTCAAGTATCTTGCCCAATGTTGAGCATTCAGTGCTTCTCCCTTGATTGGCAGCCACAGGAAGAATAGCGTCGCCGTCCAAAGGGATCTAGCTCGATTTGAAAGGTCAGTAAGCAGTTCAGTTCGCCCAAGCCTCCCACTCGTTCATCTGAGCTCATATTGTTCTACACAGATCTATTCAGGTACTTTCTCGAGTCCATCGATTGCCCTGCACAAGCTGACTTGCCTTCACTAGGGGGCTTGGAGCCCATTGTCAGTGCCTTGCAGCGCAGCCTCGCAGCACCTCGATCCGCTAAGCTGGCCCAAGAATTCGTGAGCAATCCCTTGCTGACCAACTCATTTCAGGGCCAATCATTCACTCATACTGTTCTTTCTTGCCGTCACAGAGACTTGCCCAACCCCATTCACCACAACCCAGATCAAGCCATTCATGAGAATCTCCCCGCTGCCGTCGCTATACGAGAAGTTGGCGGGATGGGCAACTACTGGACATGCTGCACTCCAGAACAACACCCCATCTTGGAACGATCAGACATTTTCTCTGACAAGGAATGGCAGCAGCTATACCATGAAGCCAGAGCTCTCTTCCACACCACTGAACATGCCTTTGATCACTCCATGAGGCAAAAAATACTCCAAAAGAAGCTTCGTCAGAGCTTCCCTAACAGAGAGTTCAAGGGAATGCCTCTGGGCTGCCAGCCGAATGAATCCAACCCCGAATATGTCGAATGGACCTCGACTGCTACCATCCTTGGCGACTTGGCGCAGCCGAGCCCTGGCCAAAACAACTTTCAAGTTAAATCGCAATACTGCTGTACAAGACTGCACATTGACTTTGCCCAAGGACGAGTTGTTGCTGCCGAGCTAAAGAATTTAGTTGAAAACAGTATTTTGCTTGTCAAGGCAAAGAAGTTTGTCATTACTGCAGGGGCTGTTCTCAGCGCCGGCATCTTGTTCCGCTCAGGAATCAGACCCGACAACGGTTATCCTGCCCTAGTATGTTTGATGGATGATCCCAGCGGTGACACGGCACGGCACGAGACGGGGGGCACTGACTCGCAGCAGGGCCATTATCTGACGGAGCAAATCGTGAGCCTGTGTCAAATCAGGCTAAACGCAGACCTCTTGCAGCCCAATCCCGACGATCCTGCCCACAAGAAGCACAAGAAGTCGTTCCCCAACGATGCACTTGGCATCCCTTTCAACGATCCTGATCCACAGGTACATGGGCAGACAACGCCGGCTTCTAGCTGTAATTTGCCTCATGTCATTGCAAACAAAATGACTAACCAGATGTCGATACAGTTGACGACCCCAATGACGCTCGCTCGCCCATGGCATACTCAAATTCACCGAGACGCCTTTGGCTACGGCTCTGTGCCGCGCGACATTGACCAGCGCTTGATTCTTGACCTGCGCTTCTTTACCCATGTCGAGATTGCCCATCATAACTGCGTCAAGTTTTCGGACAAGATTTCAGATATTTTTGGCATGCCTCAGGTATGGTCAAGGCCATCCATCTCCCGACCTGACAAGACTCGAGGGAAACTCACTCACACACAAGGGGGTTTAGCCGACCTTTCACTTTCAGCCTGGCGAGCAAGACGTGCAGCGCTCCCGGGACATGATGACCGAGTACGTAATGAAATTCATATATACAATATTTTCCAAATCAACCAAATCATCTATTACTAGGCTACTCTTTTTTTTTTTTTCATTTGCAGCTAACAAAGGACCCCCAAATCACACAGCATGGTGCGCATCGCCACGAGCCTGGGCGGGTTCATCCCGGGACAGGAGCCACGCTTCATCCCGCCCGGCGCCGCGCTCCACATCTGCGGCACGACCCGCGCGAGCCCTGTCGACGACGGAACATCCGTCGTCGACAGGCACTCCAAGGTCTGGCGAATTGAGAACCTCTTTGTCGGCGGCTGCGGCGTGATTCCTACGCAGAACGCCACCAATCCCACACTGACGGCAGCCTGCTTCGCCATTGTCGGCGCCAGGAAGGTGGCGCAGGAGCTGAAGCAGATGCGGCGATTACAAACAGGGCTCGAACCTTCGAGGATTTAGGATTGGATAAGTTGAATGGGGGTGGGGCTAATACAGTATAAGCTAGGGCCCGGTCTTGTTTTCTATTCCCGCATGACGCGTAACTGAGGAGGGGAAGAGGGGGTGAATTGAAAGCAGATGATAAAAGGATTTCTGATCCCAGACCTTGGCACTTTGGCTTGTGAAAAATAAAAATCTCACTATCGAGCAGTGGATCCAAGGATCGGCGTCGTAGTTGAACGGGAAGTAGAACGGGAAGTACACATCAAAGCCACAAATCTGCACCTCCAGATAGAAATGCAATGCTACCTGCCCTGCTGCACGAACTAGGCACCTACGCAACTAGGTAATTAGGTAATTGGCTCTACCATGTAAATCGAACCAAGATTTAATTCTCTTGTTCATGTACAGAGTTGACTACGAAACTTCCTCCTATCCTTGCCATCAGCCATGATGGTATCACGGCCCCCTCCTGCCCCTGTGGTGGTGCCCTTTGAGGCCCTGCTGTTCGACTTGGACGGCACACTTATCGACTCTACCAACGCAGTAGTTCAACACTGGCAGCGGTATGCAAAAAAAAAAAAAAACGCATAATCGCAGCCGAGGAGTTTTGAAAAAAAAAAAAAATCACTGACCTTGTGTTCGCCTACAGTATAGGCAAGGAGCTGGGAATCGACCCCAATGTCATTCTGCAAACGGCTCACGGCCGCCGAACCTTTGACACGCTCAAGATTATATGTCCCGAAAAGGCAACCATGGAGTGTGAGTCCAACGCATTTCATTCAAACCTATCTTTCCCGCGTTTTTTTTTTTTAAACGAATGCATCAAAAAAAAAAAAAAAAAAAAAACTACAAACACGCCCCCATGGCACAAACAGATGCAACGGAAATCGAAAAGAGCATTCCGGAAAACCACGGCTCCGACGCCACCGTTATTCCCGGCGCACGCGAGATGCTCGACAGCGTCACCGCCGCGGGCCTGCCCTGGGCCATTGTCACGTCCGCCTCGCTGCCCCTTCTCAACGGCTGGGTACGCGTCCTCGACCTGCCCGCCTGCCCGCACCTCGTCACCGCCGAGTCGGTCGAGGACGGCAAGCCCGATCCCGCGGGTTACCTGCTTGGTATGAAGAAGCTCGCCGCCATGATGATGGACAAGAGCCCGGCCGGCTGTTGCGTCGTCTTTGAGGACAGCCCCGCGGGCATCCGCGCCGCAAAGACGGCCGGCTGCAAGGTCGTAGCGCTCGCCACCAGCCATACCGCTGAGCAGGTGGCCGAGGCGGAACCGGATTGGATCGTAGACGACTTTCGGTCTGTGGCGTTGGTTCAGCTTAACGGAGGCGGGAAAGCTCTGCAGATTTCGGATTATATTTTGCTCGAGACCCCCAGCTACACGGCAGTGGCGTAGTTGCGGGAATACAGAGGCTTCGAACCACCTAGCTGGAAGCACAAAGTTGCAACAGAACTTTTATATAGAAAATCAATACGGCATTCCAGACGTAACTTTAATCGAGCGTCACGCAGTGAGTCATCGAGTAGCAGGGACCAGACTTGCAAATAAATAAATCGATTCAAATATATCTAAATCAAATCAACATTTTTGCGAATCAAATCAACTCAAATATGAAAAAAAAAGGGGGGGGATCTAGAATAACGTTATAGATAATCTTTACCTTTTAGCCTTACGGTTCAAGGAATTACGCTACTTAGAAAACCATTACTAAATTAATAATATAAAAAGCTAGTTTATTATTAATAAAGTATATATTTATAAATCTCTTATAATTAAATTTACAAGTATTTTGTGCGTCACCGCCTCCTCATTTGCTCACAAAGACGGATCCTCGCCGTCTTCATCGCCCCAACCCTGGCGGTCTACCTTGGGGACCCTGACAAACGCAAAGTCCAGAAGCAGGCCGACGGCTGCCAAGGCCGCGCTAAAGTACAGTGCAGCCTTGAAGCCGGACATGATGGATTCCATGGTGGCGGCGGCGCCTAGCAGCGGCGATTTCGACTTTTTAGCCACCTCCACCTCAATCGTACCGGCGAACCCTAGCCCCAAGCTGATGCCGTACAGGTTGAGCGTGCCGACGAGGCTGCTCGCGATGCCCTGGTGCTTGCGCGTGACGCTGTTGCTGGCAATGACTTGCGCAGCCAGGTACACAAAGTCGGGGCAGCAGCCGCACAGCAGCATGGCCGGGAAGACCTGCGCCCAGTACGTCTGCTGCATCGGCATGGTGGCAAGGAGAAGGCTGGCGCCGATGACGGCGACGACACCAACCGCCATGACCAGCTTGGCTTCGACCCGGGGGAGGAGATAGGCGGCAAGGCCGACGGCGGCGGTGGAACCGAGCCCAAATGGAATCAGGTTCACGGCAATCTGAAGAACAGAGAGCTGTCGCAGGGTCTGCTGCCAGGAAATCGAGTACCACAGGGCAATGCCAAATGACATGTAGCTAAAGAGGACGACAAAGATCATGGCGAGAAACGTTGGCGCACGGAAGATGTGGAGTGGCATGATGGGCGCCGAGGCAACACGGTGTTCCCAAAATAGGAAGCCGACAAAGACAACAACCGACACAGTCAGGATGGCAATTTCAGAGGGCATCGACCATCCGATAGCAGGCGCTTGACTGCTGAGAATTAGCGACTAGGAGAACGTAGACGAGCCCGAGGGTCGTCGTGCTGGAGCCAACAACTTACCTCCAGGCAATGTTGAAGAGTAGTAAACCCGACAGACCTAGACAGGCTCCAAACGTGTCGAGCTTGCCTTTCGGGTCAACCGGGCGCTCTTCTGGTAGAATGACAGCCAGAAAGATACAGCTAGCGACGGAGATGACACCCCTGTTTCGCGCGTCAGCATATTGTCCTCTTCTGCAACCTCTCTCCTGTGATCCAGAGAACCTACAATGCGCCAAAGAGAACAGTCCAACTCCACATTCCCTCCCATTCCGCACAGAGACCAGCAAACAAAGCTCCCACAAGACCACCCAGAGGCGGCGCCGCGGCAAAGATGCCGTACAGCAAAGTCCTTGTCGGCCCGGGCGGCACCATCAGCCCCAGCGCCGTGATGGCATTAGGCATGTAGATGCCGCCACCGATTCCGCTCAGAGCTCGAACGGCAACAAACGACGCAAAGCTGCGGCAGAATCCATTCACGATGGAAAAGATGCCAAACATGCCCAGGCCGATGAGGGAAAGGCGATGATGTCCGTAGATGGCGCCTAACCGACCAGAGACTAAAACAAATGTACTTTGTGTAATACTATAAAGAGAAGCAGGTGACGGGTTAGTAAAAAGTAATTAAATGAAATAGTCTCTGTTTTATTCCGCGGTAGATTAAGGAAAAGGGGAACTAACGAATACGAGGCTGCCATCCAGTTAGCCTTGCCAGGTCCAGTCTCTCGGCCGAGGGCGTGTGTAAGTGTGATGCCACCGCTAAGGGTGATGAAATTGGAGATGAACTGAAAGAATTTTAATACATCGTCAGCCATTTTACGGTATGAAAGAATACTTTTCAAGGCAATGCACTCACCTGAACTAGGTTTGCAGTAATGAACAGGGTGATGATGATGACCCTCGTGCCATCACTTACACCTGTCGTCAAGACGGGCTCAATCACGTCAAAGACGGCAGAAGGCCCGGCTGGACGCGCTTCAGATGCATCGAGCAAAACAGCCGGCTCGCTGGGCGCCACGGGCGAGTTGACGCCTTTGTGTCCTACCCGGTCCGTCCACTTAGGACGGAGGCTGTCGGCATCACGGGAGCGGGGGTGGCTAGGCGATGTAGTGTAGCCTTCGCCTGGCGGTTGAACCACAGTCTGAGAAGCCATATTCTGTAGGGGCGAAGCCGTGTTTCGAAACGACAGATTGGCATATATCGGGGTCCCTTCTCAAATCTTTCACGCTGGTTAGAAGGAAAATGCTGCTGTGGCACTGTTGGTCCAAGGTGAAGAAGCACAAGGCTCTGTCTGCCAAGTTTTTAGCGGTATAACTACCAGATTTTACCAAGTCCCCACACGTGTTTGCCGTCCGGAACGGAAGAATGACACGCCCGTAGGATCGATCGTCATTGCCTACATTTCCGTGCAGGATGGCATATCCGGACATCAATCATTAGCCTGTCGCCGATATTGATGCGGTTGAAGGCAGTGGCCGTTATTGCAGAGGCTGTGTGAGTGCTGCTAAGAATAGCTCACTTTTACAGCGGAGTCCGCTCAGCTCTGACTGATGCTGCGGGCCTGCGGCAGGACCCTCTCCAGCGAGCCCCCTTCATTGGGTATGCGGCAACGGCATCGCGGGGACAGATGCTAAAGATGAGACCGGAGAGCAAAACACTGTCAGCTTTGATGCGATTGGCTCATTTTTCATCAACTTGATACGCACAGGGCATCTCGCGATTTCTCATTCGAAACAGACGCTGGGTCAGCCAACTTGTGGGCTGGCTAGATCAGCGCAGCCTTCCCCGCCCCACTCTGGCTCCGGGGCAGAGGCAGGCTGTGCTCGAAGCAACAATAGACGAATAGACGAGCCTCTTCCAAGGCCACCGACACTTGTGCATACGCAATTTATTTGCGTGCATCGTCGTCTGACAAGCTCTCTGCATTTTTAACCTTGTACATCACCACTACATGAAACCAGTGTCTGTGCGAAACCCCTCCCCAGCTTTGCATCTCCCCGCGCGGCCTTGCTTTTCCTTCTTTCCTACCTAGGTAGTTACTTGCTTGTTAGGTACCCAGCTTCAGCTGTTTGCCATCACTGGCGAGCTACCTACCTAGTACGTCATCGTCTAACAAACGGCAATTCGGCCAACCCCTTTCGCAGCCAAAATATCGTGATTCGGAGCTGCCTTTTTATTCTCTTCCATCTCGTCTACTCACTCACACCACCGACGCTGCTACAAACTCCCTTTATCAGCAAGAAACCCGCCCGCCATGGAGCAGGTCAAGCTTCTCCGGCGCCGCACCACGGACCTGCTCGCCAACGCGCAGCAGAACATTGCCACCACCCAGAAGGGATTCTTCGCCAGCGCCCAGGAGAACCTAGCACACGCCCAGAAAAACCTACCGGCCCTGTCGATGCCGCATTTTGGCCTGCGCGGGCAGTCCTCCCCCGCGGACCACGGGCCCAAGGGTACCTGGGAACTCATCGACAATATCCCCGCCCTGCGGCGCTCCGCGCACCCGCTCGACATTATCGCCGGCAGTGCCTACATATTCGGAGGCGAGCTCAACGGCCAGATTGCCGATAATGACATGCACGTTGTGCGCCTGCCAGTCAGCGGCGCCAGCACTGACTACTACCGCATCGCCGCCGCCGCCGCCAAGCCCGACGAGGCAGACGCTGACGAGCACGGCAAGACCGCATCAGAAGCCTCCTCGGACGGCGCAGGCTCCGAGGCTGGTAGCAGCAGTCCCAGGTTCAGGGGCAAGGGCAAAGAGCGCGCCATTGACATTGTCCGGCCCGATCTAGGCGACGTCCCCGCAGCACGGGCCGGCCACGCCACGGCCGTCATTGGCTCGCGTATCTTGCTCTTTGGCGGCCGCGGCGTCGATGGAAAGCCTGTTGAAGAGGCCGGACGCGTTTGGGTCTTTGACACACGCACCTGCACCTGGAGTCATCTCGACCCCGCGCCGGCCGTCATGGGCGGCGCTATCACCATTCATCCCAACGCGCGCAGCGACCACTGCGCCGCGGCGACCGACAAGCCCCAAGATTTTGGCTCCTCCCGCACCACCACTTCTTCTCCTCCCACAGCTCCTCATCCTCCACCGTCGACCCCCACGACACTGCGCAGCCGCGCGCAGGGCTGGCGCGACTGGGCCGTCGGCGACACCTCCAAGACAGGCATCCCGCAGGACCCCGTGGTCGGGCAAGTCGCCGAGAGCGCCGTCGACGAGGAGTCGCGTGGCTACGGAACACTCTTTATCCACGCGGGCCGCCTCAACAACGGCAGCGGCAGCAACGACATTTGGGCCTTTGACGTGCGCTCCCGTATGTGGACGGAGCTGCCATCCGCACCGGGCCCCGCGCGCGCCGACACCGCAATCTGCATCAGCAAGAGCCGGCTCTTCCGCTTCGGTGGCGCAGACGCCAGCAACGGTGAGAAACTCGGCGGGCAGCTCGACTACCTGCACCTCGAGGTCGATATCATGGACGGCAAGACAGAGGTCGGAGTGCGCGCCCGCGACGGCTGGCAGACGATTTTGCAGCGCCCGACCAGCACCTACAGCAGCACCGTGACGCCCTCGGAGCCGCTCCTCGCCTCGCCGCGCAGCACCAACAGCGCGCCGGAAATTCCTGTCGACGGTGGCGTGCATCCGTGGCCGTGTCCCCGCAGCGGCGCCGTTTTTGAGGCAATGACCATGGGCGGCGGCCGTGAGGTCCTTGTGCTGGCGTTTGGCGAGCGCGGCACTGACCAGCCGCCTCTCGACGATGTGTGGCTGTTCCAGGCGCCCCCGCAGGGCATGTCGGCGGCGAGCGTGACAGCGGCTGTGCTGCAGGCCGTGGGGCGCAAGACGGGCGAGGGCCGATGGGCCCGCGTGGCGACGCGGCCGTACGACGACGACGATGACGAGGCAGGAAAGGGATGGGCGGCACTGCCGCAGGGACGGGCACTACTGGCGAGCGCGCCAATGACGAACCTCGAGGACAGCGGCGTCTTGGTCTGGGGTGGAGTAGGCGAGGACGGCGAGACGTTTGGCGATGGTTGGGTTCTGAGGCTGTAGAGACGGCTTCAGGCGGCAGACGTGGGTGCGTGATTATGTGCTTTTGCGTAAAGCGAAAATTTGTGAACAATGCGATATTGACATCCTGGAGATGAGCATACCAGTTAGTTAGTTGTGTACATGAAACTATATATCTCAACCCAATATTATGTATAGATTTTGATAAGATTTCAGAATCGATCCTGTGGCTTCAGTTGGTCATTGTTTTTATTTATATGTACAAGTCGATGCTATTCCCTCTAACAATCCCACTCAATAATATGCACCATCTGCCGTCTATGCCCTTCTTGACCAACAGAGGGGTAGACGAAGAAAAATGGCAAACCAAAACAAGTGAAAACAAACAAGATATAAAAAGTTGAGGCTACAAGATTTCTTTTGCTGTAGATGCAAACCGTGTGCGCAACAAGCAGCTCGGCCAAGTCTGCCTTTATGCTCCGGTTCGCCCAATTTCATATTTGTCCTTCGTAAATTTACAAATCGGCCCGTGTCGTCTCGACACCCCAGGGCTCCGACGTCAGGTTCGTTTGGCCGGCGCTGTTCTCGCAGGTTTGGCGGCCGCTAAGGGGACCGGCCGCGGGAAGCTTGCCGGTGGCGGCGCCGGCCTTGAGGTCCTTGAGCAGCTTGACGACCGTCTCGGGAGTCAGGTCTTCGTAGTAGTCGTCGTTGATCTGGATCATGGGGGCGTTGACGCAGGCGCCCAGGCACTCGACCTCGATAAAAGTAAAGAGTCCGTCGGCGCTCGTCTCGCCCTGCTTGATGCCGAGGTGCTCCTTGATGGCCTTGACGATGACGTCGGAGCCGCAGCCGCCGAGCTGGCAGGGAGTCTTCGGGGAAGAAAGTTAGTCGAGTGGTCGACTAGAGCATGGGCATGTGCTCTTGAGCGCGCGTGCGAGGGCTGCCGGATCTCAGATGTGGGTTGAAGTGTGTGGAAAACGTACCGTGGTGCAGGCCTGGATGAAGAACTTGCCGACAGGAGTGCGGTTATACATGGTGTAGAAAGAAGCGACCTCGTAAACACGCATGGGGGGCATCTCGAGCAGACGAGCGACCTCGTTCATGACGCTAATGCTGGTGAACCCGTGCTGGCGCTGGCCAATGTCGAGAATCGGCATGACGGCGGCCTTTTTGTACTGGGGAGGATAGCGCTTCAGGATCTCGGCAATGACCTTTTCGTTTTCGGCGCTGAACTTGAACGGGATGTCGGGGTTGTTGTCGGGCGTGTTGCGATGCTGGGGAACAAGTCAATCGTCAGCGGTTCTGCTCAGTCTGCGTTGCAACCCTCGCGTCTTCCCGGACTCAACAAGAAGCTACAGGCCAAAAAAGAGCCCGTTCGCCAACTGCAGCGACTTCATTTCTGGCTGGCTGATTAGGCTGGCCGATGCCTCTCGGCGATTCGACCCGCCTACACATCTGTACAGAATGCTCCCGGCGGACGTCTTCAACAAATGGCTTCATTGACGATCAATCCTTACCACATTGAGTGTATCGCTTGGTCGGGTCGCTGAGACGGAAAAGGCGCGGCTTGTCGTCTGGGGACGGGCGGCCATACGCGCAGAGGCGCGGACGCACGACCGGAAGAGGGGGGCGAGCTTGCTGGCCATTGTGAAGTTCGAATCGATGTCCTCCGAGGTGTTCCGCCGAGCGAAGCGGAAGATGGGCTGTCAATGGTGGTAAGGTAGCGTTGACCGTGGATGCGAGGGTGAGAGTCAATTGGAGCTTTGGCAAATGTCCTTGACTTCCCGACACCAATTGAAAGCTGCTTGCAAAATACGTTGCTGTGATTGGTTGAGTGTGGTAGTGGGCGGATAAATGTCGGCGAGTGATGGAGGTACGTATCTTTTACTGGCAACCGTCAAACTGTGAACGATGAGATGAGAGAATGAATCAAAAGTGAATTGAGAAAATAGCTGTCAACTTCTGCTTTCAACTTTAGGCATCATAGATCACTGCGCCAATATGAAGAGGCGAGTTGAAATCTGCCTAGAAAACCGCAGCGGCCTCTTTTGGCACTTTGTCTCGTATGCGATTGGCTCTACGTCCCCCACAACCCAAGTTTTCATACAGCGCTGCTCCGAGGGAAAAAATCTGAACTGTGCAATCAATTTACTATGTTCTCGCGACAGTGTGCCAAAAGAGGTGTCGTGCGGCTTATTAAAGCGCCTGCGCGGTCCTCCTCAAAGAGACGTATACCCACCGGAAACTGACCCTTGCGTCCCGACATTGACTTAAAAATATATTTGCAGCTCTGATTTTCCACTGCACAAGTAACTCTTCCTCTTCAGCCACCGTAATGCTGTCAGCTCTATTCTGAGCCCGAATTGCGTCCATCAAAAAGCCCGCCATGATAGCGAGGCCAAAATTGATCATTTCCTGTGCATATTGAGTGCTTTCTTCTAAGCTCTTGCCACGTCTATCTAGGTTGCTCGACATTGGATGCTCAATATCTTCTTCAAAAAGGTGCATAGTCGACCATACCGATTTAACCTCGGGGGAGTCAAGTACGGCTCGGACTTGCTGCAAATCACGAGTGAAGATGGGAGGGGAGAATAAGTCTGCTGTTGCCAAGGTGATGAGACCATCTGCCACCATCTCATCGAGTGCTAGAACAAGGCACTCGAGGACAGGCGTCTCCCAATACCCACAGACACTCGAGCTCCCTAGAAAACTCAGGATGAGGGATCCGCCAGGAACAAATTCGTTGCCACGAACTTGGAGGAACTGGTGCAGATCCCTGTCGGACTGATCCCTACAGATATTTTGCCGAAAACTCATGCGCGAGACGCGGTCGACAATAGGCTCTCCATCTGAAACATGTGCTTGCGGAAACTGACTTAGCCACTGAAGACAACTAAACGAGAATCCAAAATGAACTTGTCCATCTGAGATGATTTGCTGGTAGAAGCTTCTAGCTATCATTTGAGGGAAAACGCGAGCGGATGGATAATTCTTTGCCCATTCTTGTATGGCCGGATGCATTGTCCTTGCCAAGGAAGAGAAGTCATTTGTTGGAGTGTCGTTTAGTAAGTATTGGATGTCGATCGGACGGGCAGGATCCTTGGCAAATAGCTCTAAGAAGTGGGACAACGGCAAGATGCTGCCAATGATCGTCAGCCTTGAAACATTCTTCAGCATTATGCCGGGTCGCTCACGAATTGATTCCTTCAGATGCCCCATAGTCGACCACTGTACGTAACTTCTCATCGAATACACCTTCGCGACAAGCATCGGGAAAGAGAGAGAGGGCCTTGACCATCGCTGTCTCCTGAATCTTGGCATTCTGGTTGTAGCAGCCACTCCCGCGCATCGCTACCGGGATGACGCGAAAGGGTGGTTGCGCAATGGGCTGCGCAACGGCCTGGTTCCCTCCCATTTTGGTTGCTAAATCTGTTAGATGAGGGAAACAGTCCGGCAAAAATTGATGCGAAGCACAGCTGAAACGTGGTTCAGAGGGAAATAGTTCTGCTGACATTTCTATGCCCAGGCACAAAAGTCAGCGCCATTCTTGCTACTATGACTACTTAGGTAACGCTTGTTTAATTCAAAAGTTCTTGAGAAATTACCGTGTTACAGATAGGTGTTATATCACGACTTCTAACTTGATTTGTGCTAAAATGACAGATCTAAGGTACGAAAGTGACAAGGTCATTTATATAGGGTCAATTAACATAATGGTCGTTTTGTTTGCAGGTTCCGCGTCCACTGCGGCGTTGCTCCGTAGCTGACTACATACGTCTTGGCATACAGAATAATTGACTATATAGAATAATTGACCATATATTGTTTTTGGCAATTGATTTGCATTTCCACAAATAGCGGGCAGGACGATAATGCGAATAATTGGCGCAGATGTTCTATATATAATCTAAGCAGTCCACTTGCGAGGGGGGAAATATTACTTGAACAGCTTCAATTTATCTTTTGTCTTTTTTCATATACGCACGTCTACAAATCATGGCCACCAGCTATACGCCGCCTGCAAAGAATACAAAAGGTGACGGGACGGGCATCTACTCAAAGCTATATGTTCAGTACATATATGACTGGTTAGTTTTGTGGCTATCGAATAGTTATGCGTGGAAGTGTCCCACAACGTCAATCCTACTGCCGCTGTTCAAGTCCACCATGGGTGCCAGACATCTCGACATCGGGGTTGGGTCCGGTTACTACCCTGCCAAGGCACTGGCTGCTGGAGTAGACTGCAAAGAGATAACCATCGTCGATCTAAATACGAATTCTCTGGCCGCGACGGAAAAACGGATCATCAATTCATCGAACGCTGTTCGCATCACAACCGTTGTCGCAGACGCTACCGAGCATCTGCCCCTGCCGAATTCCGCGAGATTCGACTCAATAAGCATGTTCTATTTGCTACATTGCGTCCCTGGACCTCAAGAGCGGAAGGTCAAAGCGTTCGACGTTGTCAGAGATCTTCTCGCGCCGGGTGGGGTGCTTGTAGGATTAACGATCTTGGGCCGGGAGCAGCCGATGAATTGGGTCGCGGCTAAGCTTATGTCAATATACAACAATTCCGGCACATTCGATAATTGGAATGACCGCCGACATGTATTTGAGGAGGCTTTACGGAAGAATTTTGAGGAAGTTAGCATCCGACTGGTAGGACGGGTCATGCTCTTCACGGCGAGGAAACCGAGATCGCTAGAAAGTGACGCTGGGACTCGTGTTCAGCCAGAGGTTCTAAGCTAAAAAATATGAAAACGGGAAGAATGCAATTTCAAGTAGATCGTTTGTTGTCTCATTTTCTTAGTCTAGGTTTACAAAGTTAATTAATTATCGATGGCCATGGCTTGCATATCAGCACGCCAATTTATCAACTGTGCCCTGAGATAGCAATGTTCTATCTAGGCCTCCACCGCGATTATACCTCTTCCTACTATATTCGATTCGAGTTGTAAAAAATTGGCGCTTTCATACTAAAAATATGTGCAGAGCTGCTTCCGCTAATTACAAGTAAATTCCGTACTTGACCCATATGTGGTCATCGTAGGCTACACCACGCCGCTCTACTCCATTCATTGAGCAGCGAGCTTCCACAGCTGCACGGGTCGGGATCTGCGTAGACATGGCGGCAACTTTTGGATATGATGCGGGGTTGCAAGAAGGAAACATGTGTAGGTATGGTTAGGCGCGAGACAAACGATTACGATGGTCGAGATGATTGGTATTTACGCAATTTCGCTATATGCGGAAAGCTGGCAGCGGATGGTACACAATACATTTGCAAGGTAGGTATGGACGTATAAGGCCTAATTCACATCAATGAAGGTGTGGATCCGCATTTTTACTACGACAGTAGGTGCCCAAGTAAGTAAGTTGGGTCGGTGACGACCAGCACACACGGGCTGTTGCACTTCGTGCTTTTTTTTTTCGTGCTTCGTATTATTGTCCTGGTATCTCGGTTTCTCAATTGTGTCACAAATTGGATGCTTTTTTTTTTCTTAGACACCTTATGTGACCTAGATGTCATAATCATCGCCTAGATACGAATAACAGCTATTCGTTAGGCATCAAGCTTCACGGCTTCGCGCGTCGGGGTCCATGGTCGCATCAGTGGGACTATTTAACTCTAAAACGTATTCTAAAAGAGTAATGAGCTAATTAGACACTAAAAAGGGTAAACAGACCGTTTTGAAAAAAGGAACATCTATCCGTACTCCATACCTGGCGGAGCCTTGATCGAGATCAAGGGCGGAATTCGCGCCATTAGCCCCCCATACCCACACAGCCTTACCCGAAAGTCCGCAACTGTCTTGGCACCTGAGGCGCATTCCAGTCTGGCAAAATCCGCACAAGCAATGGGGTCCAAAGTACCTGGTAGGCAAGGAGATCAGACGAACGGCACGGATCAGATGACGAGGAGACAAGGGCTAGGCTGATGCGAGGTGGACGGCTGCAGCGCGGACCCCGCAGGATTGTCCGATATGCCCTTTCCATCGTCTTGCGTTGAGGCGTCTAATTACTATTTAAGGCATTCTGGCCTACTTCGGTGGCAACAAATATTCTGACAAAGAATAGCTGCTCTCCCATGCGGCAAATATGGCTTACGGCAACGACAAGGCTGCTACACCTCGTCTAGATCAGACAAACCCGACGGTCAACGCCTTACCCGATCAAAGCAGCCTCACTAGCCCACACGGCCATGATGGTGACACTGCACTCGATGCCAGCACACCGAGCGAGGAGGATGCCATTCGATACCCTTCTAGATTCAAGCTCTTCGCTCTAATGGTTGGCCTTCAGCTCGCTGTGCTCTGTGTCTCTCTCGACAACACAATCATTGCCACTGCCATCCCCAAGATTACGGATCAGTTTCAAGCCCTCAGTGATGTTGGGTGGTACGGCTCCGCCTACCTGCTCACTTTCTGTGCTCTTACTCTGCTCTTTGGTCGACTATACAAGATGTTCAGCGTCAAGTGGGTGTTTCTGAGCTGCCTGGCCCTCTTCGAAATCGGCTCCCTCATCTGCGCCGTCGCCCCAAGCTCCGTTGCCTTGATTATCGGACGCGCCATTGCAGGTCTCGGTGGCTCGGGCATCTTCTCGGGTGCCCTGGTCATCCTTGCCTATACCACACCTCTTGCTAAGCGACCCATCTACACGGGCCTCTTTGGTGCCATGTATGGAATTGCGAGTATCATTGGTCCATTGGTGGGTGGTGCCTTCGCCGATCACGTCACCTGGCGTTGGTGCTTCTACATCAATCTGCCCTTCGGGGCCGTTACAGCTACTTCGCTCATTCTCTTTCTGCATTTGCCCAAGCGTCAGAAAAACCATGCAGCCGGTACCTCGTTCTGGCAAACCATCAACAGCTTTGACCCTTTTGGGACCATTTTCTTCCTGGCCAGCGTCATCTGCATCCTTCTCGCCTTGTTCTGGGGTGGCAGCAAATACTCGTGGGGTAGCGGCCGCATTGTTGCCTTGCTCGTAGTGTTTGCCATTCTGCTAGTGGCCTTTACGGTTATCCAGTACTTCGTGGGCGAGAATGCGACGATACCCGGCCGCCTCATCAAACAGCGCAGCTTGGCAAGCGCTGCCGCTTTTGCCATGTTTGTCGGGGCCTCTTTCTTTGTCAACATATACTACATACCAATCTGGTTTCAAGTTGTTCGCGACACGTCGGCCACAACTGCAGGCGTCAATACCTTGCCCCTCCTCATCTCCTTCACCGTCAGTGCCATGGGAGCCGGATCCGTCGTCACCAAACTCGGATATCCTACACCTTTCATGTATGCTCTTTCTGTCATTGGGTCCATTGGAGCTGGACTCTTGACTTTGTATACAGTCGATATCTCGACGGGCAAATGGATTGGCTATCAGATCTTGTTTGGCTTCGGGATCGGCATTGGCATGCAGCAGCCCATTCTCCTTGCGCAGGCTGTTGTCCCCCTCAGCGATGTCCCAATAGGCACTGCCATCATCATTTTCTCCCAAATGTTTGGCGGCAGTCTGTTTATCAGTGTCGCACAGAACGTGTTTATTACAAAGCTTGTGGAAGGTCTGGCAGGCATTTCCAACCTTGGCGTTGATCCCAAGAGCATAGCAGGAGCAGGAGCAACAACCGACCCGTCGCTTTTCGGCATCACTGACCCCGCTGTTTTGTCCCAGATGAAAGTTGTATATAACAATGCGCTCGTGTGGACGTTCAAAATTGCCCTTATCACTACCTGCTTGAGCGCCCTTGCAGTCCTGGGGATGGAATGGAAGAGTGTCAAGGCCGAAGAGAAGCCCACAAACAATGACGAAGTTAACACGGATTCTACTGAGAGTCACGTGGAGAAGAAAGGTTGACCTGCACCTTTACGGAATCTTCGATGAGAAGTGTTCCTGTGCCCAGCTCAAGACGCGCATGGCCGAGTTGCGCTTAGCTTTCAAGGAGAGTTGCATTCTAGCAATGCCATCTCAGACGTCAAGTATTTAGATATCTAATTCTTAATTCGACAAAGTAGAGAATTTTGTACTAAATCTCAGTGTAGAGAAGTGCTACGGCAAGTAGTCCATCCACTTAAGAAGACCAGCTGCAGGTCCCGGTCCAGAGTGATGAGATGCAACCAGGCAGCAGGAATGAGAGAGAGAAGGAGAGAGTTGATTGATCGAGGTATCGATGACTAGGATACTGAGTGGTACATGTCCCTCTTCTTGTTGTGGTTACGGACGATGATTCTTCCGAACAGGCTTGTGTCGTGTGTAACAGACTAACAGTGTAACCATGTGTCACACCAAGCAAGGGGCAGGAGAGAAAAGCAACATAAAAGGCCACTCATCACGAAACACAGGAAGCACCGGAATCGCCACATCAAACCTCGAAAAGAAAAAAGTCTAAGCCTTGCTAAAATTCAAATGATGAATTTTTTCCTCAAGGCTTGACTTGCAAGCAGCCCAAGCCCACGCAGATTGCCAAGTGGCCATGAAATCTCCAGCACAGTAACGTCAACAGCAAAGCTCTGCTTCCACCAGCGACGCAAGCTCAATCGCAATCAGCGAGTCCATTCCTACCGCTGCTAGGCTAATCGAAATGTCCACAACGCGGTCTTGAGCAAGCGGCCACCATCCCGCAGCAGCGTGCGCAACGTGTCCATGCGACCCCGTGAACAAATCTTACGCAATTGCTGATTGATCTTGAAGATGCCGCGCGACAAGCGTTGGAGCACAGCATCATCAGTAATCATGGCAAGCCTCTTCTCTAGCTCGCTCTGGCGTTCGCGCCTTGTCAAAGGTGGAGAAGAGGTATGCTTGATCTTGAAAAGAGGCCATATGCCCTTGCTCTCTGCCTTTTGCTTCTCTCTCACCAACCATTCGCGGTATACTTGGTAATGTGGTTGGCTTGCTTCAAGATGTTTGATTCGTTCTGCAGAGTCTAGCATGCACAGCAAAACAATCTCTTCAATCATGACGCGAACATCTCTATTGACACGCGGGGCCTCGATCAGAGTCGCATGGCTCACAAAATCAATGTCCGGAAAGTATTCGAGTCGCGCTGCTTTGTGTACATTGGCGTCGGCGTCGTCATCAGACTCGGTACTTATAAGCCCCCTTGGCCCGTCTTTCTATCAACCCAGTGACAAGACTTCTGATTTCTTCTCCGTCTAGTTATTACCAAATCAACAAAGCTGAGGGGAATAAAGAACACGAGAGGTAAAGTGGCTCGTGGCTCAAGTGCTGCATATTCCTCGTGCTTTGCAAAATTCTCCAGAACGTGGATATCAAGGCTAAATGAAGCTGAAGCATGCGTTTCTCCATGGTACTCTTGGATCTCCAACACAAATCATTTCCATAAAACTCTCCAGCCTGGTAGGTTTTATATATAATTACCAAGGCACAACACCGTACTCTGCGCACACCCGTCCAGCATCAGCGTCTCTTTCCCCTCTTATAATGGAAGCCACGCGCTCTCCGCCCACTTCTGGCTCGGCCGCTCCTCTTGCTCTCAGCTGCTCCGGCGTATCAAACAAATTCGTCGCCACCTGGCCCGGATCCGCCCCGTGAACCAAAAACTTGCCGCCGCCGCCTTCTTGCTGCAGCCGCACCCAATACTGGTTCATAATCATGTTTCGCGCTGCCGTAGCTGCCCTGTACTCGGTTGCGCGCGACGCGTAGTACTTGCTCTCTGGGTTGGAAGCGTGGGTTAGGGACCCCAAGCTACTCGACAGGAAAACAAGTCGCGGCTTGGGCGCCTGGCGCAAAAGGGGCAAAAAGGCTTCGGTGACGCTAATGTAGCCAATGACATTGGTCTGGAAAATACGCCGGGCAGCGTCTCGTGCTTCGCCACGGACAACGATGCCGGCATTGTTGACTAACACATCAAGACGGCCGTGGGAGGCCATGATGGAGGCGGCTGCAGCATCAACGCTCGCATCGTCGGTGACGTCGAGTTGTATAAGGGAAACGGCCCCTTTTAATTCTGCAAGATTGGCCAATAGTGCCAGAGCGGCCTCACCTCTCTCCTGATCACGGCTGCCGATGATGACATGATACGAGGCACTAGAGAGCAAAAGACTTTTTGCAACCTCGAATCCAATCCCCCCGTTCCCGCCTTATATCTCTGTTAGACACAAAGCACACGAGATGCAAGAACGCAGTAGTCGGGGTACTTGCCTGTAATCAGCGTGACAAGCTGTTCCATTGAGAAAGCACCAGGTGAGTGGATATGGGGAAGGTAGCATACTCTTTCTCAAAGGCTCGAGACTTTGTTCGTTTAGTTTGAAACGTCCTCGTCTATCTCTTTCTCCTTCAACCTTGGCTCATCTCGCGTCTTCTCCAACTTGGGGGCCAGTTCTCAGCCGATACCCTTGACGGAATGTACCTTGTACAATTCCCTAGACGATGATTTCACAGGGAAACTTTTGATTGACATGAGCCATTTATCAAGGGTCGACAACGCCATTGCGCGCCGAAACCCCTCCTCGGCGGGGTTTCGCAGTGCAAGCATGCAAGGCGGACTTGGCGCATGCAGCATGTGAGAGTCCTCAGTCCGGTCCATGTCCTACTCTCGCATCGTTTCGCTTTTTAGCTCTTTTTCGACATTGTTCTTGGCAATACCACGCATCTTTGGTATACTGTTGAGCATCAATCTACTTCGTGTCAAGTTTGATGGGTTATCAGCAACCAGTCATGTGTTGTGATATCATCTGCGACAAACTGAAAATAAATGCGCAGCTATACCTACAAGGAAATACCGTTCTACTTCCTTTGACGCTACAGCGCCGTAAACAACGACCACCATTCACACAACATCGTACACTTACTGCTCTGCCTGCTGCTCAATCCAAAATGCATTCATCCCAATCTCCTCCTCCAACGTCTGCGGCAGCACCGCCCTCTCCGCCTCCTTGACCCTCTTCTCTGAAATCGCAAACTCATGCGGCAGTCTCACATCCCCCGTCCCTTTCCCCAGCATCATGCGCGCCGCCGCCACACCACTCCTCGCCGCCACCGGCATCCCGTGCCCCGTGTATCCCGCGCTCACATACAATCCCCCCTCCTCCCCGCCCAGCACCTCCGGCACCTGCCCGATCCACGGATGGCCGTCCCGCGAGTAGCCCATGATGCCCGTCCACTCATACGTCGCCCGCAGCTCCTCCACCTCTTCCTTCCCGGGCCGTAGCTCAATAGCCCCATGCAGGCCTCTGCGCAGCCGCGCGCTAATCTCGTCGTCGATGATGTCGTCGCGCGAGGTGTGGCTGCGCAGCTCGGCGTCGCCGGTACGCTCCCCGCCGAGTATCAGCACGCCGTTTTCGTCGTCGTCGTCGTCGTCGCGCTGCACGAGGTAGTCGTCGGCACCGTCGGCTGTGCTCCAAATATACGTGCGCCGCAGCGGCGTGTGCCCGCCGGGCGGTGGCCGCAGCGCCGAGATTTGCCCGCGCGTAGGCCGGATGAGGCCCGTCATACGGGGCAGAAGGTGCGACGTGTAGCCGTTGGTCGCGAGCAGGACCTGCTTGGCGACGACCTGGCCGCGCGGCGTGTGCAGCACCCACGAGCCCCCGTACCGTTGGAGGCTCGTCACCGGCGTCGTCGTCTGCAGGTTAAACTTTACCCGCCGCGGCCGCGCCGACTCATCATCATTCCTCCCCAGCAACGTCTCCAGTACCCACGCCACGAGCTTATAAGGCCACAGCTTGGCCGCGTGGGGGTGCAGCACCGCGGCGCGGGCGCCGGGCACGCGCAGCTCCGCCAGCTCCCGTTGATCCTCGACGTAGCGCACCTTGTCCGCGAGGGACGGGTGATACCTGCGCAGGAGTCGCACATTTTCCCTGGCGGCCTCGGCCTCGTCTTCGGTGGCGAGGCGGCACACGGCGCCCGTCGACTCCCAGTCGCACGGCACCTGGTGGGCGCTGACCAGGTCCCGTAGGAAAAAGTAATTGTCGAGCTCAAACTGCGCCACGTTTGGCTTGGTGATGAAGATCATCGGGTGGCAATGGCCGCCATTCTACAGCATCCAATCCCGTTGGTCAGTAATGCAAAGCGTGCGTAACGTCTTGTGGTGCTCAACGTACTCGGCCAGTGGCGCCCCAGCACGCCTCGCGTGCCTCGAGCATGAGCACATCACGTCCTCCATCCACGAGCTCCCTCGCAGCAAACGCGCCTGTGATGCCGCTGCCTACCACAACGACGTCGGCCTGTTCGGGGAGCTTGTCGGTGGTGCGGTGGCCCAGCAGCGCGAGCGACGGGTCCCGGTGCCAGTAGGAATGGGTGCTTTCAGGCGTCGGCAGCTCGGCCTGGCCCTCTTGCCGTTTAATCTGCGTCATCTTGATGTATTAATAAAATTAATAAATATGGCGAGCGTCGACGTATGCTACCTCTGCTTTCCCTTGCCGGATGGTCACTCTGATGTGGAAAGCAGCAGCCTGGTAAATAATGGTCGAGGCCGCGAATCACTTGGGCGGGGTGTCCCGTCCCATCAGATCGGCGCAGCGCCACACTGTGACCTCGATGCCCTTCAGGGCACTGCTACGCAACCTGATGACGAGTTCCTCGCAATATTTATTAATCCAAGAGTTCGGTACAAACTCCACTTCCTCAGCTGTGATTTTCTAGTTGATGCTTTCCTCAGCGCATCGTCCAAGGTGGCCGATGGATGCCTGGCCCCTCGAGCCGCAGCGTGTCGACATTCACGAAGCAACTAGTTCTTCAATTAAGCCATAATGTGTTCATACCATTTCTTCGTTAAGACTCATACGTGACAAATGAACGTCCGCTAACGTGTTCGCGACTCCCCTTGCTGACATCCATATCCCCCAGGTGCTATCGATGTCCTCCCATCTACTATGATACGTATATATTTACATGATCCTTGAACGCCGAAATTCATTCCTGAGTAGTAACCGTAACTCGGTTCTGTGGCAATACAAGCCAGATTCTGTGTAGCCTTTCCCTTTTTTGCTTCCATAGCATGATATCTTTCCCCATGTATATATAATCCCAAGCTAGCTCTTGCACCTTGTATCCGTCGACCATATATCTAGTATCTCAAGTATAATTCGTAACGAGTGTCGCCTGTTAGGTCCGCCATTATCTCTGTAGCGAGGCTGCTGACGCCCGCTGGCCGTATGTGTTGTAATGACAAAAACTCCGAATAAATCATGTCGTAGTGTAACTCCGCGATCGTGGCTGCCCTAATTCCATCGGCGGCGGCTTGCAGCATTTTCGCCGCGTCACAAGGTCGATGCCACGTTTCCAACGACTCGGCGATATCTCTCTGTACGTTTCTCCGTACTGCTTCCAATCCAATCGAAGCTAGAGGTGTATCCTTTCATATGTATCCAGCGTTGCTCCTTTGCTAGATTGGATGCTCGTCTAAATAGTTTAGACATCCGTCATTTCGGTATCGCTGTCGACAGCAATGGCTACTGGGGGCATATCTTCGAGACCCCAGCTTCCTTCATAGACGGTGGCGGGCGCATTGCGATGCTCAGCGACCCACTGCAGCCCCTCGAGATCCAAGACTTGGTCGATGCGGGGTCTGTCGCTAGGCTCTTGAGCCGTCATCCAGCGGACAATAGAGTCGAGAGAGCTGGGATGAAATGCGTCGACCATGAAGGGGGGCTGCTGGCCAAAATCTGCGTTCTTAAAAGCATCGGGAACGTTGCCTCTGCTGTCTTTGTTGGCCAGCACTTCGCTGCTGTGCACAGCTTCAAGCGGAACGCCGCTGGCATCTCGTTTTACTTCGTTGGAGGGCATCCAAGTGAGGCTGGGAACTTCAGAAAGATCTCCAGATCGAAGAGCTATCCAAGTAGGACCGTTGTCCGGAAGCACGACGTTGGCTGCAACCTCCAGAGTGATGAGCCCGAGGGAAAAGACATCGGCCGGCTGACCAACCTGGCCCTTGAGCATTTCAGGAGCCATGTACTCCCTGTCGCCTTCAGTGTCCACGCTAGATGTGGCAGAGCAGGCTTGTGCAAGACCAAAGTCACTAATTTTCAGAGCCCCTTCAAAGTTGATGAGGATGTTGGCAGGCTTCATATCCAAGTGCATGAAGCCAGCATCGTGAATTTCTTTCAAACCCAGTGAAAGATCTTGCAGAATTTTGAAAATGCGAAAGTCGTCCAAGCGTCCACCACGGCCCACGTTGCCCAGGAACTTTTCCAAAGTGCCTTCTTCGCAGTACTCAGTCTGGATGTAAAGGTGCAGGTTGTGCTCCCAGTCGTCAATGTAGTGAACAACATGTTCAGCATGGGACAGAGCTTGAAGTATGCGAGCTTCACGGAGCTTGATCTCACGATCCTTGGGGCCGTGATAAGGATGTCTGCTCTTCTTTACCGCATACACTTGGCTCATCGTCGGGCTTTGGCCAATCTTTCGAACTGGAGTCATGCATAGAGACTCGGAGAATAGAGTCTGGTTCGACTTGGTGACGCGATAAACGGTAGAGAATTCGCCTTTGCCCACCTGTTCAACCTTGTCAAACTTTGAATACAGGCTTGCATCAATGTCAAGATCGCTAGTGCGGTCATTGACAGGAGTGACAAAGATGCTGGTAGACGAGCGGAAGTCTCTGCCAGCGGTAGGTGTGACTGGAGGTGGCATGGAGCTTTCAGTAGCCTCGTTGAACTGCGAGAGGGAGAGGCGACTTGTGTCAAGCGGCAGCATGCCCTCATGTGGGGTCTGAGGAGTACGCTGTCTCTCAATAGGAGACGCCGTTAAGGACCTCGGAGGCATATGCTTCACAGCAGAGAGTGGAGGTAGCGCAAAGGTTCGGTTTGCGCTTGGACTCTCCAAGGACTGCTCGCTCAGGTTGCTCAGGCTGGGAGTCAAGCTGTTCTTGGTGGGTGTTGGAGGAACATCGGCGTCCAAGCTGGTTGTCAGATCGGTGTTTTCGCCAAAAAGGGTGCGATCCTCGCCATCAAGGCTGAGGACGCTTCCTCGACGAGCGCCAAGCCCGGAAGGACCGCGCTGGAAAATGGTCATGCCCTTGGCGACATTGCCAAATGTGTCGGGGGCACGGATAGGTGCAGCCGAAAATGGAGTTGACGGCATGCCAGCAAAGGAGCCTCGGCTGTTACCCCTCTTCCTCAGGCCGCTGCCTGCTTGGGGGGGAAAGGTGGCAAACGGATTGCTGTGCTTTTTACAAGGCGTGTCAGGCGGGGCGAACTTCTTGTCCGCCTCCTCCTCGGGGTTGCGGTTCACCTTGGAAATTAAGCCTGTCGAGTTGAATGCGCCAACCCAGAGATTCGAATGGTTGGGCGTCGCAACAACTTTTGTGTGGTCATGCGTAGGACGCGCGGTAGGACGAGTGGCGTTTAGAGGGAGTGAGCGCGAGAACGGATGCGGCCGAGGTCGTTCAAAGGTTGGCTTGACCGGTGCGTAGAGGGCAGGCTCTTGCTCAGTCAAGCTGTTGCCGGAAGAGGAAGTGGTAAGAGTCTTGGAAAGAGGGTGAGGTTGGTGCGATTTGCTTTCCATGGGGTGGATGGAAGCATTTGGTAGAGGAGACACATTGGAAAATGGACTGTCTCTGGGCACCAGCGGGGGGACAAAGTGGTCGGTAGATAGTCGTGGCCTGCTTCTACCAGGAGTCGAGAGATCGGAAGATATTTGGGCAAGCTGGCGTTCACCAGTGCGTCTGCCTAGGGAACGCTGCTGCAGTGTTGACTTCCGGAGAGAAGAAGAGCGCTTAGGAACGGAAGCTGAGGGAGAGGGGGAGGCGAGAGCATCGCCGTGGAAAGCGACAGGCATGGCTGAGAGCTCGTATTCAGGATGAGAGTCCTCGTGAATGTCAAAACTCTGAGACGAGGTAGTGTTGCTGCCAAAAATGCTGAAGCTTTCGGGGCTGCCAAACGTGGCGATGCCGTGCATGCTGCGGCGCTTGGCCACGGGGCTGCCTTGACTGGGATGGTCGAGATTCATGGTCGCATCACTGCGCTTCAGAGAGCCAGTGGTCGAGATCATGTGTTCTGGGGTCAGATCCAGAGCTTTCAGAAACGCGGTCTGGGAGGACCCAGAAACGTCGAGATGCAGACTATGGCGCGAAGGTTTCTTGTCTATAGTCTTGAGAATTGCGGCGCTTGCACGTGTGTTTTCCTGGCCGGGGGAAAATCGGGTTCGAGGGGATGCCGATGTTGCGGGACGCGCGTAGTTGATGGTATCTGAGGTGGTGTTGAGGCTGCGTTTGATCGGACTCTTGGGTGAGGCGCGGCGTGCCAGCTGGCGGGCGGGCGAAAGCGTTTTCGCAGCCTTTGCACTGCGCAGCGACAAGCGGACGCTAGGGCGAAGAGGGGTCAAGACGGGCGACTGCAAGGGCGTTGTAGATTGCACAGGTGCAGGAGCGGGAGGCGCAGACTGAGGATGCGCAGAAACAAGGCGATGTTGATGTTTGGGAGTGAGCACAAAGCGCCTAGAGGGAGTTCTGGGAGAAGCTGGCAGCGAGTGATCGGAGCTCTGTGAACTTGTGCGGGAGAGAAATTTGGAGGGAGATCGCGACAAAGAGCGACGGAGGGTGCGAACAGCAGAAGAAACATCGATCTGATGGGCGTGAGTGGGCGATGGCAGAGCCAAGGTGCCGCCCGAGTTAGAGAATGACATTGTGTTTGTGTTTGGAGGAATGCGCGCCGACAGCGTTGACAGCGGGGCGCACGCAAGCGAGGAATGTTGACGAAACGCCTGCTAGGCCCTAAAGACAAAAATGACAAGTAGAAGCTGGAGAAACCGATTTGACAAGACGGTCTCAAAACAATAAGGCAGGAATTCGAGGTTTGGGTATAGAGCTATGCGTCGATGAAATCTCGAAGCATCAAATGGGCTGTCGTGTGTCAATGGAGATGATGGCAGGGTGTCGTCTGCTCTATCAAGGCAGACTTAGAAACAAGTCCAAATACAGCAGGCTGGTCAGGTAGATACCATGATTTGGCGAATGTAGACGTAATGAAGACGTTGAGCTGGTTGCGAGAGCAGTGAACCCCGATAATGCGGCGCAATCGAGTCGTTGGGTCACGAGAGGCAGTTAGCACATGGCGGGTCACGAGACGGGCACTTGCAAATCGCTCCTGCTCGAGGAGAGTGCGAGCCAAAAGTTGTGATGTCTTGTGATAGTACGGCCTGTCACAATCACATCCGTCTCTTGCTCAGGTTGTCGATCCTGTGGTTGTACCCAGATACCTTCAGCGATGCGAAGGTCCACACTGCGGTCGAGTATCGCGCCTCAACCGTTGACCATACCTCCGGGGTAATGGCAGCGCAAGTGTCTGAGGGGAATCGTCGAAACAAGGGATCGACTTATTTCGATCCAAGGGCGAGATATGTGCGGAAAAAGGGTCCTTTGTCGAAGGGGGTAGAGAGGATGCGTGCGGATGGGCAGCTAATGTGAGGAATGTAAAAGGCAGGCGCAGGGTGTCCTCGGACGAGAGCAGCAGTAGCGTGGTGGTAGCGTGGGTAGCTAGCAGTAGTGGTGAGTGAGCATTGAGCAGTGGCGTGGTGAGCAGTGAGCAGGAGGGACGGATGGATGGGCACTGACAGGCAGCAGAAGAGGAGTTAGCGCAGCCGATATAAAGCCCACTTTGACAAGCCGAGTTCGAATACTGTTGGGTTTTGTCGCGGCCCGGGTCTTGGGTCTAGCTATTTTGACGGGGTGCGTGGAGAAGGCCGACGAGGGACAGGAGAAAGAGAGAGGGAGTCGCGACGAGGCGGGTGACGCATTTGTTTACAATGTTTCCTGACTTGGCTAGCGTGTCGCGCCCGAGACGCGTCGAGAAAGAGGCTGCTTTGATTTCTGGGCTGGTCCGACCCACTACCGGGGATGTCACAGGGGGGTTGTACAGGGGGTAAATTGGGGGCACCCGCGAGGTTACAGGGGGGGCGAGTCCACAGAGTCCACAGAGTCCACCAGGAGTCCACTGAAAAGGTGCTGCAGCGGTGCAGCCCACAGCGCCACAAGACCCCAGAGAAGCCCGCGAACTGCTGTAACTCTAGGGTTCAGTGGCAAGGGGTCGCTGTAAATGTGCTATAGATCTGCCTGAATGCGCTGAAGTGACCTGAAATATTCTGACAGTGCTGTAAATTCACCTTGGTGGGCTTATCGTCTGCCCGTCCAAGCACATCTTTACCACCACCAGTTCTCACAGGGATAAGAATGCCAAATTACTTTGGAGAACCATCAACATGCTAATTTCCACTGCCAATGTCCTTCATCTCTCCGTTTGCCATCTATGTATTTATCGACTCTGTTAATTACGAGGCTGGTTCGCCACACAGGGGACCTGCTGCGAGTACCAGTTCTCCGGGCCATCAGCATGCACTGTGCAGCTTCCCGTTTGTTGTTTTTGTTATTATCCGTGAAATCCGCGTTTCCTGTTTCCCCCGCCTCCTCGTCTGTTCCTGTGCCCCTATCCTTCTGCCTGTCCCTCCTGCAGACCTGCAGGCCTTTTTCTTGTCCCGTCTCCAGCCAGCCACCAGCCTCCGAGACTAACTAGTTATTGGAAACCAGCTCATCAAGCAAGCTCTCTGAGAAACCAAAGAAACTCTGCGACAAATTGCTCCATCTTCCATCGTGCGCACGCCGTGGCACGGTTCCACCACGTTTGCGCCAGGTCTCAGCATCTACGTACAAAAGTAAACAAGTTTGGCGCCAGGTACAAGCCCCATCCCGGCCCTCAACGGACCACCAGCTCGGAGCACATCTGGCACATCTGGCAGCGAATAATCGCACCGTCAGCAAGCCAGGAGTCCAGGACGCATCAGAAAATCCCTTGCTGCCACGCTGGACTGCATCGTGCATCAAGCTAGAGCTGCTTGCGCCGAGTTGCCAACGTGTGCCGTCCACACTGGCTGGTCGGCTGGACCCTCAAGACCCCCCCGCCAGTAAGCCCAACTTTTTTCGGGCCTCCATGATCCATCAGACGACCCTGACCTGATCGTCTGGCTGCCGCTCGCTCGCTCATGCCGCTCGTCAGCCATCTATTTCATCCCTGTTCTCTACGCCTTGAAACTTGTCTTTTTTTTCTTGTTTTGCTGCTTTTCTCACCAAGAAAAGAAATCTTGGGCAAGTCTCGGCTCAGTCGTCAGCTACTGTTGCTCTGTGCTTTTCGCCACCTCCTTGGACTTGGAATTATTCTGCCTTCCTATCATTTTCATCCACATCATCGCACGCATCATGTCTCCAAGACACTCGCCGCTGGTGGGTCGTTGACGGGATAGGGCAGCCGAGCAGTCAAACCCTCTGGCGCTGGTCGTCATTGCGCTCCCTCCGATGCCCAACGTTTGCCACATCAGGCATTCATGGCAGGATTCTCGTGCTCTTCCTATTATCTCTTGCCTCTTGCCGCCTTGTCTGACTGTCACGCATAGCCCTCTGTTGGACAGGCGGTTACATCGGTTACATTGTCGTTATACTCGTTGTACAAGACGCGACCTCTGCCGCTGTCCAGATCGGGACAAAATAAACAAGACCACTCTTACGTAGCATTATCAGTCAGGTATTATCAATGCTGCCCCTATTCCCCGGCCTCTCCACACTACGGGGCTTGGTCAGTATTCGGCATCAAGTGCAGCTCAGGCCAGACCATCGCCGTCGTGGACGGTGGGAAGACTGCTCCGTTCAACTTTCGCTCCGCCATTGCACTTTTTAACCCCTATTCAACCTATTCAATATTGATTAAATGACTAGGTCCCAACCCCAGTCAACGTCTCGTTCACCCCGTCTGCGCTAGCTGCGGCCGGGCAGGGCAGCCTAGGCCCGACCCGCAGCACACGGAGTTGAACCCGGTCTTTCCGCCAGCCTATTGTATTGTATTGTTTCCATCTTGGACTGGCCTCTTGCTCCTGAGAGGAGCGCGCCGTCCTTGTAACACAGTTGGTGTCAACTGCTTCCCGTCGGGGCGTCCCGAGTTCATGCGACACTCGCTGCTATCTGCTAGGTGTATTGCTACTCGTCATGTTGCCAACAACGCAGAGGCCCAGCAACCTGGTCCTTTTCAATGCCTGCCCCTAAAATATTTTCACCTGTTCATGCAAACTGGTGGGCAGCTGCTGAATCGCGGCCAGGGAATGCCGAAGCTCAGACGAGTCGGTCTCTGTTGTGGCCAGAGGGCTGTCACTGCAGCCTTGAAGCAGCTGGCCACCAAGGTCCAACGCTCTTCTGGCGACCCCTTGACCCCTTTTCTTTTTACTCGCTTTATTTATGCGCGTGACAAGGTGACACTCTGCGAACCGACCCCTTCTTCTTCTTCTTCTTCTTCTTTCTTGTGTTCCTTTGACCGTTGTGGTTGTGCGCGTCTGTGTTGCTGACCGCTTTGTGCGCACAAGGACGGTGCCGACCCAGCCCTCTTCAGTGTAGCGCCGGTGACACTCTGCTAAACACAAGGCGGTAAAGACTCAAGATTCGCGATTTTCCCGGGCGTCTGTGTTGCTCACCGCATCTAACATGCGACTTTGTGCGACTGCCGTTTTCGAGAACTCACAAGGCTTGGGGGGGAGAAAGGCCTGTACGAAAAAGTAGGGCAGACCTGCAAGGGGAACAGCCGAAAGTGCAAGGGCATGGGGTGCTGGCCGCCCATTGACCGCCTCACGCACAGTGCATGAACGACAGACTAGACGGGGTGGCTGAATGGCACATCATCTTTCTGTTTTTCTGGTGGCGGGGAATCCTGACCATAGATTTATAAAAAAAAAAAATTCACCCTGGTCGTGCGATAACAAGGGCAACGCGTCGTGATGCTGGATCTGTGGTGGGTGGAGGTGGATTTGCTTGCCCTACCTAATAGGCGAAACGGCAGCATGATATCTGTGAAATGTGTCGTCATTGTCAAATTTAGACCATTACCCTATATTCGAGGTTGTATTTGGATATTTGCGAAACACTCGGCTAATTGTTTATCATGCGCACTGCGCATTGGCTACATCATTTCCTTGTAAATTTTTATTCATGTCGTCATGCTTTATATACTTTTTTTACATAAGTTGGTGACCGATAATGACAAATTATTCGTTCCTCGGAGATACCTCCACGCTATATCTGTCGTGGTGGGATGCCGTCGTGTAAGATTACGACTACGACTTACACGTACTCATATTACAAGGGATGCGATTTGTAATTTACAAAACTCGCTACAACTGTAGACAAGCGAATGCATAATGCCAACACGACCTAATCTGTAAACAGCTTGGCAAAAAAATCGACAATGATTCCACACATGACTATTTTTAAACTCAACGCTTACATGCAACAACACCTCGCCAACGCCTTGCCATGTTTCACCCACTATCATGCAACTGTAACTCGCCATTTCATAAAACCAATTACTCAATACAGGTCCATCTTTTCGAGATGAATTAACCCATTAGCGGGCTATCCGCAGTAAAGAAAAGAAAAAAAAAAGTCAGCCATCGAACTCAAGAAAAGCAGACACCAGCCCCGACAAGGATCGGGGCCACGGCGTAAACCACATTGAACACAGATAAAAAAAAACAACTCACAGGCGTAAACTGCCGTAGCTTGACGCCAGCCTCGCGGAACACGGCCGCCGTCTCCGTATCCATGCTGTAGCCATGCGCGTAGACGACCTCGCTGATGCCCACCTGGCAGATCTTGATGCTGCACGTCAGGCACGGGCACGTGTCGCAGTACAAGACGGAGCCGCCGCGGATGCGCTCGCGGCCGGCCTCGAGCAGCGCATTCTCCTCGGCGTGGATGCACAGGCACGTCGCGAGGCCGACGCCCGACGAGTTGCCGCTGTTGCAGCGCGGACAGCCGCCCTCGGCGCAGTTGCGCAAGCCCCTCGGCGTGCCGTTGTACCCCGTCGACACCACGCGCTTGCCCTCCCCGACGAGCACGCACCCGACGCGCCGCTTCATGCAGTTGCTGCGGTGCGCGGCCAGCGAGGCCAGCGCCATAAAGTACGTGTCCCACCCGGGCCGCAGCCGCTCCGGGTCCGCGAGGTCCAGCTTGCCGAGCGTCGCGTACAGGTGCGCCAGCGTCGGCGACGTGTTGACGAGGCGCACCGTCGCGCGCGCGATGAGCGGCTGCAGGCCCTGTTGCGGGCAGTACAGATGCTGGTCGCTGGCCGCGGCAAAGGCCTCGAGGGTGAGCGGCGCGGCCGCGTCGTCGTCGCTGCCGGCCGCCTCGATGCGCGCCGTGTGGCGCCGCCAGCGCACGAGTAGCGGCGCGTCGGTCGAGATGAGCATAAAAAAGGGGCGCCGTAGGAAGACATCAAGCACCTTTTCCGTAGGAATGTCGGTCGTGACGAAGCGACTGCGCCAGCTGAGCGTCACGAAGTCGAGAAGCGCCTCGGCCGTGTCAAAGGTCTGGCTGTCGGGCCCTCTCGCAAACGGCGACCTCGACGACGCGCTCGCTTGAGCGGCGGCCGGGCCCAAATCCGTGGAACCATTCGCTGGTTTGCTGCCGAAGCCATTCACCCCCTTGGGCTCGCCGCGCAGGTAGAGCGGTTTGAAGCCATGGTGCTCGACCAGATACTGCGCCACCGTCTTCTTACCGGAGCAGATGCCTGTCCCGCGGGTGTCAGTATATTGCGAGACACTTTGCCATCTTTAGCACGATTCATCTTACTTCCGCATACACCGATGAGCATGCTGAATCAATCGTCAGCCGCCAAAGACTTGCAGGTGGGTTCCAATCTTATTCTGCCAAAAGTTGAGCAAGCACGGGCAAGGTCGTGAGAATATTGGAGGGACGTGTCTCGGGCGCGATTAGAGGTGGGTCTTCGAATTTAATAGGTTCTGCCTCAGCTGTCCGAATCGAGACAGCGGCCCTTTTCTCCAGCTGAGTATATTGGCAGAAGAGACATGGAAGGACTTCTAGAACATGTTCGTAAGATAACAAAGTGGTGTACCGAGCCGATATTCAGGCGTTTTCTGTAGCCCTTCAATTTGACACCCCAAAGGCTACGCGATCCCTGCATCTCAGTGCCATCTAAAGACAGCAAAGAAAGTACAGAGTAGAGAAACACTGGTACAAATTTCGATAAAGTGCGACGAGATGGGAGAAGAAGAAAAAGAAAATAAAAATACAAGAATAGAAACTTGTTATTGGAAAGAAGCTCATCTCATCTTCAAGGGCTGACATGCCAAAAAGAAAAGTTCTCCGGTACAGGGAATCGAACCCTGGGCTGCTCGGTTCCTTATTGAGAGCGAGCGATGTTAGCCACTACACCATACCGGATGATTTCTTGTTGAAGGAGATTAGCTTAAAAGACTATATGAAGGCTTTTAAGTATTGTTGAGATGCTTGAGCTCAACTTGCGGAGCCCGATCAACAGTCTGAGATATTTGAGTCTCGTCCGCGTCTGTTAAAAACTTGCAGATACCTCTGAGAGATTCTTCGACAATTATGTATATCTCCTTTCCGCAATTTCTTGTTGGCTGGCGCCCGTTGCTGCCCGGGAGGCGCTTGCCCCGCGGCGGGGCAGCCGACCAGGACATCTGCCTACTCAAGTTGTCATGATGACTGTCTTGGTCAGATGACAAACTGCATGCGCTTTATTATTGACCACAGCACGCTGCCAACCAGACTTATCAGAAACAACAATTATCCGTACACGAGCGCACCTTCAATCCTCTTTCCATAGCAGGTACATCGATTGTGAGCAAAGGCAAACAACAGCGCGTTAACGTCTTCGATACCAAGCTCCACGAGCGCTTGCGACAACACCGCGCGCGACACGCGCAGCAGCAACCATGGCGACTCCTTTACAGTTTGCCCCATTCGCATCCGAGATTGAGTTGCCATTCTACTCGGCGCTCTTTGCATCCAAGCTCGACTATGACAAGCTTGATGACTCGGCGCGCGGGGTTCTCGGGCTGTATGAGCCGCGAGTAGAGCAGCCTGAAGCGAGCAGCAAGATGCAGATATTGGGTAATGCCCTAACAAGCAAAAAGTATGGTCTGTTGTCGGGCATGACTTTTCTGCACGGAATACAAGTATGGCAATGTTTGGTTCCGCGACTGACCAAGGTGCAGTGCGCCGCTGGGCACAGCCAGAGCCGAAGGTATCATACGAAACGTGAACACTTTGGAGGACTTTAAGAACATGGACAAGACTGCCATGCTGAAGACGGCAGGGCGACAGGTGAGATATGTCGTAGCTACTTACTGCAGCACTACTGACGTGTACAAGATTTGGGATGCCATCAATGACGGTACAATCTACTCAGTCCCTTCTCTCCTCTCCTCATTCGTCATTCTCTCGTACGCAGATCTCAAAAAATATAAATTCACATACTGGTTCGCCTTTCCGGCGCTTCATTCCGACCCAGCCTGGCGCCGCTCCGGCCCCAGCGAACGCCTCACACCCGATGAAACGACGGCCCTGGTCGACCGTGTCGGCACATGGCGCTACTCGGTTGACGGCCGCGAGCACGGCTTTTTTCTCGCCAAAAAGGTTCACGGACCCGAGAGTGAGGACCACGACGAATACGCAGACGAAGCTGAAGAGATGGAACCCGATACAGAGGCCGAAACGGCCGCCAGCAAACTAGCGTACCACTGGAACGTGGGCTCGCTGCGCCGCTTCGAAGAGGGCTTTTTCAACAATGTCGCCGAGGAGGACCGGTACATATGCTTCGTCGACTCGTCCACGCACGATGAAGGCCCGTCATGGCCCCTGCGAAACCTGCTGGTGCTGATCCGCCAGCGGTTCCGCCAGACGCGGGTCAAGATCCTCTGCTACCGGGACACGCGGGCGCGGCGGCACGAGGCCAGGAGTGTGGTTCTGCCGCTGGAGATGGACGCGGTCAGCAGCATAGAGATGGCTGAGATGCCCAAGGTGACGGGCTGGGAGCGCTCGCGCAACGGCAAGCTCCAGGCGCAGCAGGCTAACCTGGGCGAGTACATGGACCCGGCGCGGCTCGCCGACTCGTCGGTCGACCTCAACCTCAAGCTCATGAAGTGGCGGCTGGCGCCAGAACTCGACCTTGATGGCATCAAGAACACAAAGTGCCTGCTGCTTGGCGCTGGCACTCTCGGAGGCTACGTGTCGCGTAACCTGCTCGGCTGGGGAGTCCGCAAGATTACCTTTGTCGACTACGGCCGGGTGTCGTACTCGAATCCCGTGCGGCAGCCGCTCTTTGAGTTTGAGGACTGCGTGGGCGGTGGGAAGCCAAAAGCCGAGGCGGCGGCCGCTATGCTTCGCCGTATATACCCCGGTGTCGACGCTCAAGGTCATTCGCTCGCGGTGCCCATGCTCGGCCATCCATTCACCGACGAGGCACGCACAAAGGCGGACCTGGACAGGCTCAAGATGCTGATTGACGAACATGACGTGATTTTCCTCCTCATGGACACGCGCGAGTCGCGGTGGCTGCCGACGGTCATGGGCAAGGCCGCGGGAAAGATTGTCATGAATGCGGCACTGGGATTCGATTCTTACGTTGTCATGCGACACGGCGCCGAGACGATGCAAGAGGGCCATCTACCTCTGGGATGTTACTTTTGCAACGATGTCGTTGCACCGGCAGATGTAGGCTTTTTTTCCTTCTCAGCAACCCCTCAGATTTCATACTAACCAATACTCGCAGTCCATGAAGGATCAGACTCTCGACCAGCAATGCACCGTGACCCGGCCCGGCGTCGCCGCCATCGCCTCCGCCCTCCTCGTCGAGATGCTCACCAGCCTCCTGCAGCACCCGCTCCGCAACGCCGCGCCCGCGCCGCAGCATTCCCCATCGTCGGCCGAGCGCGACCCCCCGACCCATCCTCTCGGCCTTGTGCCGCACCAGATCCGCGGCTACGTGTCGACGTTTACCAGCCTCGTGATTCGCGGCCAGAGCTACGACTGCTGCAGCGCGTGCAGCCCAAAAGTGCTGGCCGCGTACCGCGCCGACGGGTGGCAGTTTCTGCGGCGCGCCCTCCAGGAAAAGGACTACGTGGCTGAACTCTCCGGGCTGGCCGAGGTGCAGCGCCGCGCCGAAGAGATGGCGGGCGAGCTGGACTGGGACGATGAGGACGAAGGTTTGGGGGGGGATGACGACGGCGAGCTGCGGTGATGAATGCTTTGTAAAAGATTCAGAGGAGGTGGAGAAGTGAGAGGATGAGACACTATGGCTGTCGATGATGTGAACCAGTACATGTAGAGAGGAACATGGGGTTGTTGAAACGATGATGGACGGGTATGGGCTTATTCTACAGGTCTGAAGGAGATTGACAATGGCGTACACTAGGATATTTTTTTGATTTCATTTTCTGCAGACTTGTTGGCGTCTTTTGGGGAAACAATTGTACAGCAATGACTTCTATTCATTTTCTGCTTTGATTCAATTGATGCTCGCCCGTTCTTGACCGTTCTCACATAGTGTCACAATCACCGTGTGTTTGCGTTAAGCTTGCGTGGTGGTGCCGGGAACCGCGCGCAACGTTTGACAGGTAATCGCACATTGGAGGAGGCCCCTGAATGTCGCCGTCTCACCATCTAAAGAATATATATGGAAAAAGACTAAGCGGTAGGCTAGGGTTACAAAGAATGATGTGCAGCGTTCGCTCGTGAATCGGGTGGTTCGATCCAGTGGGCCAGGACTGGGGTGGCGGCGTCTGCGGCCTGACGTAATGATGCGCAGACCACAGAGGGATAGCGTCACAGCCACGATGACAAACTTTGGCAAGGGCATTATTCAGTCACAGATGAGGGTGAATCATGGAACAGTAAACATGTAGGAAAAAGTCTTTGGATTGATGGGTATCGAAGAGAAAATTATCGTGGCCAAATATCGCCCGCGTCATGCAACCCAGCGACCCTCCGCATCTCCAATTCGTCATTAGGAGAGCAGAACAGTCGTAGACCGTTGCTCATTACACTAAAGAAGCCAAAAAAGCAAATGAAAGAAGTCGCCGTCGGTCGTCGTGAAGATTGAGGGAGCGTGCGAAAAATGTCGCGGAAGTAAAATGAGCAACAAGTTCGTTGGGATGGAGTAAAGCGTAAAAGGAGCGTGATGAGAGGCGCTGGCGACCTGAGCCGAGGAGATCCGGAAGCAATCAAAAGCTAGGCACTCTTTGCACGCAAGATGCCATCGTTACAGAATGCAGCGGGTGAGCTCGGAAGACCGGCGGACGGTCGCCACCGTGGGGCGCTTGGCGGATTGCACAGGGAGTCATGGTGCAATGGCTAGGCTCTGTCGCGACTCTCACATGAGGCGCTGTGAGGCGCCGACGCACTTAATACTTGAGAATGATGTACAAAGCGTGGATGATACCGGGAATGTAACCTATAAAGGGAGGCAAGTAATTAGTATCAAAGGATTTTCGGTGATGCCAAGCGCCAAAGTAGGCAAGTGAAGCTTACCAAGGATGGTCAAGCAGATGTTGATGCAGAGGTCAGCACCACAGCCACGCTCCAGAAGGACACCGATGGGAGGAAGGATGATGGCAAGGAGGATTTTCTAAGAATTGGTTAGTATTTGGGGTCAACTCCTGACAAGGAGTTGCTCGTAGACGTACGCAAATGTCGCTAGAGAAGAGAGGATCAAGTTAGCTCGGCTGTTCCGGGAGAATGGGCGCTATGGCGCGCAACAGTAAACGGGCGCCAGAATTGCGCTGACGAGCGAGGTGCTGATAGCTGCGGCAGCGAGGGCGATGAAGCTTACCTGGCGGTGAAAGGCATGTTGGCGGATTGAAGACGGCAACGAGAATAAGTGAGTTTTACTTTATAGCTGTGTGGTGGTGTTGTGAATGGGTGGACGGGAATATGTTGGAGAAACAAAAGTAGAGAAGGCGACGGGTGGCGGGGAGGGGGCAGCAAGAAGCTTATAAGAAGGGAAAAAAAAGAGGACAGCCCAGCGCGGGCCGGAGCTTAAGGGCTACCACCTACCTACCCTTGCGGTAAACTTGGCAGGCGCTCGGAATGGGATCAAAGAAGGGAGCTCAGTGCAAAAAATGGCAATTGAATGTAGTGCAGCGGCAGGTGAGATTTGGTAGGGCCGGTTCGGGGAACTTTTCGGTTGGGCGGATTACTGTGGCAGGCCAGGTAGACAGACATGCATACACAAAAGCCCACAACACAAACTTGAGCTGGGGCCGGTGTCTCCGCCTTGGCCGGACACGGACTTGCTAAGCCACAGCAACCAGCCCTGGCTCGATGCAACACTTGTTGACTCCCAGGCTGCGCTGCTTTGGCTGTCTTGGCTGTCAACCTTGCTGCGTACAGGGTGTTTTTTTTTGTGTGTATCATCTACAGCTTCTTTTCCCTCGCTTGCGCTCCGAATCCCGGGGTTTTGAGCAGCCTTGCACCTTGCAAAGAAAAGCTGTGCAACTCTTGTCTTTATCGGCGTACCTACTGGTTTGGCAAAGCTATCCATACAACAAGGCAGCTTCAGGCCCCACAGAACTGCGCCCAATCGGCTGAGCAGCTTGGCCAAGCTTCCTCCATTCTCTATGGGAGATGGGGAAAGAAAAAAAATCTTTCCATGGTCCTTCCTTTATCAGCCAGTAATGGCAGTGAAAAAAAAATTACTTGCTCTACTCTACTTGATACAACCATGCTGAAGTCTCTGCTCAATTTCATCGTCGATTTGACCCGTCCAGAACAAAATAAACTGGCGCTCTGGCGGGGCAAGCTTTACTGTGAATCAAAGCTGTACTGCGTCATCGACAAGCCACAGTTGCCGGCAGCCATGCTCCACTGGGGCCATTTCTTTATTGCTCTCTTAATTTCTTTTATTTATTTATTTTCACTACTTATTTTTATTTATTTATCCAACCTCGATTTTTGAGTTCTGACCTGGGTCGCACCACGTAAGAATCGTCGAGGCGCTTGCAAGCCTTTGCGAGATCCGGACGCGATGCAAGTGAGAGATCACGGAGAGAACACGCAACAAAACCAATATCAATAGTCTATAGACAGCACCACCCGTTCCAAAGCCGTCAGCTGACGGCCTAGAGGGTTTGCGACAGTCGTCTCTTATCGCTGATCCGGTCGCTCCCCCTTGGCGAAGCCTGGGCGTATCGCTGGGCCACATGCCTGCCGTTGCTCGTACGTCATTGGGGGCTTGGGGCCGGGGGACGTGTTTTAACGTGCCTAGAAACGCCCAAACGAACGCTGCCACGGCTTTGCACCAAGAGAGCCCAGCCTTGGGCCAGTGCCGATGCGTCGTTAATACTTGGTTGCTTGGCCATGCAACCATGCGACCCAAAAAAAAAATTTGGATATTACCTAGATTACCACAATGCACACCTTGGTAACGGATACTCCGTTACGGATACAATATGGCAGTATCGCAGGAGGACGGAAGAAACGGTACGACGTTGCCTATTGGTGAGTTCCGACCTGGCAAGGCCGAATCTACCCCATACCCCCGATTACCGACCTCTATTGGCCCTCGTCGTCGCATTACCCCTGCGTTAACCATGCCACATATTACGACCAAGCTCCAGGAATTGGCTCCAGAATGACTGCTAGACTTGGGGCAAGGCGGCAAGGCATGACCGTTTTGCTTCCCTGCTTTTTTCTCTTGCCAATTTCCAATCAGACAATGCAGCCATTATCACCACGCCCAGCATAATATTCTTACTGTGGCACCTTGCGTCACCCGCCACAACTACAAATCGTCCGTTTGTCATTAGTTACATCACACTCACGTCTTTCGTCCGTCCCTAGCCTTGTGGCGCAGCGGCCGACTTAGCCGTGCGTTTTTTCACAAGCCCTGTTTTACTATCCCGTTTGCTCGAAAAGTCCACCATCTCGACAACGAGATTCTTTCCATCTGGAAGCTACCTCATCTTGATGCAAGTGCTCTTGAAGTCTGCCAACTCCCGTCTGCAGGTGCATCACTCGCTCCCCTAGTCTACCGCTGTCGCCGATTTATCATATGCAACATGTATTCCAGGCCGGTGGCTGTGCTGACCTGCAGTCGAATTTGGGCATGTCTGGCACGGCCTGGTCAGGTCAGGCTCGTCACACGCACACAGGGATTTATGATTTTTTTTTTTTTTAAAAAAAAGACACCACAATACACATGGCGTCGCTTGACGCCGAAGTGGCCGTGCTGCGCTCGGGTTCCCGCGCCCACAAAGGATGCGTTGCTCGACGCTAGATGCTTGGCAAAATGGCGAAGCCTTTCTTGTCCAACCTGCAGCCAGAATCGAGCGGTGTGCTCTTGACGGGCGTCTAGATGCTTCCCGTCACATCTTTGCCGTGATCGGAGATTTCATCAGTTTTACAATGATGCATGACCAGATCTGTCGACAAGGGGCTGCTCTGCTGCTCCAAGAACCACGCTTCCAACTGTGTAGAAGTGAACGATTTGTATTAATATTACAGCCCAGTCTCAACGACGGACAGCCTCGGCACTTGACTTGATGATACACATGATGGACCGCATCACAACCATCATCTCTCTTTACAAATCTTCCCCCCCTCCTCCTTAATCCGCCTTGACCGGGCTCCCCGCCATCCTCTTGCCGTACAGCACCGTGCCCGCCAGCAGGCTCCCCGCCGCCGCGCCCAGGTACACGCCCACGACAATTGTCACCGGCCACCGCTGCCAGTCGCGGTCCCAGTCGAGCGGGATCGGCACCGCACCGAGCCACGCGCCCGCCGCCGCCCCGACCAGCGCGCCAAACGTCTCGTCCAGCGGCGCCGTCGCGCCCGCCACCGCGACCAGCGCCGTCCGGTCCAGCCCCCGCGCGTGCACCACCGGAAACACGCCCAGCAGCGCAAAGTGCGCCGCGCACAGCGCCGTGTGCGCGGTGTGTGAGAGGAACGGCGCGCCGAAGAGCACAAACAGCGCGTATAGAGCCGGAACCGTCAGCGTCGAGAGGAGGAGGGCGATGATGGCGCTCTGCGAGTGGGGGGGTGAGTGACAGTTAGCATGAATGTCTGAGATTGCCCAGTATGCCCTTTTAAAAGCTTCGTAGTCGAATATTCTGACATGTGTGTGTATGTGTATGTGTAGATAAAACGTACAGAAATGGGATTGGCTCCTCCGTCATTCTTGCGGGCCTTTTCACCCGGCCGCGGCTTCTTGCCCGCCTTGCCCGGCGACCCGGCGGGCGGAATACACAGCACCGCGTAGACGGCCTGCACGGCTGCCACTACCGGCAGCGCCCTCCACAGCGTCGACACGGGGTCGGCGACGAGATTGTCCATCTGCCACGCCAACAGGCCCAGCAGCACCGCGACGCGGCCCACGGAGACGCCCTTGGCCAGCGGCGAGTCGTACACGGGCACCGGATGCAGCAGGATCTTGGGCTTCGCTTCGGCAGCCTCGGGCCCAGGGCCGGCGGCGGCCGTCGTTGTCGTCTTGGCCGAGGGCATGGGTGTTGGGATGGGTGTGCGGTAAACGTTGTATTGTCCAAGGGCCGTCAGGGTGAGCTTTCCGCGCCAATATGTGGTGGAAATGACTGCATCTCCATCGCGAAGTCACGTGCAGCCTGCCTGCTGGTTTGACGGGTATAAGCAACTGAGCCGTAAATTTGTTGAATCTTGACGTGATGACTGGTAGTAGAGTTTCAAAGACAGAATTTCAAGAGATGATCGTTTTGAATGTAGTTTTGAGTAATGTTCATTGCTTGCCTCAGCTGATCAGTCGCTCAGGGCAGTTGATCTGGTGATCTGATTGGCGGAGGCAGATTCTAGAAAGACGAACCAGGCACACACACAAAGCATTTTTCAACGGTCCCCCGGATTTTCCCAGAAGCATATTAAAAATCCAATTCACTGATTCGTCTTTGATTGGATTTGTATGCGTCATCTGGGCCCTTTTCGAGGGGTCCCCAATGGTCTCCCGACTATCAGGCCACATCCAGGCCGCCTCAGCACAGTAAGCATTCCGCAAAGAACCGCATCTTTCCCCCGGGACCCGCCCGGCTGGGCTGGCTGCCCTGCAAAATGGTGCCACAATCGCTGCGACTCACACCTTCTGGCGCGAGCCACGACAACCGCCCTCACCAGACTATGCGCCCTTGGTGGTGTGATTCGCGGGTGCCCGCCCGGCGCGTTGGCTCGTCTTGCCATCGTTGTCGGCCCATGGCGCCTGAAGAGGACGCGCTCAGAGCCCGGTGATATTTTTTTTTTTTGGGTTCAAAGGGCGGCGCGGGCCATTATCGTGGGATAGAGCGTATCGGGGGCCCGCGGCCGGGAGGAGTCATGGCATGGACGAAGGCGAGGAAAGAATACAAAAAGGTGCCGCGGAGCCGCGTAGATTTGCATCTTGTATCATCTTGCATTATCAAGTCAATCACTTCAAGAAACATCTCTACTCATTTCTGTCTATATACGAAGCCCTTCACCACTCACTCCCATCGTCGAGCTAGCAACCAACAACTCTACTCTTAACGATTGTTGACGAACATTTTTATACCTACTTCTCGAAATACTACCAGCAAAATGCTACCTGCTGCTCGCATCATCGGCCGCCGCCACTTTTCTCTGCTGCAATCAATGCGCGCTGTTGGCCGCTCCATGGAGTCGCATCCCTTTGAGCGTCTGTCCAAGACACAAAAGTCGGCGCCCGCCAACTGGGCCGGCGAAGCAAAGCGCTTTGGCGTACAAATATCGATGTGAGTCATGTGTTCTGCCACTTATACTGGCAAACATTGTTTCATGCTGACTCTTTGTCAAGGTTCGTTCCTGGTATTGGCCTGCTGCTTGGCTGGCCATTGCTCGCCGCCAAGGCTGTCGATGGCCATGTCTAAGGCGCAGTCGGTGACCAACATTTACACAAGCAGCATTCGAACCAATATTCTGAGAAAAGAGGAATGACCCATTCTTCAACCCTCATAGATTCCCTTTGTTATGCATCATTACCCCCGGCGTTTGGGCGGGCATACTGCCATCAAGTCTTTCGCAGTTAAGGATTACATCTCCATTTAGCTAGCTTTTCAAATGAAAAATAAAGCCAATCATCTCAAAGGCGAGTTTGACAGTGAAAAGTCATTCATTGCGTCTATATTGCGTCTGCAACCCGTTGCATGCACACACTCGTGCTAGGATGCTGCGGGGAATCTGTCGAACATTCTTCGGCCCTGGTTCGTCCCAAGTTGCTACATGTGCATTGATAGTTTGCGGACATGATCTCACATGTTTACATCAGCAGATACCATCAGAAGCATCAGCACCGGCCAGGCCGTGGTGTTTCCCCGCATTGCACGGCAACGATCCCTCGCCCATCGCCGCCTCCCCCGCACAACGCTAGTGAAAGCCGACAGCGATCGCCGAGGGCCTTGTACCAGTTGCGTTGTACATGAAAATGTCTTGCACGCCACTAGAAGGGTTTTCCTCCCCTTGGGACCCCTTGTACCTACGTTGTGAGGGAGTGTCTGTACAATACGCGGTTCGCATTGGTTGGTACAGCGACGAAGCGGGATGCCGCACCCAACGTCAAACTGGTTGAGGATGCTGCCGCGGAAGCATAATGGACCGAATTAAATTCACGAAGTCGTCATGCCACCTCTGCTCGTCCGTGAGCGGTGAATAGCGCGGTAAGCTAGAGCGCCATCGGCGGCGAAAGATTGCTCTTTGACTACTCCTGACGGTCATTTTGCGCATACATGCTTGAATTACGTTGACAGGTGAGATCACCCTTTTGAACTACATGGTCTACAGAAGCTGACCTTATCGGCAGAAACAGCATTGCCACCGTGAGGCTGCCAGGGCTGGAGCAGGATCTGAAGCTCAATGCCAGCGGCACCCAAGTTTCAGTCGATAAGATACCCTTCAGCTGTGAGCAGATTCTGCTGACGGACGAGGGGATAGACTGTCATCAGCATCATATTTGTAGGGTATTATCAACTTGGTGTTGGATCAAATGGAAGACCGGGCATGCACCTCCCCGCTTGCGTAAGATGGATGCACTTTTCGAAACCCATCCCGACCATTGCAATTGCTAACACACTTGGACCACTTAGATGGCAGTTCGGGGTGTCATACCAGTTACGACCGCAGTTCCAGATTCAGAGTCTTACCAGCATTCCTTTCTCGGCTTCGTCGAAGCCGACTATTCGTATGGGAGCTCTCATGGCCTGTGACAAGTCTAGTTGTGACGGTCATGAAAGTCTAACAAGACGCAATGAAGCTTGTCATCCTGTTTGGCTTTGTTTCTGCAGCATTCATCATCGATATCTTCCCAATGGTTGTCTGACAATCGCTACATTCTTCATCGCCACATCCACAACTGATATGGCAGAGCGCTATGTCAGCATTATGCTCATGGTTAGTTCCCGTCCTGCATGGCTATGGAGTTCACACTGGTCAATGTCAGCTTTTAGCCAACACCAGCTCTTTAGAAGAAAAATCTCGGGCTCGTATGAATAGCGGCTACACGCCTGCGCCGGCTAGATAAGCAATACGCTGCCTCGCCCACCCGCCAAGCGCGCCGCGGCGGTGGGCTTCATCAACGCACCAACCAGTTACACGAGCTACCCGGATCCATCCGCAGCCGCGCCACAGTAACGAGGCGGTCTTGACGCACAAGTACTTCATAAATGCTTGTGGTAGCGGACCTTGCTGCAGAGGATGCTGGCGAAGCTTAACGAAAAACTCAACGAAAAGCTTAACAAAGGCGAGCGCAAGGGAGCCGTGCATGCTGCCCCAGGCGAGGCTATAGTACATGGCTTCCATTTTCGGCTCTGAAGCGGAGATTGAGCAGGATCAAAAGCAAGTATGTTCCTCAACGGCATGCACGGAATTGATGTTTAGTGCTTGAATCTTGTTTGTGATGATTGCGAATGATTTCGTCTTGCATTTACCCCGTCGCGGCGGCCCGCAGTCGTTTATCAGCGAGGTGAAGTGACTAACGACATATCGGGGACCCTTCTGTCATGACAGTGACTGATATAGAGCGTAGCGATAACTGTGTTACATGCAAGGCTTTGGCAAGTTGCACAAAGCTGGCCTCTAGATCGGCCTTTTCTTTGTTCTGCTCGTCATGAGTGCATGCAGCTGTTGCTAATTCCAGCTAGCTGAGAGATGACGTGCATGAGGGACAGACCGCGTTGCAGATGGATGGGTCAGAGTGGCTTGCCATCAACACAGGCGAACAGGTCTATTGTTACTTGCTTGAATGACCATGAATCGGGAACAAACGACAGCAGAGAAGACGACTCATGGCACCCCGTAGTGCAAGATACATACGAAGCATGCGCACACTCTTGTTGCTGTTTCCTGAAATCTTTTTGCTCGTCTTCTTGGCAGTGGACACAATACGAGGGGCTTTTCTTAGCGCTAGGTTTCTGGTCCGTTTCAGTAGCGGCAAACGAGGCATGGCAGGGAGGTTTTTATTCCAACAAGAGGGAAAGCATCATTGTGCTGCTGTCGATGGTTTCAGCAAATGGAGCGCGTTTCACAGTAAGGGCAGAGTTGTCTGCTGTTGTGATGTGACTACTACTTCGTTGACCGACACAGACCTTTACTGGTTTCGCGGGAGGGGGCAATCCGTACAAGCTGCGTAAAGTGGTGCCAGGCAACCAGGGAAACATGAAGCTTAAAGCGGGTTATTGCTTGGTTTCACGCGACTCCATCTGTATCTAGGGAGGCAATTCGCGGAAAGTTGGTTGAGTTGGACGTTGAGGATGGTGATGATGGGTTATGGCTTGAACGGAACCATGACGGGCATGCAAGTCTATAAAATGGGACGTTGAAGCTCGGTTGCGAGTTACATAGTATTATCAGGTGGAAAGACTGTCGGCGCAGGCATCTGAAAGAGGATGCGCCGAGCACCTGCAGGAGCTGAAAAGGAGTCCGTCTGACTCCGGAAACGAGATGCTCGGAGGGTCTGTGCCGCCAATGACAGAAGCCGGCCGGCCAACCGCATCCGCGTGGTTGAGCGGTTGGTGGTACACTAGACTCCGCTTTAATCTTAAATGGTCCAGGGCTCAAAGTGAGATGAGAAGACGGGCATGAGCAAGGGCGGGCCGCCGCCGGCCAGTAAGTACATGTGCCTGGAAGAGCATGACCAGCTTGCCAGGGGTAATTCGAGGTTCTCAGGACTATCGCGTGTTGCGACAATGCAATGGGCACTGTTCAAGGTCAATGCCAATTCAGTGTCAGAATATATCCCCGGCCCAGCTGTTGGCCAGGAGAGCTTCGTCTAGTTAGTGTACCGTCAGATCCAGGCTGCACAAAATATGTTTTGGAAAAATGTTTTAAAAGGACGGTGCGTTTACCGCGTAGCTATCAAAGTTAGTGTCATTCGACTAGTTAGCCTCTGAGGGTGATAGGGCGATTCGTTCAAGGGAGCACTTGAGCAGCACGGACGGCCGCATACGGTGACCGCCTGAATGTAACCAGACGGTGTCAAAATGCCGATGGTGCGTCCAGAAATTAGTGCGATGGAGCAGCATTGTGAGCGCCGCAAAGGCAAGACATCCATGGGACTGGCATATTGGTTAGTGGCGGGAGATATGCAACTGTGGGAGGAGTCAGAGCCACACAATGCAATCAGAGAAGCAGATGCGCCGCTGCAGAAGAAAGCTGTGGTACAGATTCGTAACTCCATTATTAAATAGTAGTTTGCAATGATGCGCATAAGCGAGTGATAAGATGGAGATGTCCGGGTCGGGGTAGTGCAGGGACCTTTCTTTCTCGATCGGTCATGAGCCATTGTAACAGCAAGATTCAGGACAAGGGCCAATCCAAGAGAAAAGAGAGATTGGCAAAGTCTGTTTCCAGGCCCATCTTTACTGTCTAGTTATTTACTGACGCGATGTTGTGATGTGGGCTTTGCTTTACGGCACAGGGTGAATCTGGTGTAACGAATCGATAAAGAACAAAGGATACGATGCACAGTACGGATTAGCAATGGGTTATCTAGGCCGAAAACAAACATTCAAATACGTACCAGTAGCAACATCGGATGAGGAAATGACTGACCCATGAGTTGGGCGTGTCTCACAAATCACAATAGGTGACTTGAAAAGATGACGCCGGAAAGAAGCGTGGTACCTGCGAGTCGACGTCGAGGTACATGAGGAGCTTCTGTAGAGGAGGGGAGGGGGGTCGCTGTGACTGGACCAGGGGATATTAAATATTAGATGGTTGGCCAATAGAAGGATCGGATTTCATCAAGCCCGCAGCAGGGTGCTACACTGTAGTTTGCCGGGCTGTATTAGCCTGCAGGACAGGCAAGGGATACATCATCAGACAGGGAATGATAGCAGCATAAATGGTCATGGCAATTTTAATCTTTTTTACCTCGCCTTCGACAGCCCTCTCCATATTGCTCCAGGTATGATGGGAATTTCTGTGCTCGTCGAGGCCGTCGCTCGTCGAGGCTGGTGGCTGCAAGTATTTAGGCTTGCTACTACTTGCCGCCTGGTCGATGGGTACCGTACGGGACGGCCTGAACCCAGCCACACGAGGCAAGCAGGCACCCCGCAGGTACCGTACGAAGTCCAGTATTTCTTCATCATTGCCAGCCAGAGGCAGTTAATCAGGTACGACCGCGTGCGCCGCAGATGGTGCAGGCGGCCGGCCGTCCACTAAAAGCTCCCGACGCCCGCCATCTTGCCCCCTCCACCCCTGTAATCACTTTAGCTCAGCTTCCTGCGGTCTGCTTGTCTGGCAACCTAAGTAGGTACCTCTGCTAACTGGCACAAGTACCTGGCCTCCCCCCCAACCTGTCTTGCCTTGATTCCCTTCTCTTGTTAGCCAGCCTTCTCTGCGCTTGCACTTGCTCTTGTTCCCCATTTCCCTGCCACACCCCCCGGATCGTCAATAATCTCCTCATTGCACACCAACCTTTTTCTCTTGCTTTTCGAAGCCTCACCAGCCTTGACCTCTTTCCTGCTTCTTCTTCTCCGATTCGCCATCCCGTCGATATTTTGTGCAGCTTTGGAATTGGTCGCCTGCTTTCCCATCGACATCGCTTTCAGCATTGACAGACCCTAGCGCGTTGCTGTGCCAGAATCGCACCGCCCGCGAATTCGCCCAGCCACCACACCAACCCCCGAGCCACTGAACCACGACAAGCCCAGCCCAACACAACGAAGGCGCACCGAAGAAAAACTTTAGTTGTGGACGAACTCGCCCGTCGAAGCATACTAAGGGCTACCACATTCGATCTATTTCACTACATGTTAGACAGGGGCGCAAAACCTATACACGTTGCTTGAACGAACCGAACCCTTCGACAGTGCGCGCCTCTCGCTGCTGGACCCAGTTCCGCAAACAGCATCCCCGACGAGCCCTCCCGCTTGGTTCGCCCTCGACACAGAGCTCACGCACCGTCCCCTTTGATCGCGGGGCAGGTGCCGATTCTCTCATATTCAACAGACTGCGGGCTTGCTTGACTCCAATTCCCCCAATCTACTCCATTCTCCGCAGTCGCGATGGGCTCGACCGACTTTGGCAACTTCAATGTACTATATCCCCTCTCAATCGCCATTAGGCATGTTTGCTAACTTGACATTCAACAGAAATTCTGCAGAGATTCTACTCTGCCAGTCTGCAACGTGAGTGCACAATATCTATTCCGAACCCTCGCGACCACAATGCTAAGAGTCCCCAGCTTCTAACAGACAAGCGCAACCAAACGGGACCATGGGATGGCTGTCAATTGACCGGAATTCCCCTCAGTGGAGGTCGGCACCTCGGAAACCTTGGCTCCATCCTCCTGGCTGCTATTGCCATCCTCACATCCGTCTTCTTGCTGCTCAAGTCGGACAAGAAAAAGGCGGCTGTTGGCCGAAGGTTTGCAAAAGCTCGCACCCATCAAGATGCTGGCCGACGCTAACAAGAGGTGCAGGGAAATGCAATTGTTCCTCATTGGCTACATTATCATAAGCATTTGTGAAATCTTTTCCGTCGGCGAATTCCCGCTCTCTGGCAAAGTCCGCGTCGTACGTTGCGCTGCTCGCCCCAATACCGACAAACACTGACCGTTTCTCAGGCCTTTAGCGCTATTCACATTGGCATGATTATTGCCACGACTTGGATTCTCATGCTCAACGCTGTAATCGGCTACCAATTGATTGATGACGGCACTGTGCTCTCTTTGAGTCTCGTTCTTGCATCCGCCGCCGCCTTCTTCATTGGTACTGGCTACATTGCTCTTGATACTGGCTTCGGCTTCACTGGATTCTGGGACTCGAGTTACGCCCTGCCCAACCGCAACCTTGCTCTCTACGTCCTCTATCAGCTTGTGCCCCTCATCTTTCTCGTCGCTTTCTACGTCCTCGAGGTCATTCTCGTCCTTCGCATCCTCGGCGAAATTCGTCCCATGCTCTACCTGACCGGCGCTGCTGTTCTATTCGCCATCGGTCAAGTTTTCAACTATACTATTTCGCCCCATATCTGCAACGGAACCAGCGGCAAAATCGACGGCGCCCTGTTCCAAACTCTCTTCACCCTCTTGTCCGTTGTTGCTGTCTGGGCCTTTTGGTCCAGCATCACCGAGGATGACTGGTCAACCCAGGATAGCACATACCCCTAACCCGCCTCGACTCCGATCCTATCCTTAGATCTATTACTTTTTCTTTTCGGCAAACGGCGTTATTCACGGAGGGGCTGCTATTCACTGCATTTCTACTCTTGATTTTCTTATTATACCGATACTCTATCTATCGGCGCTCTCCAGGCAGCAGGAACACCTCACACAACACTCAAATACTCGACACGCATAATCAATAATTTCCTCAACAATGGTGCTCTTGCAGGCCTGGATACTACGACGCCAACAAAACTACACTTTGCCGCTCTCAATAGCGGATCAACTTGAGAGAACCAGCTTGGTTACAACTCACGGAGCTTTGCTTTGCATATGACTGAAGTGGTTCATTTTCTGATTACGACGAACATGTATTCGTATGGAGCAAAAAGCAAGACGCGACGTGGAGGACGAGGGGATATTTGTTCACTTCTAAGACTAACGCGCTGATGAACCAGCTGCTGTATTGATTTATACACGTTCGTAGTATACCCCAGATGCAACTAATGCTCATGTAGCTTAGCAATCAATAACTATTGCTTTGATGGTTTCGCCGCTCGTTGACTTGTATCGGAAAGTATGATTACTCGCTACTTACATTTTTGATGAAAATTGAAAATAAACGTTTGAAAATCGATGCTGTAATGCTTTGGCTCTAAGTGGTGAGTGGCCGCTGTGGGGAAAGCTTTTGGGTGCGCAAGGCCAAGGCTAGAGCTTTCTGCCAGTGCACCTTCACGTTCAACTTGACGCCTGCAGCCAAGCAGGACTTGTTCCTTGCATTACTCCGCACGGCGCGTCTCTCCATTCTCAAAGCTCTGTCATTTTCATCTCATCTTGCACAGCCAGGGACCAGCAGACAGAATGGCCGATTCCGATGGCGAGTTTGTCGCCGACAACATGTCGGACGACCTCATGGACCACACCATCGAAGACGAGGATGACGATTACGACCACCATGCCCCGGCGGGCGGGCGACCCTCACGATCTGGCGGCGCATCCGGCGGTGGACGACCGAAGCGCAGCAAAAAGGACAGCGGCGGCAGCCGCAAGAAGAAGAAGAATGCGGCGCAGGCGTGGGAGAAATCAAAGCGGACATGGGAGACGGACCTGCCCGAGGAGGGCGAGGACGGGACGCTGGACCTGACGACGCTCGAGGCGGAGAAGAGGCGGCGGCTGCGGCGCGACACGACGCCGCTACAGCGCGGCATCATCCGGCACCTGATGCTGGTGCTCGACATGTCGTTTGCCATGGCGGACAAGGACATGCTGCCCACACGGCACCGTCTGACGCTGCGCTACGCGGCCGCGTTTGTGCGCGAGTTTTTCGAGCAGAATCCCATCTCCCAGCTGGGCATAGTCGGCATGCGCGACGGCGTGGCGGTGCGAATCAGTGACCTAGGCGGCAATCCGGCTGAGCATCTCGAGCGGCTCAAGGCTCTCGAGGGCCAGGATCCGCAGGGGAACCCTAGCTTACAGAACGCGCTGGAAATGTGCCGTGGCGCGCTCTTGTACGTCTTTCTCTGTTTATGGAAGTGATTTGAATTATGCTAACAGGTAGCTGCGCAGCCATGCACCGTCGCACGGCACCAGAGAGGTCCTCATCATCTACGGCGCGCTCCTGTCCAGCGATCCCGGCGACATTCACGACACCATGACGAATCTTATCAGCGACCGAATCCGTGTTTCCATCGTCGGGCTGTCGGCGCACCTCTCCATCTGCGCGGAGCTGTGCTCGCGTACCAACGCGGGCGACACATCGCAGTATAACGTCGCCATGGACGAGGTGCACTTTCGGGAGCTGTTCCTGGCCGCCACCACACCGCCCATCACGCGCACACAGGAGCAGAGCACGGCCAGCCTTCTGATGATGGGCTTCCCCTCGCGGGTGCTCGCGCCCGGCGGCGCTGTGAGCTACTGCGCCTGCCACAACAAGCCCTGCCGCGAGGGCTTCCTATGCACGCGCTGTGGCAGCCGCGTCTGCCGCCTTCCGGCTGAGTGCCCCGCGTGCGGCCTGACGCTCATTCTCTCGACTCACCTGGCGCGCTCCTACCATCACCTCTTTCCGCTGCGCAACTGGGTCGAGGTGCCGTGGGCCAACGCCGCGCAGTCCGCGGCGTGCTTTGCCTGCCAGTGCCCCTTTTCTGCGCCGCCGCGGACGGTTGAGGGGGGCGTCAACGGAGAGAAGCATGCTGACACGCAGGAGACTGGGCGCCGGCTGGCGGCCAAGGGTGTCAGTGAGAGCGGCCGGTACGCGTGCGAGGTGTGCGGGAATCACTTTTGCATCGACTGCGACGTGTACGCGCACGAGGTTATACATAATTGTCCCGGATGCCAGAGTAACGTGCAGCTGCCGCAGGAGAATGGTGCCCAAACGAATGGGCATGATACGAGCAATGGACACACCAACGGCGCCATGGTCATTGATCCGTAACACGGTACCGTTGTGACGTGGGCCACTCGAGTATAAAACGGCAAGCAACGACATTCGCCAGAATGTGTACATTTTGACTGGAGGGCGTCGAAGCATTTGATCATGTATTTTTTTAACGGGGAAAAAAAGGCCAGGCAAGGCCACAGTACGCGTACGTCTTGGAGCTTGTAAATTTGATGGATTTGCACATTTTAGCATAGTAATAGGCGCATACACGGGTGTAAAGCACAAGTACGTCACTTTTCGAACGGAGTTTGATTCTATTCTTGGAATTTTTTTTGATGGATTATTGTTCTTTATATAGCTCAAATAAAGAGACTTAAGAAGTCGGTGCTCATAAATCAGAGCAGTTCAAGACAAAAACCTAGCTATGTACTACCGTGCAAATGCCATACAAGTTTATATCATGAAGAAGCGTGCTAACAATCAAAATGAAAAGTCTTGCGTGAGAGAACCTTGCACCACTCTTGGCAACAAGGCCAAGTTTCGCAAAACAAAAGAAAGGGCGACGTGACCAAAAGTTACAACGACAAGACGAAGAGAAACTTTGCGGTTTCTTTTTTTGGGAGGCATATTCCTGCAAGCAGCACTTGCTTTACAGGTTACCACGCTCGGCCTGCTCACGCTCAATGGCCTCAAAGAGGCTCTTGAAGTTGCCGGCGCCAAAGCCCTCAAAGTGATTACGCTGGATAATCTCAATGAAGACGGTCGGGCGGTCCATGAGGGGCTTGGTGAAGAGCTGGAGCAGATAGCCGCCCTCGTCGTAGTCGATGAGGATGTTGAGGCGCTGAATGGTATCGAGGTCCTCGCGCAGCTCCCACGCGCGCTTCTCCGTCTTGAGGCGGTGGCGCATGGTGTCGTAGTACGTCTGCGGGACGTTGATGAAGTCGACGCCGCGGGCGCGCAGCGCGGTGACGGCGCCGATAATGTCCGGGGTGAGGAGGGCAATGTGCTGGACGCCCGGCCCGCTGTTGAAGACGACGTACTCTTCAATCTGCGACTTCTTCTTGCCGGGCGCGGGCTCGTTGATGGGCATCTTGACGAGGTTGTTGGGCGACGCCATGACGACGGAGGAGAGCGCGGAAAACTCGGTGCTGATTTGGTTGTCGTCGACGGACCAGAAGCGGTGAAAGGAGAGGGCCGTCTCGTAGAAGTTGCAGGCCGCGTTCATCTCGTCCCAGTCTTGGTTGCCGACGCAGTGGTCGATGCGGGCGAGCGGCACCGCCGGCGCGCTGACGCTGCTGGTCGACGGCTTTCCCGCGCGGAACCCGGGCATAAAAGTGCCCGTGTAGCCCGCGCGGTTGACGAGCGTGTGCGTCGTGTCGCCATACGTGCGAATCACCGCCGTCGTCACCGCACCGTGCTCATCGTCGGTCACAGTCCGCGGCGGCTGCACCGCCACCGCGCCGCCCCGGACCGCACCATCATACACGGCCGCGACATTATCGACTTCAAAAGCCACGTCCTTGACGGCGTCGCCGTGACGCTCCAGATGCGCGTACATGTCGACGAGCAGCTGGCGCTCAGCGGCCGAGATATTGGCCGCCTCGTCGTCGGCGGGCAGGTGCGCGGCGGAGCGCAGCGGCGAGGTAAAGACGAAGCGCACGGCATTGTTGGAGACGACGTACGAGGCAAAGAAGCGCGAGCCCGTCTCGAGGCCGCGGTAGGCCTCGACGTGGAAGCCAAACAGCGTCGTGTAGTACGAGGCGGCCTGCTTGGCGTTGCCTACCCACCAGGTGACGTGGTCGTAGCCGGTGAAGTTGCCGACGGGCGCGGCGGCGTCGGCGGGGCGGGAAGTGGTGGCGATGGCGGAGGGAGCCATGATAAGAAATGTGAAGCTGTTGGTGATGGGTGTTGTTGGTCTTATAGGAGAGTGACAAGGTGGTGGTGCTTGATGGGGGGCGTGTGTGTGATGCCAAGCACTTGCACTGTGAGAGTAAACGAGTCTCTAGTCTGTTGGAGTAACGGGCATAGATGGACAAGATGATTGTACAGGGTTAAAAGTAACAAGAAGCAGAAACAATCTAGTGTCGAAGAAGGGGGGGTCTCAGAAGTCTTATAAAAGCCCCGGGGGGGTCATGGTCGCTCGGTCGGCTTAGCTGGGGGGCAGGAGAGGGAAAGCAAAATGTGTGTGTCAGGCTTATTTTCGAGGATTCTCATTCGTCTTCAAACATGCAGGCCCAGGTTTTTTTTTCACCCGGTATGTTCAAATGACGGCAGCGGCTGGATGCCTACCTACTTTTTTGTGCAGTCTGCCGCCGAACCCGTGAAAGCCGCGCCGGAAATGCCCCGCGCCCCCCATCCCCGCGGCCGGTGCGATTTGAGCCGCACATCTTTGCTCGTTCCGCACTGGTGGATGCTCATGTGACGGCTCTCGACGGCGAATATGTACAGCGCGTAAGGTACTTGTTTTCTGTTTCTCTTTTTCTCCGCGATTCGAACTGGTTTTTTCTCAATTAGTTATCTTTTTTTTAAAGGGGGGATATTTTATTGTCGACAACGGCATTCTCCCCTGTTCAGAATTGATGTGTTGGTGGGGAAACAGCAAGCCGTCCCCCGGAATCGAAATTGACAGTGTCTCACTCGTATCTGCCATTGTCTAGCTCATTTAAAGCAAAAATCATTAGTCATGGATGAAACAAGTACTTACTGATACTTTCAACTGTAAACGTGAACTGATGTAATATTCACTCGCCGTGGCCCCAATCGCCAGCAACGTCACACAACCGCAACCCATTTCGCAAAGCCGCCGCCGGGTGGTGGTCCCCATTTGCCGCAAATCTCGGGGAGGGGGGGGGGGGGGGCGAAAAAAAAAAAGGATGCGGAATTGGAGCGCGCCTAGAATAAAACCGCCGCTAGTTTCCAAAAGTGATAAGTTGAAAAAAGGCAGAAAGTAAAAAGGAAAAAAAAGAGTCTGGCTCCGTTCAAAGCCGCTCCTTGCCGTCCCTAGTATTTATTATGGCCATTCCGCTTAGGTCGCGTCTCCACATTTGCCGCTTTTGGATCGTCGCCAGCTCGGTGTAATTGTTTATGCAAGATGCACCAGATATGGCGAAAACTGCTTGATGCCTTTGAATTTTTTCTTTTAGGCGAGAGAATATTTGATAAATAAATGGGCGCGGAATAGCCTTCCCGCAGGCTAGGTCTCATCATCCGAGACAATACAAAGGTTTTACTATGCTGTGCCGCTGTACAAGGCCGTGCTCCTTTACCAGCACCAACTAAAAGGTCATGTATTATAAATAGGAAGACGAAGCACAGACACTTAAGCGTGGGGTTTCTAAAGATAAATGTCGCTGGTGGAGTGTAATCTTGGCGTGTTTGATAAGAAGCGAAACATGATTCCCCTCATGTCTTCTTGCGTGTCTAACCTGACATTCATCCTCTTTTATATAGTTGAACCGCCAACACGCCCACGAGACCAGTAGTAAATGTGAGGAGACCTGTCGCACGAAATGACAGGACAAATAGAAGTCCAATATCCACTGTGATACACACAACTCTTGTTCACTTACAGATCGTCAGCATACCCTTGGTAGGATGTGTCACCCTGACACTACCAGGATAATGCTCGTCTAGGATATACTGCTGAGGCACTCTTCAAGTATCGAGTCTGGGAGATACTAGATGCACAAAAATGCTGAATTTTGAGCTTCCAGTCGTGGCGTGGGCGACATTTGCACCAATGCATCAAGGCTGTTGGGCGGCAGACATGGCGTGGAGTATGCCGTCGTTAGCCGCAGGGCAGTTCCTCTTATAGTTGGCAACGGCATGAGTAATAACCGCTTGTAATAACAGAGTCGTTGAGGTATCTTGAACAAGTATCAAGGCCTCGATAAAGGGATATCATTATATTTCATTTTAGCAAGCAAGTATGAAGAATCCTCCCTGTAGAAAACGCGGAATCCATCGCACAGGTCGGCGCAGACTAAGCCCCGCGCCATGACGGAAGTGGTGGGGTGGCGTCCGGTTCAATATGGTAAAGACTACAACACCTCCGAAACGAGGAAACATATAATAAATACATCAGCACACCCTACCCCAAATACAAGCCGTAGCTCCTAAAACCCCAAGACAGCGATACGCGACACATCAAACGTCTTCCCGTTCGCATCACACTCACCCCCCCACCTGCCCGTCATGGCTGTCCACGTCGACCTCTCCCAGAGGGACATGAACGTCCTCGAAAAGATGCGCGACCCCGACTTCAACCCGGAAGCTAGCCTCGTGCTCGACGAGCGACTGCCGCGCGACCCGCACCTGACCGACCCGGACCTTTACGACGAGGTGTCAGCCCGCGAGCGCGCCATCATCCAGTCCCTGCAGGCGCTCGAGACGGAGCTCGCGCAGACGCAGGCCCCCGACAGCGACGAGCGCGCCGTCGCCGGCTACCGCTCCGCCATCACACAGCTCAGCGCCCTCATAGCCGCGCACCCGCAGTACGCCAGCGCCCGCAACAACCGCGCGCAGGCCACGCGCCGCCTCTACGGCGACCTGATGTTGCTCGGCGTCACCACATCCGCCAGCAGCAGTGCCGCCTCGATGCCGCTGCTGCCCGCGCCCGACCGCGCCGAGAAGCGCGCGGCGGCCGCGCTCGCACTCGAGGACCTCGACGCCTCGGTCGCGCTGCTCACGCCCGAGCGGCTCGCGACGCCCATGGCCCCGACGGCGGCGCGCACGCTGTCGAGCGCGCTGACGCAGCGCGGCGCCGTCTACCTGCAGACGGGCAAGATGCTGGCCGCGGACCACCACCGCACGCTCGACGTCGACCCCGGCCGTCGCGAGAGCGCGTGGTCGGCGCATAACTTCCAAGAGGCCGCGTCGCACGACCTCGCGCTGGGTGGCCGCTACGGCAATGAAATAGCAAAGAACCTCGCCGTGAGCGTCAATCCGACCGCGAAGCTGTGCGGCCAGATTGTCCGCGAGGCGATGCGCAAGGAGTATGGGCCTGGCTTCATGGGACCCGAGGCTGAGGAGTAGAGAGCCAGTCGCGATGCGCCGCAGAAGCTAGTCCTCGGCTGATCGTTTTCTTTTGTTTGGTTTGTGTGCTCATTTGGGCATTTGGGGGTATCAAGATCGTATTACTATACAGTAGCTACTAGCATTGGGAGGACTAATGGCGTTTTGGTGTTTGCTTTATGACGCTTTTGATGAGGCCGGCGCCGATTTAAGACCGAGTCGGCTATAGAAAATGAGTCAGCAAATATATGAAAATGAGAAATGGATCAACACTGTGAGTGATCGTACCGGAGTCCTGTTTGAATCGTTTGGCTCGTGCTGTAGCCCTTGGCCTCTTCCTCTCGGTTGATGCGTAGGCCGGCCGCCGCCAAACCAATGACGACCGCAAAGATGGGATCAGCCACTTTTGATATAATGTAAGTCGGCGCAGGCATTTCGAGTACCGGCAAATGCAGCTATGAATGAATTGGTTTCGGGGTGAGTGAGCTGTCGAGCAACAAAAGTCCGAGATGAGGTGATGACTAAGAGACCGTTCCCTCCAAACTGAGATCACGTGCAGTACATCCCACCTACTGCACACTTTTGCTTCATGCTTCACGTGATCGGGCACGCTCGCTTGGGAAACAGCCCACAAACCCCAAAAAATTTACCAAGCCCAAATTTACTGTATCACGGCTTTTGTGTCCCGAAAGTGTGTTTCTGAAAAACCTCTGATCCCACACACCACAGCCCCTCCGCCCGACAAGATGAAGTTCCTCAAGGTCGGCCGTGTCGCCATCATCACCCGAGGCCGCTATGCCGGCAAGAAGGTACGACTTTTTTAATTTATTGGGAGATTCGCCGTTGCTGGGTTCGGAAGAGATTGGTCGCCGCCAAAAAGTTGGACAGGGTCTTGAGAAAACATTCAACGAAAACAATGAAGAGAGAAAGCTGCTACGACAATGCGCATACGAATTGACATCCGATTACCGTCATTGATCATTCACCGTTGGTCGATTTGCTAAACATGCGACCGAGCTACGACGGAATAAGGTCTCTTGACACTGGCATCGATTGGAACGACGCCATACTGAGATCGAGCGCAAGAAACGCTTCCGATTGCCGTCACATTACTGCGACGCTCCTAGATATACGTGTTTAGCACCGATTTTGACGGACTTGCTACAAGTTCAAATATCACGGCAGCCTGTCTCTCGATGTGGACCGCTGGACGTTTTCAAGAGACCTCAGACCCTGGCATGCGACATCCAACTCTTCCTCCACGCCGAACTCACGACCCGCGATGCAAACCCCCCTCCTCGTGCCGTCCGACCTCGCCCAATGCTAACCCTTTTCCTTAACCAGGTCGTCATCATCCAGCCCGTCGACAACGGCAACAAGCCCCACCCCTTCGGCCACGCCGTCGTCGCCGGCATCGAGCGCTACCCCTCTAAGATCACCCGCCGCATGTCCAAGACTCGCCAGGAGAAGCGCTCCAAGGTTAAGCCTTTTATCAAGGTCATTAACTACAACCACCTGATGCCCACCCGCTACACCCTCGAGCTTGAGGGCCTCAAGGGCTCCGTCACCGCCGACACCTTCAAGGAGGTCTCGCAGCGCGAGGACGCCAAGAAGACGGTCAAGAAGGCCCTCGAAGACCGCTACACCAGCGGCAAGAACCGCTGGTTCTTCACCCCTTTGAGTAAGTTTTTCTTATACTCGCTTCGCTCGATATGCACGGAGAGAGAAGTGAGGTGGTTTGAGAGGAGATTTTTTTTTTGCTAACGAGGTTGAATTTAGGATTTTGAGTCATACGGGAGTCTTCCGTTATGGTCATGGGAGTTGGCGGGATGTAAAGAGCATTCGGATGGCACTTGAGGAACCCAGGGTTTTTCTTTTATAATGGGCTTCATGTGAAATTCGTCCAATTACAACACAAAAAAATAAAACGACACAAAAACTTTACGTGAATCTCGCCTTTGCGCTGTGAAGACATGGTTTTGGCAGTGAATGAATTGGAGGTATAAAAGCAATGAGTATGTTGTCTTCTTTCAGGCTTGATATGATTCTGGCGTCAATAGCAAATAAACATGGAACACTTTCTCTACACCACTTGCACAGTAGGTACTCAGTGTTTACACCACTATGTACAATTCACAGTTGACGCAATAATTCAAATTCCAAATCATTTCTGCATTTCTATATGTATACTGTCCATTGTTCAACGCCGTTTAAAGAAAATGAGGGCTAGACTATTTTTTTGTTTTTTTGGCGAGTTGCATTTGGATTTTGGCATGCCTGCGTTGCGGACTTTTGCTGCTCTTGATCTTCGTAGTGCGTCGTGGCAAGCTGTCCTCGCGTCCTGCGCCTAGCTCGGCTAATTATACACGGGTCAAGGTTCTAAAAGTTGACACTTTTCCTGCGCTGCGCTCCATTGGGTTGTTGAGCTTGCAGACTGTATTACAAGCGGTGTCAGGTCTACACCGCGAATTTGCTCCTGACAAGCGGTACGTCGTCGGCTTTTGATTGTGCATTGTGACCAACTCAGTTGGCATCAGTCTTGCCTATCTCACTAGTGACGTCGGCAACAAGCCCTCCAGGATTGTAGTTGGGCGCATATGAAGGGGCCAGGCTACTGAACAAGAGGGCGACGGTGAAGAAGATCATGACAATGATGCTGAGCTTGCGCAGAATAGGCTTGCGAGCACCAAACTCGGCCCATTGGCGAGAGGCCTCACCAGCATAGCCCTTGAGCTGGTCATAGCCGAGCTTGTAGTAGACCATGCCGCCGAGAGCGATTGAGTAACCGAAGAACTGCAGGGGAGTAACGGGAGTGCCCCAGATCATCATGGAGGCGACGACGAGCAAAATGTCCTTAAAGACACCGCAGAGGGTCAAGACGACAGCGGATGTCTTGCCAATCTAAGTAGACAATGTAAGCAAAAGTACGGCACAGGTGCAGAGATGGAACTTACAAGGAAAACAACAGAGACGTTGAGCATAAAGGCGCAAAGACCGTTCAGGAAAAAAGTAAAGAGACCGACATGGTAAACCTCGGCCATGCTGACCTTGGGGACCTCCCAGAACAGAGCAACGAGACCGTTCATAGCAGCACAGACAGGAGCAAAGTAGTAGAGGGAGACGAGGGGGTCCATCTTGAAGTCGGCAGAGCTCAGAAGACGCTGAACCATGGTAAGACGAAGGGCCTCGAAGAGAATACCAGCCATTTGAAAGAGAAAGCCGACAAGGACGAAGTCGATCTCGCCGAACGAGGCAATGATGACACCAACGACGATGGCGGAAACGTTGAGGAACTGCTTGATGTTGGGCTGCGAGACACCCAGGCACCAGCCGGCGAGAAGGACAGCGACGGGCGTGGTAGCCTTGAGCATCTGGATAAAGGCAACAGACAGGTAGAGGTAGGTCAGGTTACCGCAAATCAAGCTCAGACTAAAGAAAAGACCGATAGGGACAACGGCGCGGAGGTAGACACGGCCAGTCATCTTGACATTTTTGCGACCATCGAGGACAGTGGTCCAGCGGGCGAGGGCCTGGGTGACGACGGTAGCAAAGACCAAGTGGTAGGTGGTGAGGATAACAGGGTAGCCTGCGGATGTATTAGTTTCAGTATACGAGTGTCGTAAAAGGTGTCGCGGTCGAGTGGAAACGTACGGAATTTGAGGGTATCCAGAATCCACTTGTTGAAGAGGATGACGGAGGAGGAGAAGCCAATCCAAACACTTGAACGAGTTGGTTAGTTACTTGTTCTCAAACTATGCGAGCAGAAAGCAGCGCGCAAGATGGACCTACAGAACATAGAGAGCCGGATGAATGCTGCCGGTAGCAGGCTGAGGCTTCTCCGAGGCAGGGTTGACGGTAGGGAGAACTGGCGCAGCGTTGCGAGGCGCATCGCCAGACACGCGCACCTTGTCTTCGGTAGACATGACCGGTATGTACTGTAGTATCGAGGATTGAATTGAGTGTGCAAGATGGCCGAACAGTGGTAAATAATGTTATTGTGAGATGCTGGGTATCGCGAAGCTTGTGGCCGCTGACGCAATCTCAAGGGGGGCGAGACAACGGGAACGGTTGGAGGAGCAGTGCAAACGATGGAGACGGGTAAAGAGCGGTTTTGGACGGCAACAGAATAGAAGACTAAAAGAGAAGCCGGGCGGTTCCTGTGATAGGAACACAAAGAGAAGGAATGGAATGGAAGAAAGACGAGACGCGCCGCAGAGGAAAAAAAAAGTTCGGGGAATAAGGTCTTGGCGAGGAGGATGAAGTCGTGGGGGTGGGAGGACGGGGGGCGGCGGAAAAAAAACTAACGTTGCAGTTGATTAGCGGAAGATTAGGTGAAGCGAAAGCGGGCGGCGTGGAGCGCCACAGTGGTAGGTAGGGAGGTACCTTCAACTGGGGAAGCAAAGTGAGACTGGTTTTTTTGAACTGATTTGACGACTCGGACGCCTCTTATTAGGCTCTCAACAGTAGCCAGCAGCTTGCCTGATACTCTCTCAGGCAGAGTTTACAGGGGAGCGGATAGCTTCAGCTGAGGGCTACAGTGGGTTTGGCGTCTCTGGACAAGGTCGACCAGTCCTGGAAGAACACCTTTTTTCAAGTGCCTATTTCCGTAGCAATGAGCTGTTTTCTCTATATAGATCCTCAATTCTCACTCTCGATTGATTGATTTTCAAAGTATTCATACAGCTTCTTTTAGTGCGTACTTGTGGTCCAGAAGACGGCATCGATAATCGACAAGTCCCTCTTCGGTTGGGAACTGGGAACTTCCATTGGGAACTTCCATTGGGAACTTCCATTGGGAACTTCCATTGGGAAAGGCGGGCAAAGGATCCTACCTAAAAATAAATAATAAACGGGAGTTAGCGACTGGCAGAACTCACTAGCGGCAGACTTTGCGCTAGAATTTGGCGGTTGGCGAGGTATGCAACTTCAATTTACGCCATCATTCATCATCATCTTTGTGGCGCAGCACGAAAAGAAGATGGTTCACATTCCCTTCATCTTTCAGGTCCCAGCTTTGTGTTGCATACTATGCTTCTCTGTGTTTCAGCCTTCTTTTTCTCACTCTTTGCATCTCGTGTATCTGGCCCAAAGCGACGGCAAACACTGCTCGGCAATGCTTTGTACAAAGACGAAGGTCCACCCCACCACCTTTACTGCTCACATCAGAAGTATATCACAGTCATTACAGCCATCACACACACTGTCTGTCATTCCTCGGATGGGTGGCACAGGACAGTTTGCTGCTTTTGCCCCTGAAAATGATAGTCGGCGGGTCAAGCCAGTGATGCGTAAGAGGCGGCGATCGTACGTAGAGGTAGAGTGGGCTATGCATAGGTAGCTGGACGCATGTGCATGGTACCGGTATCAATGTCAAACCGCGCAACACCAGGAATATGTTACCTGCTTGTCGACTGCGCCCTTTCGAAATTTTGGGGGGGGGGGCGCAGCCAGCTTTGATTGAAACGAAACAAGTCAGTGAACCGTTTTCCTTTCTCGTAGCGACTTTCATCTTGTTTGATATAGGGTTCTAGACCCTGTTGCAATACCGACACGACTTGAAAATTCCAAGACAGGGGTCATTATGGCGGGGTGCCGGGAGGGAAGTTAGCCATCCGCTTCTGAGCGGGGCCGCCCACCGGGCCACTGCAGCACTCAGATAAGCACTTCTCAGCGAATCAAGCCAAGCACGTTGGTTGTCGAAAATGGCGTCTGGGTGAAAACCGGTGCTGAAGGATGCTCGTAATTTAAATTCTTGCAACATTGGACGGTTACCTCCTTTTCTTTTTTTTGCCCCCATCTCCAGATACGGATAGCATTCGCCCGTTCCAGCTACGGCACCGCCTGCATAGTGCATGCCGCGCCGCATGCTATCATTGTGATTTCATGCTCGTGTTTCGTCATCTATACTCATCGTTAGCAACCCTTTCTTTCGCGTGAACAAAAAGTTGAGGAGCCAACAGGGGACTTGCCACGAGGCTGACTCGCCTTGACGCACTTGGTTTCGCGGGAGGCTGTGGGCCGGAGCTGATAGCGTCAAAAGCCAAGTAGAAAGCTTGGCATCCCGCCCGTGGTATCTCAACGAAACGGTTGATGCACATATAAATACCATGTTCTTATATGGTAGATCTCCGACAATGACTCCCGCAAAAGCGGGATCCGTCCCCAGACTCTCAGTCCGAAAGGGTAGGTCCCAGAAACACAAAACAGAAAAAAAAAGACGATTCATCAACATGAAAATAGGGAGCACGTGTTACTACTGGCACACACTATAACTATTTCATGAATCAGGGTCTCCGGCCCAGAATCAGTGTCATGAAAATATTCTCACATAGTAGCCGCTTCTCCCTGTAATCCGTATAGCTCGCATTAATACCCTTAGCTTGTCTTTTGACAGTAGGTAAGGTAGCCTTCTTGCTTTCGTCGCCCATAATTGTTGCGTCCGCACGTCATGTCTCGATGCCATGTGTCCATTCCAGCGTTGGTCGAGTTACGTCTGACGCAATTAATGCTTGCTTTTGGCTTGTCAAGCTGGTGCAACGCCGACGGGGATGAACGGTGATCTGATGTTTCAGAATTGTGGCTACATACCCAAGGGCCAACCCACGTTGCCATGCTGTGCACGCCAGAAACGTGCAGTTTTGTTCTCCGTGGTTGAATGCTTGAGTGGCACAGTGGCAAGTGGATTTGGGTCATAAAAACTAGCGCCCATCTTTCGACAGGCGCCAGAAAATTGAAAATGCTTCTTTGTTTGACTGCCGCCCGAGAAGAGACTTTAGCGAGCAAATGCAGAGACATCAAGGGCTTTTTGTAAATCGGCACAAGGATTCCCTATCTAGCGTGCCTTCCAGCTAGCAAGCTGGGTGTTGGTCGGTTGTTGAGTGAGGAAAATTGATGTTGACTTTCTTTTATTCACGTGCATCTCGATAATCGTCGTAAATGTAGCAAGATCAGCCACATTAATATGTGAGCACGCGGTAATGATAGTCAGGGGTTTGTAGATCGAGTAAGCTAACTAATCTTTGACCAATAAGGTAGTACATGTTTTGCTAGCAGTTCGCAAAGCCGAGTGTCGTGGCACGACATGACGGATGATGTGCAGAGCTTGTCGCACTTGAGACGAGGGACATGTTATTCAAATTTCTGAATGAACCACTCTGGTGGATTAGGGGAGATTACGGTAATAAAGGCTCCCGCTAGAGGCATCTTGAGGCGCAGATTGCGAGCTTCTTCATCACAGACCTGCAGAAACTTGGCAGCCACTCCAGCCAGTGATGACCTAGTTAGAAAACAAAATGCACGTGTAATTACCAAAGTAGTGCAGCAAAGACCAGAGAAGAGGTGCCAGGCTTGGTTCTGGCTTGTAATTATAACCTGCTCCTTGTGTGCACGTCTTCACATGTAACACATATGGCTTGAACTACCCTGCAGTGGTATCTACGAATATAGCAGCGACGGGGGCAAGCCGTGGCATCAAACCTGGCTCTCCCGAGAGATATGGTGATATGGGTCTTCGAGGTGATTGTCCTGTCGCTGCGGAGTGTGGTGTGTCATTGAGGATTCTTTGGAGGTTCTTTCTGCATGGTGACATTGAGCGCGGATCCAAATTAGCAGCGCCTAGCGAGGTGGCATTGGCTGCCTGTTCATCAAACAACGGAAGCTGCGTGACGAGCAGCCAAACACACCAATATCATGGTATTTATGCCAGCAGTTCAGAAAGTCAAGCAATCAACAAGCTGTCGGCCGGAGTTGTCCCTCAGGATTCCCCCAGCTTCAAACGATCGACGGCCCATCAGGTACCTATCAAGCCTGAAGTCATAAGGTGGGGCAAACTAGACTACACACGTAACCACCCCCCACCCCCTCGCCAGAAGCCATTGAGCCATTGATTTTAGCGTCCAAGACCAGTCGGGCAGGCTCCATTTCAATTTTCCGAGCGCTCAAAAAGAGGTTTGAGAGTTTCTCAGGGGACAATGGCAGAAAAAAAGGGTTTGTCGCGCTTTTGGCCAAGCTTCTGTGTACCACTTCCGCCTCCTCACCGTCTGCAGTGTTGGAGACATTCCTTTTCCTCTCATTATACCACTTTCTGCTTATCTGACACTGTTTTCTCGTCTGCGCTGCGCGTTGCATTTTCGTATTTCTTCCAGCTCCCGTCCATTCTTCGCAACTGTTAAACTTGGCACGCTTCCCCCACCGTTACAATGGCCGCCCACCAGTAGGTAGCTTCACCGTTTCCCACCCCCGCAAACCGCCTGCTCCAACGAACAGACGTTGCTCGACGTCGGCCCGGGAATACGAGCTTTGCAGTACTAACAAACGTTGTCATGCAGACACGTTGATGTTCTCGTCATTGGCATGGGACCGACTGGTCTCGGTGCCGCCAAGCGTCTGCACCAGATCGTGAGTCGCTACCCTTCCATCCCACGCAAACGAGCTTCTTCCGTGCTAACAAGTCACAGAACGGCCCCTCATGGCTGATTGTCGACTCTGGTGACAAGGCCGGTGGTCTTGCCAGTACTGATGTTACTCCCGAAGGCTTCGTAAGTCTTATCTCCAGCTCGTCGTCACACAAATGGTATCTTCCCGCTGACCATGCTGGTAGCTCTACGACGTTGGCGGTCACGTCATCTTCTCCCACTACAAGTACTTTGACGACTGCATCGACGAGGCTCTGCCCAAAGACGACGACTGGTACACTCATCAGCGCATCTCGTATGTCCGTTACAAGGGCCTGTGGGTTCCTTACCCCTTCCAGAACAACATCTCTATGCTGCCCAAGGAGGACCAGGTCAAGGCCATCGAGGGCCTCATTGACGCCTCCCTTGAGGCTCGCGTTGCCACCGGCAAGCCAAAGGACTTTGACGAGTGGATTTTGCGCTCCATGGGCAGCGGTCTTGCCGACATGTTTATGCGTCCCTACAACTACAAGGTCTGGGCTGTTCCCACCACCAAGGTAAGTCACATCTTCCCGCCGCACAGCTCTAGGCATGAGCTTTGACTGACTGACTCTTCTCTAGATGCAATGCGAGTGGCTTGGTGAGCGTGTCGCTGCCCCCGACGTGAAACTCGTCACCAGCAACGCCATTCTGGGCAAGGTCGCCGGCAACTGGGGTCCTAATGCCACCTTTCGCTTCCCTGCCCGCGACGGCACCGGCGGTATCTGGATCGCCGTCGCCAACACTATCCCCAAGGAGAAGAAGCGCTTCGGTGCCCAGGGTGAAGTGACCAAGATCGACGCCGAGAAGAAGACTGTCAGCTTCAAGGACGGCTCCACCGTCAGCTACAACAAGCTCATCAACACCATGGCCGTTGACGACCTGGTGCAGAAGATGGGCAATCAAGAGCTCATCAGCTTGTCCAAGGGACTGTACTACTCTTCTACCAACGTCATTGGTGTTGGTATCCGCGGCGCCCGCCCTGAGCGTATCGGTGACAAGTGCTGGGTAAGTTTGCATCCTCGCCGAGAGACAGTCAAATCAAACGTGTTGACGCTGACATGACAATAGCTGTACTTTCCCGAGGACGACAGCCCCTTCTATCGCGCGACCATTTTCTCCAACTACTCCCCCTACAACCAGCCAGACGACAAGGTCAAGCTGCCCACTCTGTACCTGGCCAATGGCGACAAGGCCGCCTCGCCGGAGGCTAAGGAGGGCCCGTACTGGTCCATCATGCTCGAGGTTTCCGAGTCTACGATGAAGCCCGTTAATCAGGAAACGCTGCTCAAGGACTGCATCCAGGGCCTCATCAATACGGATATGATTCGCCCAGAGGACGAAATTGTTTCCACCTACGTGCGCCGCTTCGATCACGGCTACCCGACGCCGAGCCTGGAGCGTGAGGGTGTCTTGAAAGAGCTTCTCCCCAAGCTGGAGGCTCAGGACATTCTGTCGCGCGGTCGCTTTGGCAGCTGGCGTTACGAGGTTGGCAACCAGGACCACTCCTTCATGCTGGGCGTGGAGGCTGTTGATGCTGTCCACAACGGCGCGGTTGAGCTGACTCTCAACCACCCCAACTTTGTCAACACGCGCAAGAATACGGAGAGACGCCTTGCGCACTCGTTTGACTATAGCAAGTCCAACGACCTGCCTCTACGCAACTAAGCGGGCGACGGGATGAAGGACGGTGGAGTCACATTTACGCTCAGACGGAATGGAGGTGAATTCGAATCAAGGGTTGCTATGTATGGAGCCTCTTGGGTTGATATATGAGACGAAAAGAAAAAGTAGAATAATTTAATAGACGCCGCATATTGCGGGATGGAAACCGAGGGTCTCTTTGCTATGTGCTGTCTCATCCAAGGAATGGTTCAGCTACATGACCATTCGAGTACTGTGATTGGTGACGACACATTGAATGAGTTTGGACGTACATGGCATTGACAGACAGCTGGCAGAGAAAGTCGCCGAAGTAGTTGGGCAATCGGTAGTCTGCAAGGATGGTCGGTCCCCTGTACTTCTAGGCTGATCAAATTGACGTAGTATTGGACTACAGGCCTGCATATGTTGTGGATGAAAGAGGATGAAGCTCCGAGTAGTTTATTGTTTCCGCCCACTTAGGTTGCCATGCTGGTGGCTGGTCATCGCCCGATCTGCAGCGTCGAGATCGTCAACTGAACAGAGGGCGCTTTGTGGGAAGCGGTCAGAGAAAATGCATATGACCAGAAAAGCTGCAAGCTCGAGCCAGGATGCAGGGTTGTTGTGTGCCTGGCCACGAAGGTGAAGCCGGGGAAAGGAGATAGGCAAGAGGAATGATGACGGTCAGCTTTGGTTGTGGATAGTTGATTATGAGCTAAATACTCGGCGAGCCAAGGATCCATTGTAGTTCTCTTGTCATTTTGGTTGTTGTTGCTACAAGGTGGGGGAGATGGAAGAGGGGACGGAGAAGAGGGGCGAAGGGGAAAGGAGGGGCAAGAATTGAAGCAAGCTGTGAGCGAGTAATCAGAAAACGAAGGGAGCAAAGATGGGCAAAGAATGGAAGTGTGTATGGGGATATTTAGCTAGATGCGGTCAATTAGAAATCCATCTCATATGTAGATGTATTGGTTGTAAGCGTTGAAGAGGGTTGATTCTCATTGCCAATAATGACTTGACACTGGCTATTTAGCACCCTGCATCTTGCATGGATGTGGACGCGCAGAAAAGAAGCGCCAGGGAAATCTGGGCGGGCGTGCAGCGACTCCACTTGGCTCGCTTTAATACCAAGAACAAGTATTGTAGCAGCACAAAGGCACGGTCAAGTGAGCGGGCGTAGACGACTCTACTAAATTGCTTAGCTGCTAAATTGTGAACTTTACTAAATTGTCGGCGGCTGAGACTGACTCCGTGGCTAAATGGTAGATGCCACCCTGTCACCTCAAAACTTGTCGCTGATCAAAGCCAAACCTTACCTGGCGCTGGCCTGCGAAGAACAATGCTGCCAAACCAAAAGCGTGGCGGCACGGCGCACTGCAAAGCCCCACTGTCAAAACCTGTTCACGCATTTGGCATCTTGGGGGCTTTGCTTGCCCCAGCCGCTGCCCACTTGCTTCTCGTCCTCAAAAGAAGGGGAAAAGGCAAAAAGGTCTGGATCTTGTACTTATTAATTGCTGCGCGGCGAGGCCTATTCTTTTCTTTTTTGATTGGCAAATCTATTCTTCATTCAATGTGAATGACGCTTTTATGATGATACTTGTCTTTTCATTTTTGACTGGCATCTTTCGTACATCGTGCTTTAGTCTAGTTACGCCACGGAAGTAGTTACAGGCAGTTGGCGCCTTCAGAAAGTCTGCACTTTCGGGGTGGACAAGTTTGAAATGATGCTTGGCTATGCGATGTAGGATTGAGTACGGATTAGCTTAGTGGGTGTTTTCACATCACAGAAGAGCAGCAGACTGGTGGCATGTCAAGGAACAAAAAGTATCATTTCATCAAAGTCCATGTAACGCCAGTAATCAAATGTCGCGTCGGCAAATTAGCAATTGTGAATCTCGAAAACAGAAAAAGAATCATCGAGCACAGTGGCTCAGTAGAATTCCGACTCCTAACCTTAAAAGAAAAACAACAGATGCGCAGAAGCGCTCGGCCGAAAGACGTCTCTTCTCATTTTCATGGATGGTGTACCATCGGGTTGCTCATTCGTTTCTATCAGGAAAAGTCTGGCCAACCGGGCGTCCCAAGACCCAGCCGAGAACCTCGGCGACTTTACGTGCGTTTGGGCCATTTGAACGCAGTGCGCCAACCGAGAAGTCTATCACGGGGCTGCAACGGAAATCCAGGTGTAAGTCGCGAAAGTTGATGGCACCTTGAACGATGCGGAGCATCCGACCGGAGCAGGAGAATACTGTAATCTTGAAGAGGGAAAGAATTAGCACGACCCGGTACGCAGTAAGAATCAAAGAGATGAGCAGACTTACTGGTATAACAGATGCTTGGTGGTACTTCGGGTCTTTAATAGTTGCGACTGCCAGAGCGAGGGTCGTGATCAGCTCAGCCGGAGACAAGCACGGGCGGTCCTTGACAGGGAGTTCATCGGCTAGCCAGCATTGCAAATGTGGAAATGCAGGATGAGAGTCTGTGATGCAGTCGAAATCAAGCTTCTCCTGGGTGGGGTGTATTTGGTGGAAAAGCTCTCTCGCCTCCCAATCCGAGTGAGGCAGGCTCTGCGAATTGATCAAATTGCGAGGCAATCTAAAGAGGAGGAAGAAGAAGAAAAGAAGAATGGGAGTCTTTAGCCAATTTTGGTCCTCGTCATTTTGGACAAAGGCGCGTCACTTACTCGGCTCTATTCCAGTTTGATTCCTGGCCCATCATGACGCCCATCTTCTCGTCCTTTGAATAGTTCACGTGGTTAAGTAGTAGGTTGCAGAGCTCCATTGCTTCGCCGAGATAGAAGTCGAGACTCATCCCAGTGACGTCGTAGCCCGTAAAATCAAGGTCAAAATATGGCCGATCCGCCGACTTCTCGGGCGCGTATTTTTTTAGCCAATCGAGAACGATTTCTGGTCTAACAGGCTCGATGTAGGCCTGACCTTGGGTACCGGGTTCACCGGTCGCGATGTCGAGTTTCTGCACGAAAATTCGATACTTGGTGAGCAGTTGCTCTCGGGTGAAGAAGGGAACTTTTGCCAGTTTTAACTTGCGGACAAGTTCTGCGACTTTTCGCACGTTGTTTTGGAGCTGCGCTATGCTTGCAGACTGCTGGCGAGCCTCTCGCCGCGGCAAGTTGGAGGACGACATTTGCAGATGTGCAGTTTGCGGCTGGCGATTTGTGGCGAGAGATTCGAGATTCAGCGGAAGAAGTAAGTACAAAGGTGCCTAGACTGGTTGAAATTGCGACCCTGGCTGGATTCGAACCAACCGCCTCTCGTGGAGTCCACGAGAAGGCTGCCTGCGACGGAAACCACTCCGCCACCAGAGCCAGAAGATAGTGATGGGTTAGTGTGTCTGTGTATTCGTTGTGGGCTGAGTAGGCTGGTGCGCATAGGCTGGCGCGTGGTGATATCGTCAAAGAAAATTATAGCTTGCAGGCCCTAAATCTGATGGTGTTGCTACCATTTGTGATGGATTGATGTGTCTGTATAATCGATTAGTCGTGTGGGCCAGGGGTCAACTTACTTCGTAGTAATGGTTAATTAAGCGAGTCAGCCTTTGAGGCAAAACGCAAGCAGACGTTAGCGTCATCAAGCGCTGAGCGTACGCTCGTAGTCGTCGCTGAACGAAGCCACTGTCGAGAAAACATCGCCCATATCCTGTGAAACCAACAGGCGCCTGTACAAAGAGAGCGCCACAGGAAATGACCGGCACAGCTGCTTGGCTAAATTGAGTTATATTTGCCAATCTCCGTCCGTCAGCATCCAGCAGACTCTTCGCCCTGCTCAGCAGCTCCGCGTCAACAATCTCCGTCATGAGGTTCCCCCTCAGAGATGCAGTGGTCTTGACCAGAACACGAAGGGTTAGGTACTGTGGCAGCCGAATGTCGGGGAGCCTGATTTAGGATCTGGGAAGTCATGGATAACGGTGCTCTGCACCCCATGTTGCTCCGCCAATTTGGCCCATCTGCTAACCGTGCTGGGCAACTGGTTTCGAAGTGACGCCATTTGCACAAGAATTGAAGTTGATGCAAGATGAAGACCTATGCTCGTCTACATCGTGCCTTTTTATGTGAAAGCGGTCGCGTCCGTTGATTCTTATCAACGCGGTCGTGCGCTTGTAATTCCACTCACCCCACTTGATCGTCACCATTGATTGGTGTTGGGTTGTGAATAAGGCAAGTGAAAACAAAGGGAGCGAAAGATGCGGGTATAGTTGATACCTCAGCAGCCAGTTAATCAACCAGCAGAGTCAATGAAACCGCAGAGTCAATCAAACAGCAGAGTCAATCAAACAGCAGAGTCAATCAAACAGCAGAGTCAATCAACCAGCAGCCAGTCAATCAACAGCCAGTCTTAGTTGACAGTTAATCAGCAACTGATCGATTTGATTTACCGGCTGATTTACCGGCTGCTAATTAACTAGCTGCTGACTGACTGGCTCCTGATTGTGAAGCTTTACTGGAACCCCGGGGCGGATCGACTCACTTCACTGCGCCAAGCGAGTTGGTGGCCGGGGGTCGCTGGTTAATAGCGGCTTGGGTCCTCGCCCCAGCGGCGGTGTCGCCAGTCACGTCTTTCAGAATCTCGCCGGGATACCGAAAGTCGGGGATGTCCCAATCCGTCGCCGGCGCCGTGCGCTTCGGGATCTGTCCCTGGCTCCGCAAGACGCGCACTGTCTGCACAATGGGCGCTCACGACGATGCGGGCCGTGGTCCAGCACACGAGGGTTGTCTTGGCCACTACGCCAAGGTCTGCACCGTAGTCCCCCAGATGTCGTATACGATGAGGCGCACAGCGTCACGGTGACTAGCGCAGTTATAAAAGAATCAAGAGAGAATACTACGTATAACTAAAGAATGAAGTTTCGGCTTCGGCCACCAGCCCGTCTAGCAACTTAGCACCAGTTAAGAAGTACCTATGCAGCACGCTGCATTAACCAGATCTTACACACGCAATACCTGCCTAATCGCTGTTGGCCAGAGCCATTGACCCTGTTCGAGAGCGGTATATTGTCACCTGCCTATCAACTACCGTACCTATCTACCTTAGGCTCCCCTCAGCGCACCCACTTCCACAATAAAACGTCCTTACCTCTGTTTAACGCTCCGAGAGAAGGTCACACATTTGGTTAGAGGCACCAGCAGGATGTTGGAGCTGTTCGGCGTAATAGCTACTAAATTGTAACTTTCTTAAAATATTAGCAGCTAAGACTAACGCCGTGGCCAAACGGTAGATGTCTTTGTCTTGTCGCGAATCAGAGCTAGGCTTGCTCGCGAAGAAAAAGCACGTGGACTGCTAAATAAACAACATTTAAATGTTGAACAGCAGCCCAAGTCTACTGCGGTCAGATAGGCACTGATCTGCTCCTGACAAGATCATCACCTATCAGCAGAGGTCACTCAACAACCTAAAGTCACCATTGGTTAATTATCGCACAGGTCCCCGGCAGCCTGCGTGCCTGTTAGAGGCTCCGAAGAGCTACCTGAAGCCTACCTGCCTACAGATATCCTACTAGCAGCGCCTGCTTGCGCTTTGAAATGAGTTTGGAAAAAAAAAAAAACACCCGAAAAAAGCCAAGGTATGAGAATGTAGCCGTTTACTGAGAAAAATTTTCTGTATGTATACAAAGGAGTACTTGGCTGCAGCGCGCTATTTGTGTTGTTGGATATTCAAAATCTGCTGTTGATTTAGCAGTCAAGCAGTTCACTGCAGTCTGCAGCCCTCCAAAAGCACGGCGCACGGCGCACTGCAAAGATCCACAGCAACCCAGTCGGCGCTCTCCACTGTCCAAGTAACAAGGTGATGTGGCCCAGCAAATTGCGCGTGCATCTGGCTTTTGCTTGCCCCATTGCCCCAGCTACTGCCCACTTGCTTCTTCTCCTCAAATGTGTGCTGATCGTGCTGGCAGAAAAAAAAAGCCCAGCACATTTTGTAACTAGAGGCGAATATCAAAACTCGCAATCGCTTCCAGACCGCGCACGCAAGGTAGCATCGTGTGAACGCCTTTCTTTTTTCTCTTGCAACTTTTGTTTTTTTTTTTTCCTTTTGCCTCTTGTCCCGGTACGGTCCCGCCGCGGCAAAACGTCCACGGTCCCGCGACGAATCGGCGCCCGCTCTGTGTCTTACCCTACCACCATCGCCGAGGTACCGCCTCAGACGCATACTCTGGGCCACTTTGCGAGGTACCTGCCTCTGCTACGCTTACTGCCTTGTAAATATTCTTATTGCGCTGCTTGCTTCTTGCTCTTGGTTCGATCTTGCAGATTCTGTCCCTGTGCCCTGCTGCAAGTGACGTATTGGGCCATTTTTGCTTCTCTCCCACACACACCGCGCGCCGTTGAGTTGAAAAGCACCATTTTTACTCGCCAAACACCGCCGTCAATCGTCGCCGCATCCGATTTCGACCATGTTGCCCGCCCAGTCATATTCTCCGTTCGATTGATCTGCCCGCCCCGACGTCCTTTCCTCCTCCTTCCACCCACCTCGGCCTCCTCCACCGTTCAACGTTCTTTGTTGGGCCATTCCGCCCCCTTTCTCTCCTCTACAGACTACACGTCCATCGCTTTTGGTCTTGCCACGCTCCTCGCACGCCAACCACACCCGCAGCGACACCCGCCAGCGCGGCCGCTCCGGTTGCGCGCCGCCCGCCATCATGGTCGGTGCCGGTGTCGTGACAGAGGAGGCCCTTGACCCCCCTCCGCCTCCCCCACGTCTTTTTGAACGCCTGCGCCAAATTGCCGGCTATACCTGGGACGAATCTATTCACCCTATTCACTCGACATACGACTACTGGTAAGTTTTCTGCAGCCTGTTCCTCGTTGCCCACCGCCTCCATCATGCCGCCCCGTGGCGGCTCCTCATCCTGTCTTGGCTTTCACCTGGTCGCTGCCCTTGTGTTTCCCCTCTTCTAATGTATGTTTCGTGCTGCAGGTACGTCTTTGGGACTCGATTTGTGCCACAGGCCCCGACACCTTCCACCTCGTCGCATCACACACCGAGCTCTACACTGCCAGGCAAGCTGCGGCCCTCCACCTCGGACCATGCCGGCCAACAAACTCCGACATATACCCAGGACGGCGACCCCCTCCCCTCGCCTTCCAGCTTCCCGCGCCCGCCCTCCACCGCCTCCTCTACCTCTGCTACCGAGTCCTCCTACGCCGAAGAGCCCATCGTCGCCCGCATATCCTACCATACCGTCCGCGAGGAGCGCGCTTTTCAAATAAGCAAAACCTTCTTGGCCAAGGCCGATCCCCACGCCCACCACATTGTCAAGCCCATCGATCTCATAAGGCTGCCACCTACCTCGGGCGATCGTGGTGCCCTGGTCGTCACCGTCTGCCACCGTCTCGGCCCCAACTACCTCTTTGATGTACTCGATATGGGCCCCGCCCTCTACAGGGCACGTAAGGATGGCGAGTCCTTTCACTCTTACTCCGAGTTCGAAGCTGTGCCCAAGCAGGCTATTAGCTTGGAAAGCTTTCTTGATTTCGCTATAGGCGCCGCAGAGTGCCTCGAGATCCTCCACCATCACCACGGTATGATCCACGGCGAGATTCGTGGCGATGCCTTCCACTTCAACGCCGAGACGGGTCGTGTTCGAATTGTGTCTTTTGGCTCGGGATTGCGATCTTTTGAGCATGGCCTGACTAGCACCGGCTGGTCGACTCTGTCCAAGGAAATAGGCGCCAAAAATAAGCTCCTCTACATAAGCCCCGAGCAGACGGGCCGCATGCCCGCTGAGCCCGATAGTCGCACCGACATCTACTCCCTCGGCGTGCTATTTTGGACTTTACTCGCCCGACAGCCTGTATTTAGCGGCGACAGCCCCCTCGACATCGTCCAGGGCGTTTTGAACAAGAAAATTCCCAACGTCACCACTATTCACATGGGCGTCCCTGACATCATTGGACGCATCATTCAAAGGTGTACTGCCAAAAATGTGGCTGACCGCTACCTCTCCGCCAGTGGATTGCGCCACGATTTACTTTTGGTGCAGGAGTATCTTGGTAAAGGAGATGTACAGGCTCTTGCTGACATGCAGCTTGGTACCAACGATGTAGCGTCTTTTTTCCTTTTGCCCACGGTCATGATTGGCAGAGACAAGGAGAGGAATGAGCTGCTTCGTGTCATTGACCGCGTATCCAGAAGTCACTCGATACACGCCGTGGGCCCTCATCCTAAATCCTCCGACGGCTCTAGCTTCCTCAACGACGTCCTTCTCGCCGATGACGCCTCTAGTGAAGGCGCTAGTTCCACTGGTGACGGCCACACCCGCCGAAGCGGCTCATTCACCCATGCCTCTATTAGCGATCAAAAGACGTTCAAGACCAGCTTTCAGTCCTCGCTGCCGGCCGATTCGCACAATTCCGACAGTGCCTCCACCTCACACTCGACCAACACCGTCCCAGCGCCTCGTATTACCCGTCGCTGGGAGCGTCACCAGTCCATGTCAAACGACACTCACTCGGCTGCCGATAGCTCTGCCTATGACGGAAGCCGTCACGGTGGTGTGGATTCTGGGGCGTCCACCTTGTCTCGACATCTCGGTACGGCCAAATTCAGGCGTAGGGGTCAATGCGAAGTCGTTGTCATCGAGAGCGCTGGTGGCATGGGCAAGAGTTGTTTGATACAATCTGTACTGCCTGATATTCGCAGACGTGGATATTGTGCCACGGCGAAATTTGACTCGGCTAGAAGAGCTGCACACGGTCCTCTCATTAAGCTCCTGTCCTCGCTCTTTAAGCAAGTCTGGGGTGAGAGAAACACAGACACGCCGTTCCACCAGGCGCTGAAGCAGTACGTCCGCCCCGTCTGGCCCACGCTGCATAAAATTCTGGGTCTGCCCGAGTTTCTACTAGGCCCGGCAGATACCGTAGCATCTCGTACCATTTCGTTGTCGCAGAATCCGGCGCTACGGAATACCAATCGTGGTGGCAAGCGCAGAGGCTCCTCACCAGGTATATCACCCAGCCCCTCCGCTGGCGTCCCCAGTATGGCTTCCCAGACGGCCCATGATTTTTTGCGTGCTGGTGTCTCGACAAAGACGAAACGATTCGTCAACACCTTTCTCGACGTTTTGCGCGTCTTTACACACTACAAGCTTATATGCTTCTGCCTGGAGGACCTCAACTTTGCTGATGAAGAGTCTCTGGAGCTTATTTCACAAATCATCTCCTCGCGTATGCGAATGGTCATTATACTCACGCATCGGCCCGAAGAACTCTCAGCCGACAAGATGCAGAGCGTAGTGTCACCCCCCGAGATTCAAGAACTGCCCAAGAGTAGTCGACCAACCGTAACGAAGCTGAGATTGGCCCCATTGACGGAAGCCGAGGTCTTGAAATATGTCGCCACAACACTGGCAAGACCAACCGACGACATACTGTCACTCGCCATGGTCATCCAGGCCAAGACGGCTGGCAATCCGTTCTATATACGAGAAATGCTCAGCATATGTAACCGCAAGCGATGCATCTGGTACAACTATCGCGACTCGCAATGGCACTATGACCCAGACAAGATATTTGCCCAGTTTCAGGGCGAAAAAGACTTTGACGTGCTCGACACCGATTTTATTACCCGACGACTCAACGAACTGCCTGCCGCAGCTCGCGCCGTCCTTGCCTGGGCTGCTCTCATTGGGAGCTCGTTTTCTTTTAGACTCATTTGCCGTTTGATGAGTGGCGAGTTCGACTTTGATGACGGAACTACACTTTGCGCTCTCGACTCCCCAATGCAAAGTAAATACACAGAAGGCGAGGCTATTGAGGGTCTGCAGGCGGCTGTGCAAGCCTACATTCTTGTGCAGAGTGAGGATGAGGATCGTTTTCGGTTCGCACACGACCGCTACATACAAGCCTCCTCGGGCCTGAAAGAATGCAACGAGCAAAAGATGCACTTTGTCATTGCGCAAACGCTAATGAAATATTATGCTGACAATCCAAGGGAACGGACTGGAGCTGCTAGTCACATCTGCAAGGCGGTCCCTTTGATCAAGGCGCGCGTCCCGGAACGAGAGCATTTCCGCAAACTCCTCACAGATTGCGCCCAAGATGCCGTCGAGAATGGAGCCCGTCCAACGGCTTCCAAATACTATAGCAAGGCACTCCAATTGCTGCAACCTAATCCATGGGAGTCGGAAAATACCGATGTCAGCTATGACGAAACTCTTCGATTATACCTGCGCACGGCCGAATGCTATCTCTATATGAGCAAGCTATCCAAGGCCAACGATTTACTGACCATCATCTTTGCCAACGCCAAAACCCCATTGGACAAGGCTCCGGCCTACATCTTGCAGTCCCGCATCTTTGCGCAAAACGGCAACTCAATGGCTGCTCTGATTTCACTCAAAGATTGCATGTCTACCATTGGTGTCGAAGTGGAACGAGAGCCAACATATGAAGCGTGCGATAAAAAGTTTGGGGCGCTGGCGACGAAGATCAAGTCAATGGACCGCTCCAAAATCACAACTGCCCAGCAGAGCTACGACCAGGTCATGACGTCAATTGGCGCCGTGTTGTCTGAATGTCTGAGTGCTGCCTGGTGGAGCGACTGCTTGGAGTACTACTATCTCACCCTGGTCATGCTTGATACCCATCTCACTCGGGGGGCATTCCCGCAGTCTGGCATGGCATTCCTGAACATGGGGGTCATAGCTCTCTGTCGCTTTTCAATGGCAGAGTTTGCAGTTGAGCTCGGTATCATGTCACAGGATCTGCTCTACGATGGGCGCGACATGTTTTCCATTGCTCGCGGTCAAATGCTTCATACATGTTTTCTTGCGCACATTCATTGCTCCTTGCCGCTCGCCGTGGCGCAAACTGAAGACGCCGTCGAATTGGCTTCCGTGGGAGGGGATCGAATGTCGACTATTCTCAGCTATGGACTTACTGCTCATGCCAAGTTCTTTGCGAGCGAAAACCTTGATGACCTGGAGAGCTACTGCCAATTTGCATGCGAAGAGATTCCTACCTGGCTGTCTGATACAAGAGGTGGTGTCATGATTGTGGCTATTCGCCAAACATGCCGCGCTCTTCAAGGCAAGACTCGCGTGAACGATGCTATTGATATCATGTCTGATGACCAGCACAACGGTCCTCGATACAAGAAGTGGCTCATGACGCAGGAGCAAGAGAGCAATCGTGCCATTCTTCTATACGAAAGTGTTGAGCTGGTCAATTTGTTCTTATACGGGCATTATGAAAGAGCCGTTGAACTAGGCAGAAAATGCTTCAATCACCTGAATGCCATTTGGTCTGCACGCAACAGCCGGCTCATTGTGCTGTTTTACGGTCTAGCCCGGGCTGGACAGCTTTTGAGACAGATGCAAGATCCGCGCTCGCCAACGGCCAACTTTTCAGCGCAGACACAGGAGATCGTCAAGGAAATGCAGGGCTTCGTCGACAAGATTAAGCAGTGGTCAGCAGTGTCAGACATCAACTATCTCTGTTGGTCACGGCTGCTAGAGGCACAGATAGTGGAGCTGGTTGGAGATCATGGCGAATCGGTGCAGCATTATGAAGAGGCACTTGATCATGCCAGTGAGCATGGGTTCGTCTTTGAAGAGGCGCTGGGCAATTATCTCATGGCTGGATTCTTCCTTCGCCGGCGTGCGAGACGATCCGCACGATCCGCCCTGCTCGAAACCGTCGGACTCTATCGTCAGCTGGGTGCTACCGGAGTAGCCAGAGCCATTGAGGAAGAGCACTCTTTGCTGCTTCGCGGACCTACCCGAAGCCACCAGACAGCCGACGCAGCAATTCAGACAGATTTTGTGTCGGACGCCACGTCGGACCAGTATCCTCACGCGGATGGAGAGGACGACCACGAGCTTTCACGAGTCAATTCTCATACTCTTATGCAGGCCAAAGGCGACAGGATAGGAGCCTGGCGCGGTTCCATGACTATGCAAAATGACGATGTGTCGGGGCTCCCCACGCTCGACATGATTGACCTGCATGCCATTCTGGTTTCTTCCCAGGTCATTTCCTCCGTCTTGCAGGTTGATGAGCTGCTCAAGACTATGTGTGATGTCATTCTACAGACTTGCGGCGGCTCGGCGACTCTGGCGGCTATTGTAGTGCAGGATCCTGATGGAGACGGCAATTCGTGGTGCATTGCTGCCAGCGGTGATCCCGAAAAAGGCGCGTCTGCACACAACCCGGGACTTCCACTTGCCGCAAACTCATTAATTGCGGACAACGTCGTGCTGTACTGCACACGCTTCCGCGAAGCTGTTTTCATCCCTGACCTCAGCGTTGATGAGCGTGTAGGCAACGTCAACGACACGTGGCTGCAAAAGAATCCACTTGGAAGATCCATCATTGCCATTCCCATTACGCACGGCGACAAGCCACTTCTTGGTGTTTTATATATGGAGGGCGAGCCTCGATCATTTACAGATCGCAATGTTACTGTGCTCCAGCTATTAGTCAACCAACTGGCCATCAGCTATTCCAACGCCCATACTATGAAGAATCTCGAAAAAGTGTCAGCAGAAAACCGGCTGATGGTGTCTGTCCAACGCCAGGCGCTGGAAAAGGCGATCGAGGCGGAAACCAAGGCCAAAGATGCTGAAGCCGAAGCCAACCGCAACGTCAAACTCGCAGAAGAGGCGGCCAAGGCAAAGTCCATTTTCTTGGCCAACGTGTCACACGAGCTTCGCACGCCCCTCAACGGTGTCATTGGCAACTCTGAGCTGCTCCGGGATAGTGACTTGAATAGGGAGCAGCTGGAGATGGCCGACTCGATTCGAGTGTCTGCTGATCTTCTTCTGACTGTCATCAACGACATTCTCGACTTTTCCAAGATGGAGGCGGACAAGATGAAGCTCTACATTATCGCCTTTAACCCTGAAGAGATGGTTCGCGAGGTCGTCCGTGCTGTATCGTATAGCAACCGTGAGAAGACGTCCAAGAAGAATGTCAAGATCATCCAAGATATCAACTTGCCATCGATGCTGATTTATGGAGATCCGATTCGCCTCCACCAAGTTTTGGGTAATCTAATTGGCAACAGCCTGAAGTTTACAGAGGACGGTTCCATCACGATTGGAGCTCGCTTAGACTCGGAAACGGCCAAGAGTGCGACTCTCACCTTTTGGGTACGAGACACGGGCATCGGCATCCATCCACAGCAGCTCGCGAAGCTGTTCCAGCCATTTAGTCAAGCCGATGCTGGAACGGCGAGAAAGTATGGAGGCAGCGGTCTCGGTTTGAGCATCTGCAAGTCTCTGATTGAGGTGATGATGAAGGGCAAGATCCGGCTGGATAGTGAAGAGACGGTCGGCACAACAGCCTGGTTTACAGTCGTTTTTGAGAAGACGGAGGCGGATGTTTCGGCTGGCGATGCGCTGGCCAAATCGTCGCCGCCGATTGATCGATACTCGAGCCTGCCGCCGAGTTTCGAGCGGGCAATTGTTTCGCATCCGCCGATGAATCTGTCCAAGCTCGCAACCGAAGATATCCGCATCTGCATTGCTGAAGACAACCCAATCAATCAAAAGATTGCCATTCAGTATGTGAAGCGACTGGGCTACTGCAACGTTGTGGCGTATGAAAACGGCATGAAGGCGATTGAGGGTCTACGCGCCAAGGCAAAGGATGGACAGCCGTACCACATTATCCTCATGGATGTCATGATGCCTGTCTTGGATGGCTACGAAGCTACGAAGCTTATTCGCAAGGACCCTATCGAGGCTGTTCGAAAAGTCCTCGTCATTGCCATGACGGCTTCGGCGATTCAGGGCGATAGAGAAAAGTGTCTGGCGGCGGGCATGAATGACTACCTTGCCAAGCCGGTGCGCGCCGATGTTTTGAGGCGGAAGCTGGACGCCTATGTCAATGCGCCAGAGCATGCATTCCCGACACCGTCGCCGAGCCCGCTGGAATTCTCGCAAGCCGAATATGACGCGAGAGTCAAGATGATGGCGGAATCTGGCAGCGAGCAGACATTGAGCGGCCAAGGCTCGCCGACGGACGCCAGCATGGACCCGATGGAGGAGGGCGCTGTATTTAACCAGCCGCTCAACTCGGAGGGGCTACACGCGTGCGACAGTCCCATTTTTGGCTCTTCGACGCCGTCATTTCCGTTGCGCAGCCGGTCCGCCCACAGCTCCATCTCGACGAATCCCAGTTTATCAAATCTGTCCAGCGACAAGAAAGAGGGCAGCGGCGGGCGGGCAAGTGCCGATGACAATGGAAAGTCGACGGCAGCAGACAAGAATGCCACCTTGACGAATGGCCAGAGGGACAGTTGATGGGCTGCCTAACAACCAAGACTTTTATGAGCATGCGGAATTGTTGGAGCCGCCGAGGGTTGTCGCTAATGTGTATCCATACCCGATTTCCTTGTTCTCTTTGGGCATTTGTTCTGCTTTTTATTCATCTTTAGCGAAAGTTGGCTTACTCGTTTTACTTTATTGCTTTTCTCGTCCCATTTCCTTGGATTAGAATTGGCGTTGATAGCATATGGTTATGACACGAACGGGGAAGGGAAACGAGAGCGGGACTTTTGATTTATCAAAGCATTTTTTTTTTTAATTTTACGAATTTATTCCTTGATCACTCATTGTTACATTTTCCTAGAAATTTGGTTTATCAAAGCCTTTTTTTTCTTAATTTTACGAATTTATTCCTCGATGACTCTTTGCTACATTTTCCTAGACTTTTGGATGAGGCTGAAGCGTTATGTAATTCGTTGCTTGCGCGAGGGCAGATTTCTCGGGCATAACACAAGGTATAGACAATGGAGCTCGTGAACCTAGACACAATTCGTCATTGAACTGTGTAATGTGTGCCTCTGTCAAGTGCTTCGTAAAAGAAGAGAGTAAGATTTTGGTTTTCTCTAGCAAAAAAAGGTAGACTATGAAACGTTTTCGTAAAAGCCTTTGCATTTGATCACAGCGCAGGAAAACCCCAAGTTGACTCAGAGGGGAAAAAAAAACCTGAACCAAGACTTTTGTAGCCATTACAAATCACTGTCTGCAGCAGTAGACCTTTCTGCCGGTCCAGCAATTCAGCTTCTCCCGTTGCACGAAACGCCAGCCAGGCGGGCAGGAGCCCTCGCAGATAGGAGCCGTGCCGTACCACCGGCAGTCCTCGTCGGCGAAGTAGTCCTTTCCGGCGACTGGTGTAGTGGTACCGGAAGAGGCAGCGTCGGCCGAGTCGTCTTTCGGGACAACTTTTATGGTCAGTCTTGGCTCCAGGAACACATATTGGCCAGCTGGTATAATGCAAGAACCTCATGAGAGAGGCTTACCAACGGCTGCGACTGTGGCCGCAGAAAACAGAGCGAGGACAAGCTTGCAATGCATGACGTGAATAAGTGGTTAGTGGAAGATTGTGTGTTTATTCTAAGTGTGGATGATGTGTTTGCGTTGTTGGAAAAAGTAGCAAAGCACGAGAAAAGCGGCTTTATATACTGACTTGGGAGCAACGGGCAGCAAGGGTTTAAGTCTGGATTTTACTTTTCTCTGACCCTCCTTTCAGAAGTAGCAGTGTCGTGACCTTGAGGCTGAAGGTATCATGATCGTTTATCTGCCATGCAACGCCACAGGTGATCAGCTACCCATGCTTGTCTTGGGACGGTGGCGTTTTTCAGGGTCCTATTCTGGAGCGATTGCCCGACAAACACTACCAAACTACTCTTGCAGCATGCAAGTACTACGTATATTAAAGAGAATACAGTAGTCAGGAAAAGACCTTGAACAGGTTAGTCTCTCGCGCCCATGTCTTGGATGCTGGGTTTTCCGGATCGTCGCTTTGCTCGACTTTTTGGAGAGCGAGCGAATACCAGAAAGCATGGGCAATGCCCCCACAAGACACTCTACCGAGCAGTGACTATGCCTTTGGTGCCATCCTGGAAAGCAGGAATTGCTTAAATCTTGAGCGACGGCTGAAGATTCGAAGCTGAAAGCTGAAAGGAACTGCACGGCAGTCGGCCATGTCGTACAGAAATGTCTCTGTCATGGTGCAGTCATGGCTAGCACTGCCGCTGGAGTTTGCTAGACACGGTCGTCTGGCAGATGTTCGCCTTGGAGCTATCGATGCACTCAGATGGTTCTTTCTTTCTTTAGCCGGTAGTGGTTGCAGCATGAGATTCAGTGTTGGATCTAGGCGTCAAGGTTTAGGACAAACCTCTAGGTAAAAAGCTATCCTACTCAGTATACAGAAACAAGTACAGTATGAGCGGCAAGTAATGACTTTCGTTTGTCACAGTCAGAATGCATATCAGACAGTGGCATTGCTGCAGTGGTATTTCGGACAGGTGTCTTGCTCTCCTCCCGACACGACACGACACCGCCCAGCTTACACGACACCGTTTGCCAGATGCACTATACTCCTTTCGCGGAGGAAAGCCGAGATGTAAGCAATATATGAGCAAGTGCCTAGAGAACGGCCCGACATCTTTGTCTTGTGCACAGATTTCAGAATATAATTTCGGTCGTGGCTGCCATGTCTTTGTAGCCAAGCAATACCAGCTTTGCCGAAAGCTGAAAGCCGAGAGCCAGAATGGCACATGACACTTGAATGATGGTGAGCTGTTATTCGGGAAAAATGCCACTTGTGTACAGTAGTAACAGCAGGCGCTGTCATGCTCAGCGTTTGTTTGCACACTGTGATTCCGCTTCACAAAGTAACCCTACTCTGACGTCTCTACGACCGCCGTCACCCCAAGCAGTGAAACAGGTGATTTGTCGCGTTTCAATACCATTTTTCTGTTGTCAACATATTTTCCGCAAGAATCAATTTGATTATTGTTGCATTGCCTTTGACGTAATGGGATTCCTACGTGAGATAGATGCAACTTGGGTAAAACAAGTAAGGTCGTGACGGGTATTGAAAGCTTCAATAATATCTTTTTTTCGGACCCTATGCTTGATGACCTCCGTTGTCGGAGCTGCTCTCGTATTTCTCTTCCGTCTCGCCACGGGCTTGTGCTTCAGTGTCCTACGTCGGGCGATTATATACATAGTAGTCGCAGTATTCCTCCCCTCACTTGAACCTACAGGAGACTTTAGAATGAATATTGACATAATACTCTTAAAAAGAGGAAACTTGAAACTTTTGATAGAATCTGGTGGACATGGAGGCAATGTGGCGGCTGCAGGAGAGAACGCCAAATATACAGGCCCGCGGCCGAGCGGGCGCACAGCGATGGCCTGGATTTCTATGATGCCGCAATCGTGAATGAAAATGGAATTCAACATGTAAAACTCTTCATTCACGAAGCGATAATGGCCAATGATGCAAAACAAAAATAGTCGGCATGCTCGTAAGCGCCTGGCAGGGACGGGGCAGATGACCTGCCAGAGTAGAGCAGGCAGGCAAGCCCACAAGAAGGAAGTTGATGGGGACCCCTCACTCCTGCACTGCAAGGCCAGTCAGCGAATACCTCATAAATCTTGATGGGTGGCCTTTGTTTCCATCTTTCTTCATAGCCTTGATCTTTGCATTAGTCGAGAATTGCTGATTTTTTATACATCGTTTACGGTTGTATTCTTCCGGTTTCCTTATCCACCAAAGTTCACCATCATCATCTACTCTGGTACATCATCACGCCCATGTCCCTAACCCCGCCATGGCCAACACCACCTGCAGGTACCCGGGCGCCTCATCGTGTCTCGGTCCACAGCCTTCCCAATGAGCTACTTGACTATATCCTCTCCCAGTTTAACGCCTCGTCGTCCATTGAGAAACGCTTCCGCGATGACGCTTCTACCATTATTGACGGCTACTACGCCGCGCGCGGAGACCGCCCCTCACGCCAGCACCCGCTCAAGTCCCTGTCACTCGTCTGTCGAAGATGGCGCGCTGCCGCCCTACCCTATCTATTTCGGCATGTGCTCTGGACCTTTCGTCGATTGGAGGAGCCACCAGCAGCCGCGGCGGCGGCGTTAGGTACGAGGCAAGGTTTTGAGGTGCTGGCGTTTCTGAAAGAGCATGGCCTCGGGGCGGCGGTGGATAGTGTCACGCTGTACGTGCCGTGCCCAGAGCACCTGATTGATGACCCGACCGAGCTTGTGGGACGCTTCGGCCTGGTGCAAAGTGCCACTTTGGCAGAGACGACGACGGCAACGACGACGACAAGGCAAGGCGTCGACGGTGTCGAGGGGGGAGAGGGGGATGCGGACAGCGTCGTGTCCTCGGAGATGGCGAGCCTGGTGCTGGCCGATGTCGACGGGCATACCACGTGGTCGAATACCTGGTTCTGGGACTTGCTCTTCAGCGTCGTCGATCCGCTACGCCTGAGCATCCTGGCGGCGCCGGTGGTGCTGGCGACGATGCTCAGCCGCAAAGTGTATACGCGCTGCCAGCCGCTCATCATGACGCGCTACCATCTCCTCTCCGTCTCGCGTGCGGACCGAAGTAGTCTGCCTATGGCTTTAGAAGGCGACGACGACGACGACGACGACGACGACGACGACGACGACAACGACGCCGACAATGACAAGGACTCGACGGAACCGACGCCGACGACGACGGATTTCCACATCCCAATGGGCGCCAACCTGCCCTGCGAGCTCTTTGCCCGTTGCCGCTGGACCGCGCTACTCGCCAACGAGGGCTCCTCCGTCTCCATCTACAAGACTAACGCCTACGGGCACACACCACCCTCGCCGTTCCTCAGCCTGCTCGACTCGCACGACCCCGCCACCCGCCGCTTCCTGCGGCGCCATCTCTACCGCTTCGCCTACGTCGCCATCATGCCCATGGCCACGCACTTTTTCTCCATACTCGCTGCGCTCGCCCGCCTCGCGCCGCACCGTCTCGCCGAGCTCTTTATCCAAATCATGCCGCGCAGCGTCGACCTGGACCACATCCGCTACCACCTCGACCCCGACGACACCAACATACGCTTCGAGGGCCTCGATATACAGGACCTCGTCTTGGAGCGCGACGCCATCTACGGCATACTCTTTAGGTCCATCTTTCTCCCTGGCCCGCAGCCAGAGTGGGAGCCGCTCCGCGTGTTCGAGACGGGCGACGCCGACGCCGATACGGTGGCATGGGCCGAGTCTGTCAAGGCAGTGCGTGCGAGCACCTCTTGCTGGGACGTGGCAGAGCGCGGCCGCTTTGTGCGAGACCTGGCGCGCGAGGAGGCGAGACGGAGAAGAGAGACGAGCTCGGATCCTGTCATGTCATCGTCTTGTGCGACGCTGTGAATGACTGATGGTCGACGACTTGGCTTGTGACGAGGTGGAGTGAGGTTGGGCATTGCGTACCTTCATGGAATGGGGCGTTTTTTTTTTCTTCTTTTTCGCATCACACTTTTAGCAGGGCTTCAATCAAAATATTACATGTCAAACAAAAAAGATTCGGGCACAATCGTGCCGCATGCATTCAGGTGTGACCCCCTTCTCCCCCAGTTTCTATAAAAGCTGACCAGCCTCGACGGGCGTCTACTTGTGATACGCCATTGTGTTTCCCCAACCCCAGATATGCAAAATTTGATCCAAAAACTAAGAAATGTACGTTGTACACGACGGACATGTAGTAAGTAATGCGCAAAAAAAAAAAAGGAAGAGAGAGAAAAGACATATGAAACCCGCCTGTTGAAACAGGATGCAAAAAAGAATAACAACGGAAATTAAGAGTGAATACAGACCAAGCGCCACTTTATACATCGCTTTCGCTCATATTACCGCCCTCGTCGTCGCTGTCCGTCAGGTCGACAGCCAGCTTCTGCGCCTCGTGCTCCGTCATCTCGCGGTAGGTGCTCCAGCTGAGCGCCAGAAAGGCAAGCACAATCATGGCGCCGCCGAGGGTGGCGGCGCCACTCAAGGGTTGACCGGTGAGGGCCCAGTCGGCGAGGGCGACGATGAAGATGGTGAGGAGGGCGGCGACGGAGGAGAGCACGGGCGAGGTGAGCGAGATGAGGACGAGAAAGGAGCCGCTAAAGATGGCGTTGCAGAGCACGGCGAGGAGCACGAGGCGGCCCGTGGCGGCGTCGGGCAGCGCAAATTTTTCCCAGCCGAGCGAGTTGAGGACGGGGATGGGGATCCAGAGGACGAGGAGCGTAAAGAGGCCGATGAGGGAGCCAAAGGTGTTGGCAAAGATCATGCCGCGGCCGGGGGAGACGCCGTCGGGCGGGCAGGCGAGGCGCTTGTAAAGCACCTCGTAGAGGCCGTAGAGGACGGACCCGAAGCCAATGACCATGTTGCCCAGGAAGCGGCTTTCGGCGCTGGCGTCGGGGCCGGAGCTGGACGTGCCGGCTTGATCACCGCCGGCGGGTGCGCCGCTGCCGCCGGTGTCGCCGTATGCGACGACGAGGACGCCGACAATGGCGATGAGGACGGCGACGGACTTGTCGAGGCGCAGAGGCTCGCGCAGCAGGGGCACGGAAAAGGCGTAGGCGAAGAAGGCGGAGCAGTTGTAAATGGCCGTGAGGTCCGAGGGCGTCGTCATGCTAACGGCAATGTACCAGCTGAGCCCGGCGACGGTGAGGGCCGTGGTGACGAGGGCCGTGACGCGGAGCATGTAGCGGGCGGAGCGAGCGCTGTAGCTCAGCGTGGTGCCAAATACGTCGAGGGTCTGCATCTCGACCATGAGGGCCGTCGTCTTGAGCAGCTGCTTGTGGCGGCGCCAAAACACGGGCCAGGGTTGGTCGAGGCGCTGCAGGCGCAAGATCAGCAGCTGCGCGGGCCACAGCACGATCCAGGAGCTGTGGGTAAAGTACATCATGCAGTAGGCTTTATCCCAGCCGAGGTCGTGCTGGATGTGCGCGCTCAGCTCCGTCTGCATGCAAAAGGCGACGAGGGAGACGACGAGGAAGAAGAAGGCGTAGGTGTACTTTTTGCGCGCGGCCTGCTCGGCGGCGAAGCCGCGCGGGGAGCGCGAGCGCATGGCCGTGGAGCGCCGCGAGAGGGCCG